GAAGTAATGGGCGTAGAATGATATGGTGTGAATGGTCTGACAGAACCAGTTGTGTTTAATGGTTTTTCATTTGGACGTAAAAGTATTTAGGAATAATATCAATAGTGTTAAATTATAAATTTAAGTCAGTGGTGGCCTAGTGGTTAAAAGGCCCGCCTCTCGAGGGCTCGAGTTCGATCCTGGTAACTACCTATGTGATTTTTCCGAGTCATACGTACTTTCTAAGAGTATTTAGACATCACTGATTAATGCATTCCCAAAGAGGGTTAATGTCAGGCAGGGGGCTGGTCGTAAAAACAATTAGCCAAAACTATTAACGACGTGTAAGGCAGACCCTGGCTAAAGCTGGAAAATTGTCAGCTAGAAGAAGAAGAAGATCAAAGGTGATAGATGTAGTTTCTTTGATGTGAGTTTAACTGCAACCTGGTCAAACAACGACCAGATATGGGGTGACCCATGTACCATCTCCACCAGTCAGTATTGAAAATTCAATTATCTACGTAACTTGAAAGATGCTGGGACATCAAATTGAAGGCTCTATAACGATCTAATCTAATTATATCCATATAAGGTTTCCTTGAACTCATGATATCGATTAGCTTGAAACAGGATTATCTGGTGTCTTTGTATTAAATTTATGAATGAAATTTGACGGTAGTGGCAAAGAGGAAAAAATATAAGTTACCTAGTTATTATAGTTCTTTGTAGAGATTTCTTTTGACATAATTGTTGATGTTCTAAAAGAAAATGAAGAAAATAGTCTGTGAGAGAAACACTGTTAATGATTCTGCACGTCTTTGGACAATTCTTGGAACGAAACTGCGTAAACAAAGTCCCAAAACTGCTCCATTTCTAATGTAGATATCATTGTAGTAACTAGTTTTTGTATAATGAGATCTAAGATTTTCGCGAGTACACATTTAAATGAAACTAATATTTTCGGATTTTACTTCGCGTTTTATTTTTGATTATTAACTACATACTCCCAACGTTTCGGTTACTTTTCAGCAACCGTGATCACGGGCAGACGAGATGTGAGTGTCTGTCAGTCGGTCTTGTTATTGTATCATCTACCGCCATCGATTTCTTAATTTTCTGGCGTACCGCTCGGGATGCCGGCAGAATGCGCTCAAGGTGTCTCGAGGTCCCGTGATGTGGTCACGGACATGGGATTTTATATTTTTAAGTTTTTGTAATTTCCGTCTGTAGCTTAGTTGTAGTAGGACGAATTGTCAAAATTTTATTTACATGAATGAACGTAAAGCAATTTATGACAAATGGTTTCCAACCGAGCCTGACGAGGTTATACATCAATGACACCAGTTCATCATCATAGCTTTCTGGGGAAAGAAATTTGATGAAGAACAGTACATACCTAATCCAATATAAGTACTCAACCAAGTCACATAACTTGACAAGAATACTGGAAGTCAAGATGCTTTCCATCAATTAGTTTTCTGCTGACCAAATAATATGGTTCCTTAGCCACTACCATACATATTGCTGATGGTAAAGTCTGTGAGTAACCACATACTATCACTAAAGAAAAGAAATTAAAGATATTGGTTTCAAATTTCTCGACTTTTATACATTTTTTGGAAAATCTAAAAAAGGTATTTCATCTGAGTGAAACCATGAATTCGTTTCCCCAATATTATTTTATTAATATTGTTCCTATCAGAGTACTTTCATAGTGTGAAAGTGATCGCACCAATTGTTCGTTGACACGGAACGGTACTGGGTAGGTACACGGTTACATCATGACAACGCGCCTACCATCGGTTACGAGTCACCGTGAACACACTGCATACTGTAGGTTTGGCGTTTCTCACTCAACACTATAAAAAATCAAAAATAAGTATGGTATCGCTCTATATGTATAGAGTCCTAATGGAGGTTTGTCTTCTACGTGTAGATCTGTCTCAGAATATTATCTCGTAAACTATATATGTATGTAGCTAATGTATTATTTTTATTATTTTGGTTTTGTATTGAGTATGAGACTGTATGAAACCAACATTAAAATTTTATTTACCGAATTCTACTAATATATAGGATTTTTACATATTTTACATTATTTTATATAGAAGTCACGAAGAGACTAATATGCTGTGATGTATATTATCAACAAAGATTTATTTGTATGTATGAAATTCTAAATTAACTCGAAGCTGTTCGTAGTATACGATCAACTTGACAGTAAAAACGGAATACTAAAGAAACAGCGTTACAACAGCAATAAGTTCATTCATAAATTTCACCTTAGTATTGACTGAAACGTGAAACCGTTCGTTCGTAGTGTGACGACAAACTAATAGTAAGCATAGTTCCACTAAAATATTTGTATGTCAGTATCTCAAATAGCTGAGATGCCTCGGACTAAGTTATTAGCTAACCGACATCAGTTATGCTAATTCGAAGGCTGGTGATGAAATAACATCGCCGTGTGAGATGATGAGCCCACGCTGATAGACTTTCACTCACAACTTGACGTATTACACGTTGGAGTTGGAGTAAATTACTACGATACTTACAGTACGATCGTTGATTTGGAAACGAATGGTTTGGAAGTTTTACGTTGGTTGTAATAGTAATAAGAAAACATAAAGAAACTCTTAGTTATTGAAAGCATTCATATTATACTCTAGTTTTCCGCCCGCAGCTTCGCCCGCGTGGAGTTCAGTTATATCGCGTATCCAAGAGAACCTTTCAAAAGTCTACGATAAAAACTATCCTATGTTCTTTCTCAAGGTCAACTCTATCTCTGTACCAAATTTCATTAAAATCAGTTCAGTGGTTTAGGCATGAATGCGTAATAGACAGACAGACAGAGTTACTTTCGCATTTATAATATTAGTAGGTATTGATACCTAAATCTTTGTAATCATTTAAATTTTATCCTTTCCAATATTGTATTATTGATTTGTGTGTGTGTTTATAATTTCGTTACATTAAAGCTAGTGAACTGATTTAGATTCATATTAAAAACAAATCCACTTTTCTCTTATATTTATCCTCAGTTAAATTTAGTTTAATCGAATATTGTCATTGACATAATGTATTGCATTAATATATATGTATATATAAACTTTTTTTCAACAATACGTCTTTTATAATAAAATATGCGTTATATATTATCGATATTTATGTACACTACACAAGGATAACTAGTTGGTTATGTACATAAACCTAATTTTTTATATGTACTCATAAACACATGTTAAGGAGATGTGTTAACTAACAAACAAACATACTGACAAACATTACCTCTTTATATTAACGTCGGGTCGTCCAAGGACACACCGTCAAGGTCGTCCTTCGCCCGGTCTGTTTCTCGTTCTGTATGTCCGTATGTGTTACTATATCACGTGAACTATATTGTTTATAATGGAACAGGTTTATTTGCGTCGTATACGAGCTAAACTTTATATATATATGTGTGTGTGTGTGTGTGTATGTTTTAGTAATAACACTAAACCGTTTAACGCCTCAAGGTCAGCGATGACATGTCTATAATGTTGATGCGCCTCTATCTGTGTCTTAATCCTACTGCAGCCGGTGTTTCGCTCCATTCAGAGACTACCGGCCGTCCTTGCGAGTTGCGCGTGCGCAGCCGTGACGTCACACACACACACACATACACACACATACACACTAGATGAATACGAGACGTATGGATTTCATTGTGGTTTTGTTTTAAGTAATCCATTCATTAATATGTACTAGGTATAACTTTAAAAATGTGACAATAATTTTAGTTGACTGACTTAAAAAAAAGATGGTTATGGTAAATAAATGTATGATAATAATTACATATTATACTTAGACGTGAGGGTTGTGTAATGTATGTTACACAAAAACTTAATACATTAGTTTTTAAATTTCAATAGAATAAATAAATGATTTTTTTAAATAAATAATATTTAGTTAGAACGTAATAGACAATATATCGATATTTTTTAGTGAAGATAGTTTTTTTTTAGTGAATATTGTATGTGGTGAGGAGGGAGATTAATTGTACATTGTTTAAAGATACTTGTACATGAGTTGTAAACTTAATTATCGAGATCTCTATAAATAAATATATTTAACTAATTTTTGCTCGTGACTTCATCCGCGTTAATTTCGGAATTAGAAATATATGTATGTATAAATCTTTCCGTACTAGAAGCCATAAAAAACTACATATTGGAGTTTATTATGTATTTGTTTTCGGTTTCGACCGAATAGTATTAAATATCCTATGTCCGTCTCCTTATTCTAATCTATCTCTCTCTACCAATTTTCATCCATAACCGTACAGCCGTTCTTGAGTTAAAAATAGTGTAACTGACACGACTTTCCTTTATATATACATTTTAATATATACATGTTATTAATTATAAAAGATTATTTATTAAATGATCTTAGGCTAATTGTAAGAAGTGTTTGGATATATAGGCTAACTTCCAAAAATGTGTGTTATTCAAATGTACTGGATGTTTTTTGTAATTAATGAACGGCCTTGTGCCACCATGAACAGAATTAGAGGTAGCTCGTTATCTTATCACTCCCCCGCTAACATACAAACATTGTTTAATTAAGAATTTTGGTACATTTACATATATTTATATATGACTATTGTACTTACTGTTTTAATATAGTGTCGTTGTGAAGAAAGTATTTTAATTCACTGTACCGAAAATAATGAAACGTTTATTGAAATGAAACTAATATTTTCGGATTACTTTGTGAATTTTTTTAAACTACATACTCCTAAAGTTTCGGTTACTTTGCAGCAAAAATATAACGCGCAGTACATCCAAAAATATTAGTTTCATTTAAATGAATAATCTTGAAGGCCTTAGATCTTTATGGGAATTTGGGATAAAAGGCAAATTAATTAATTTTTTTTGGTTTCAAATTTCAAGTTTTAACATGTTTATATTAGCCTATGCGATGAACTTATATTGTAAGTGTCTTGTATATAATGTTATTAACGTGTGATTCCTTGTCATCAGATAAAATTGGAGACGGTCTTCGGTCTGACTGTGAGCAGCAACGCGGCTTTAGACTCCGACCCTCACACTGAGCTGGTGGCATATCCCGCTGGGTGAGTACACCTTGATACTAGAACCAGGTCAATTAACAGCTGGAAAATATATATACAGATCAAATTGACCTGGATTTACAGGTCTTAGTGGCTTGGATTGTAAGCGAGAGGTATAACTATATCTCTACAACCTACTAAAAGACTTGGGCTTGTCCAGAACTAACATTAATACATTCTTGGAACGTATTTAAGGCTGCCCTAGTAGGTTCTTTTCAAATTTGGTAGAGAGAGGAGCTTGTACGAGGGGAGGTCAATAAGTTCGCGGAATGAGCGGGAAGGGGGTTGAAATTTAACACGAAACTATTTTTCCTTTTCAATATAGTCTCCCTTAACCTTAATACATTTTTCGGATCTCACAAATAATTTATTAATACATTCGAAAAAAATTATTTATCTTGGCTATCAAAATAGGCCGAAATTGCAGACTTGACTTCTCAAATATTTTTCACCGCAGCTTTTTTTTCATTTTTGAAAACAAATAATAGTCGCTGGGGACTAAGTCTAGACTGTAAGGTGGGTGGTGTAGTTTTTCGAGTCCGCATCGGTGAATGGCAGCCGTCGCAACATGGCACGTGTGGACTGTTGCGTTGTCGTGCAAAAGGAGCACACCTTTTGACAGCTTTCCTCTTCTTTTTTCCTTGATAGCTTCTTTCAATCTATCTAATAAAGAAGCGTAGTACTGTCCCGTTATAGTCACACCACGATCTTTATAATTGATCAGCAAAATACCTTCTGTATTCCAAAAGACAGTCGCCATGATCTTTCCGGCCGATTGTGACACTTTAAACTTCTTTGGAGGAGCTGTGCCTTTTTTATGCCACTGTATCGATTCTTGCTTCGATTCAGGTTCATAGTGGTGAACCTAGGTTTCGTCACCAGTAAAAATCCGGTCCATAACTTCGTCCTTATTCTCTCCACAGAGCTTCAAAAACTGGCGAGAACACTCGACACGATCGCTCTTTTGAAGTGGCGTGAGCATTCTTGGAATCCATCTTGCACTGACCTTAGTCATCCCAAGATGATGATGTAGGATATTAAAAATGCTTTTTTCAGATACTCTAACCATTGCTCCAAGCCGTTTCTTCTTCAACCAGGCATCTTCCAATATAAGTTTTTCTACTTTTGCGACGATTTTCGGTGTGGTGGCCTCAATCGGTCGTCCGGAGCGGGCGTCATCTTCAATGGACTCTCTTCCTTGTTTAAAAAGTCCATGCCACTTGTAAACCATGGTTTTACCAGGGGCAGAGTCCGCGTAAACTGATAACAGCTCTTCAAAAATTATCTGAGCGGATTTTCCTTGCTTGGTGAGGAACTTAATAACGGCGCGGTGTTCAATTTTCTCCATACTCACTGACTTCTTCCCGATTCACTTGTTTGCAGGTCAACAACTCAAAAGTTAGTGACCCGATTTGGTTCAAACTTGGTATATATACTATTAATGAGGTGTTGAACAAGTTACTACCTGGACGAGTAAATCAACCCCCTCCATCCCCTCCATTCCGCGAACTTTTTGACCTCCCCTCGTATGGTAGAGGTGAGTGTTTAACGCGTTAGATAAGGTCCCTTAAACCTACACCTGGGTCACAAGTCCCAGTCACTGTTGAAGCTCCTCTCTCTACAACGATGGACCCGACACACGCACCGTGAATACATTGAATGATGAGAGGTTTCCATATAAGTCTTTGCGTTTGTTCGTTCAAAAAGTTTTAAAGCTCTTACGAAATGTGAATATATGTATGGAAGCCTTTTAGGAAATTACTTTCATACCGTATATAAAGACATAATGTTCATGTTAATTGACCGTCTTTTTGTTCTAACAGCACGGTATCATTCACTTATAATGCTAATAGTCTTTTACACCCCTCGCAGTCCCTCGTTTAAGGGTTTTATAATAATTAAAAACATCCCCCTTGTACAGGGTGTGTCTGACCGCTCTATATACACATAGCTCTGTGGCAATAAAAGATTATTATTGAAGATAATTATTCAAATATTACTATTATAAATATTTTGAATTCCTTTTTTTATAAAATTACCAATATTTTCATTCATTTAACATTCTTTCTCTTTTATTTCATACCTCGTCTTAATGATCACGGTTGATGAAAAGTAGCCGAAACCTCGGGAGTATGTAGTTAGAGTAAAAATATCGCGTAGTACATTCGAAAATATTAGTTTCGTTAAAATGAATATTTACGAAAGTCTTAGCCTTTTTTTATTAAATTTTATTTCAAAATTAGACTCAGTTTAATTAATGAATAACTCAATTGTTTATTAATAATGTTTATGTAAAGCAAACGCGTAATCTGAGACAAAGAAAATTATTATACACCAGTGGTTCCTGAGATCAACGCGTACAGACAAACATACAAACTTTTCAATTTCATTAGTATGAAGTTTTGAAATAAACGAAATAGGTACTAAAGTAAATGTATCTGTTTATTTTTCCAAATTACTTACAAAAGAAAATAATAATAGCTTTATGTCTAAAACATAAGTCATTCATAATTTGTCCATAATTTCTATTACTACCCCTGTACAAGGAGTGGCGCTGCCCGCCGCCGGCCACGCCCGGTACGTACTAATGTTGAGGGTAGTCGCTAAAACATCTATATGATTACATTAAATATAACTGTTATATATAAAAATTATAATAACGAGCTAGGCTAGCCATTCCCCGCGGATTCGCTCGACAATTTTGAGTAATATGTCAATCGTTATTAATATAAAGTCTGAAACCCGTAGTAGGGGACACACGAACCGACTTCTTCTTCTAACTGGCATTTTCCCGGCTTTAGCCAGGGTCTGCCTTACATGTTTCTGAATAGGTTCGCTAATTGTTTTTACGACCGGCCGCCTGCCTGACAACAACCCTATTTTGGGAATCAGCATTAATCAGTGATGTCTAAATACTCTTATAAAGTACATATGACTCGGAACATCACATTGGTACTTGCCAGGATCGAACCCGCGCCCTCGAGCATGAGAGGCGGGCCTTTTAACTACTAGGCCACCACTGACACATTATTTTGAGTAATATGTCAATCGAAATGACTACCAAGTCTGAAACTCATAGTAGGGGACACAAGAACAGACTGTAGGTATTAAATCTAAATTTTATGTACATTATAATGAATATTGCATTATGATGTAATGTATTGACAGTGACTCGATGACCTTGAGTTATGTAGGTAGTGTTAGGTTTTTATTGCTCGCATATACAGGGTGACTGGTGAATTACTATCAATATTTAAGGAGAATACTCGGTACATGATTCTCATTCGAATTATCTAAAAAAAATAGGCACTTAATTTTTGACAAAATTTCCATATAAATAAATAAAGTGTTGACACGTTCCAAGTGTTCCTAGTGTGGACGCGTGCGGCGGCGTGCTGATACAACAACACGCCGCCGCGCGCGTATGTGTGAGTGTGTAGTGTAGAGTAATCTGTAGGGTGTTCATACGATGCGTAATTAATTACACAACTTTTGGTTAACTTTACTTAGAAGTTTATTAATATTTATGTTATATTAATTTTTATTTCGTCATATATGATCGTCAAATATCACGTCCTCAAATATCGATAGTAATTCACCAGTCACCCTGTATACATATATATAAACTAGTGTATGCCTGCGACTTTGTCCGCGTTAATTTTAGTATTAGTAATATATGTATAGCTGACCGGGCGAACTCTATTCCGCCCTAGAGGACGTAAATAATCAGATATTGGAATTAATTAAGTATTTTTTTTATTTTCGATCGAACTGAATTAAATATCCTATGTCCTATCTATGTTCTAATCTATCTCTCAACTAATTTCCATCCATATCCGTACAGCCGTTCTTGAGTAATAAATAGTGTAACTAACACGACTTTCTTTTATATAAATATATATGTAACAATTCCTATCACTAGAAGCTACATTCAGTACTCTTTAAAACCTTTCTCCTATTTTTAGGGTCAACTGTTCTCCAAGCCAAGCATGTAAGATGTATTTTCTCAGTTCACACTTGATCCGAATCACTATAAAACAAACATGTATGTCAGGAACTGCTCTCACTGATGATGCATTTCCTTGTGTGTACTCCGAAAGCACTAACTCCACCATCCTCCATATAAGGATTCCGTAGTTATTTCCTCTTACACTTGGAGACTATAACGTAGTTTGTTCCACATTTGCAATGCCATACGTAGCCTTCTAGACAGACCCTGGCTAAAGCTGGGAAATTGCCAGGAAGAAGAGATAGACTTCTAGTTTATGAATGTTTTAAAGTTACTAAATTTAAAATAATAAATCTAAAGAAAAGACGTAAAAAATTTAATTAAAAATATAATGTAAGTAAGTTACTGATAATAATATCAAATTATTTTGAAGACGATTATAAATAGTTTATTATATAGATTTTGACCCTAGTTATGGTAAATAAAGGGAGGTCAATGAACTTGGTTATTACTACTTGTTGTCCGCGACTTCGCCTATTTTAGTTTCAGAATTGGTTATGTATAGCTGTTCGGGTGAACTCTATTCCTCCTCAAAGATATTAGATAAGATTTTGGATATGATCAACTTATTTTTTTTACTTTTCATTCGCATGGAAAGTATCGTATGACTTCTGGTTCATAAGTTATCTCTCCACTAATTTTCATCCATATCCATACAGTCGTCCTTGAGTTATAAATAGTGTAACTAACACTACTTTTATATACAAAAAAATCACGTGTTTTTAATAAAATATTTATTCTATATAGTTAAATGCATTATAACAAAATATACATATATCAATAGTTTCATTTTAATATATATGTTTTTAATTAATTAATTCTAACGGTCATCAGCTGTTGCTAGAGTTCGTTGACCTCTTAATATTTGATGCTTCCTTCCTCTATAGAAATGACATTATTTATGATTATGTCATTGATCCATCGATGACTTGAATATTATTGATACATTTCCATTTAATTACTAATATTCATATATATTATAAGAATGTATTATTATATACCGTACTGGCAGACCCTGGTTAAAGCTGGGAAATTGCCAGGAAGAAGAAGAAGGGTACAGTATATAATCATTATATATTCATATAATGTAAAACTCGAGTTTTTGATATACTCGGAGTAATTATTATTTTGTATATATCCAAATAATTGAAGTGATAATAATATATTTTTGCACAAAAATAGTATTCGTTTTTCAATATTATCAATACTAATGGCAAAATAATATGTCAAATTATATAAATTGATTTCAAGCTACTGAGGTCACGATCCTATCGAAGGTTTGAAACATTAATTACATCAAAGTAATTATTTTAAGAATCCCAAGGCGTTGTATAATATAGTGACAGAAACACACATAAATACATACATATTATATATATAATATAAGTATGTATATTTAATTTCCACGTTACAAATTACAATGTTAGTTACCGTACTCCTATGAAACGTCTTTACATATTTTTACCAATACACATTTTTACATATTTTTATCTTATTTTCGTATTCAGTAGGTATGAGAATCGGCTACTATATATTTATACCCCTAAATGATAAGGGTTGTTCATCCCTACATTTTTGTTTTTGGACGACGTTTTTTTTATAGTGTGACATAAAAAAATATATACAACTCAAAATTATAATTTTTTTATATGGCAAAACAACGTTTGTTGGGTCAGTTAGTATATTGTTAGAAATGAAAAACACGTTAAGATTTTTAAAAACAAACGGTCGCCGGCCAAGGGTCAATTAATTAATATTCGAGACTAATTAGAGCAAAGGTTCTTCCCTCGACAATAGTTGAGAACAAAAAGTGTCCGATTGTCAGTAATGTCACTCCTTATATAGATGGCTTGAGGGTTGCCTGTATAATAATTATTTAACAATATATATATTACAGGTTGAATTCTATAGTCCATAAAACAGTTAGTCATGACATGCCATTCGAGTAATGTACGTTAAAATATGCAAAGGAACGTCCATCGATACACGGGGAGCCGATGGTGAATACTCACGGCTTTGTAACAGTTATGGGGTTTAACTGAGGAACGGATCCTACAACGTGGATGGTGAATACCAACTAGACACACACACACACACACACACACACGCACACACACGCACACACACGCGCACACACGCGCACACACACACGCACACACACACAGACACACACAGACACAGGCAGACAGAGCTCTGAGAGGCGTTGTAAACGATGTATAACTTTATTAAGAAATAATAATATATCTTCTTCTTCTTCTACCTGGCAATTTCCCAGCTTTAGCCAGGGGCTGCCTTACATGTTTTGAATAGTTTTTGCTAATTGTTTTTATGACCGGCCGCCTGCCTGACCCAACCCATGCATTAATCAGTGATGTCTAAATACTCTAAGAAAGTACATATGACTCGGAATAATCACATTGGTACTTGCCAGGATCGAACCCGGGCCCTCATGCATGAGAGGCAGGCCTTTTTACCACTAGGCCACCACTGACTTCAAAGAAATAGTAGTAAGAAATAATAATATGTATATAATATATGAAAAGTTGTTAAACTTGAACATGATTCGAACCTGTGGTAAATGAATATCGTATTTCAGTAGCTTTTCTAACTGAACCATCGTGTCCTTAGTATGAATTGTTGATTATTATTGGATTCTAACTTACTTTCTCGTGATAGATCATTGTTTTAACGATAAAAATATTATATGTAAAGGAATTCGTAGTTACTTATACGTATACTAATTAATTCCCACTAATATCTTTATTGATCATTAAATTTGAGTGTCTGTTTTCAAGCATTTTTTTATTTACATCGCACTAAGCTTCGTCTCATCTGTTTCATATTATCAATATAAATATCATGAGCCTCTTTAAACCGACCACTCGAAGAGCCTGTAATATCTCATTATTAAACAGTAGGTGTGTTTGTCGTGTACCGCTACCCGCTTCCGCTCCCGCTTCTCCTATGACCGTGTGACTCTCTTAATTAGTATGTAAGAGTGGACATTCGCCCTCTCTCACGGACAAAGCATCGTGTCTATTTATAAATACATACATATTATGGTATTTAAACAATCTTGCTTCGTGTTTTTTGTTGTACTGTGAGTTTTCTAAAGGTTTATTCATTATTATTATAAAAATGTAGGTATTTATTAAGTGTGTGATCGTCTGTCACTCAAGCATCTACTAATTTGGATGTAACATTTTTTTGTACATTTTCTATAGTACTGGATAATTAATTAGGAAAAAAAATTAATAATTATACCTTTATACTAAACTTTAAACTATCATGATTCTAAGTCAGTGGTGGCCTAGTTGTTAAAGGGCCCGCCTCTCATGCATGAGGGCGTGGGTTCGATCCTGGCCCTCGCAAATACCAATGTGATTTTTCCGAGTCATATGTACATTCTAAGAGTATTTAGACATCACCGATTTATGCATTCCCAAAGAGGATTGATGTCAGGTAGGCGGCCGGTCGTAAAAATAAGTAGCCAAAACTATCCACAACATGTAAAGCAGACCCTGGCTAAAGCTGGGAAATTACCAGGTAGTAGAAGAAGAAGATTCTAAGAGCTCGATAGGAATTGGAAAAATATTACAGACACTTTGTATTAAAATTTATATTGTAATAATAACTTATTATTTGATAGATTTTTATATTAAATTCTAAACATTTGTATTGATAATAATTTATTATTGATAAAATTGATAGATTTGATTCAATACATATATAACATAAATATATCTTAAAACAATAAAAAGACCTTATAATAAATACAAAGCATTAATAAAAGATTCATTAGTAAAAAATAAGAAATTAGATTACAAAGATTAATGTTGCGTGTGATCTGCTTTAAGAATTATACATGAGACGACACACGTATATAGTGGAGAAGAAATTTTCAGAGAAAGACGTTTCAATAGTATTAGTAGGTGGTAGAACCTAGCTGTGGTCATACTACAGCTCGAACATGGGCTGGCTCGACCGAGGAAGTACCACCCTCTCACAGAAAATCCGCGTGGAGTAGCCTTTAATGGCTGCGTTTCGTCCGATGAGTGAGAGTGTCGGTTGCGCTTTCCCTAATCCCACCCTTTCCTACTATTTCCTTGTTCCCACTCTTCCCTATCCCTAAAAAAGAAGGTTGGCAACGTATACGCAACATAGATGTTACGGATGTCCATGGTCGACGGTAACTACCTTCCATCAAGTGGGCCGTCTGCTCGTTTGTCACCTTTCACGTAAAAAAAAGGATATGTACGAAGGTTTATGAAATGAGATGTTTTCATTTTATATATGACTAGTGATTAAATATATCTCTTCATAAATGATACAAAGTACTTGTCATTTATAAGAAGAAGAAATAATTTTGGATCATTTAAACTGCCTTGAGGTACTAAGAATATTATTACAATTAATATTATATCCGATATAAATCATATTTTTATAATGTTACTAGCATTTACCCGCGACTTTGTCCGCGTTAGTTTCATAATAAAAAATGTTTGCTGACCAGGCGAATTGTTTCGATTTAGATTAGATAAGACTCATAAGCAAATTGTTTTGGTCGAACGAATTCAAAAGTATCCTATGTCCTTTTCCTCGTTCTAAGCTATCTCCCCAAAAAATTTGAGTCAAACCCGTACAGCCGTTCTTGAGTTATAAATGGTGTAACTAACACGACTTTCTCATATATATTATTAAAATGTATAAAGAACTTTATTTCTCATAAGAATTTTTACATTCACTTAAAATGAGATACAAGGAATATTTGCAAGTTAACAATTTTAACAAACGGACCGTTGGACATGACAGACTTGCTACATTTACTACTACAGCGAGGATATTAAATATTTTTTTAATTTAACCTTAAACATCCCTATACTATCACACAGTTTTATTTCGTCTGGTAGTTTATTGAACAGTTGTACTCCCTCAAACAGAATTGTTTTTTTACCATAATTGATTCTCACGTGATCAAATTGAAGTTTGTATTTATTCATTAAATTCGAAATATGCGGTCTCTCACAAATCACTATCTTCGATTGAATGGAACCTGATTTAATTTGTTTGATTAAAATGCATGTATAGGATGTGAATAATTGTGATATATTCTTTATTTTTGTTTCATTATAAAGTTGTGCCGTTGGAGTAAGAAAGTGATATTTATATAGAATTTTAATAATTTTTATAAAGAATTTTAATATTATTATTTTTGTAACTTCCAGGTGTACAGTGGTTCTTTACAATGTACGTAAGAACAGACAGTCTCACGTGTTGAACGCGTCAAGGAAGAGCGTCACTTGCGTGGCATTTTCTCCTGATGGCAGATACTTGGCCACGGGGGAGTGTGGCCACGCGCCCGCCGTCAGGGTCTGGGACCTCCAGGTGACTCACTCACTCATCAATCAAGACCCCCTTTTTATTTCGTGGCCCAACATCCTGCTTGCCTTGACAAATAATATGACACTGACATACATGTATATTCTATCATTGATGATGTGAATGTGTTTTAAATAAATCCTCATCCTGGATTTACTTGTATTGTTGCACATAATTAAAGCTTTTCTTAAATCATTATATGTATATGCACTATTCAACGATTTTTCCATAACCCATATAATAGAAAAGTATTCACATATTAGCTCGATACAAAATATTTAAAAATAATCTCCGAATGTCCATAATTTTTCTGGTATTACCCTCCAAAACCTGGCCAGAAGTAATCAAACAGACCCCAATAAATATAGTTTCAATATTCCTACAATAAGTCCCATCAGTAAGTAAAAAATCAATTTAATCCATTTATTCCAGGATCCGACAGCCTCGGGCGCGGTTCAAATAGCGGAGTTCCCGGGACACACTCATGGAGTTAATTGTGTGGTATGTTACTACTAATGATGATGATGATAATGATGATGATGATGATGAAGAATTAGGAAGTAGAAGTAGACCCTTAAATAATATAAGTGGCAATTAGAAGCCATATATATATATATATATATATATATATATATATATATATATATATAAAGCAAAATATAGTTTTCTTAAAGTGGCATAAACAAACACCAAATAATGTTATCTGTTTGTTATAAATATTGCCAGAAATAAGAACTTGTAAAATAGATCATATTTATTTTATCATATTGGAATAGACCTTGTAAATTAATAGCTTTATATGTTACTTTTCCTACAGGTTAGTCTTGTAGACTTGTTATTGTGAACCCAATATAGGGTGTAATTTTTGTAGACCCAATATAACCTTTTCTTACAGAGAAACTGATTAATGTTTCAATATATATATAACACAGTTACATAAGCTCTGCTCATCACCACTGTATATAATTCCCAGGCCTTCTCAACGTCATCCAAATACCTGGTGTCGGTAGGGTCTCAACACGACATGATCGTGAACGTGTGGGACTGGCGCGCGAACCTCAAGCTGGCCAGCAACAAGGTAAGGGCAACGCACACACACACATACACACACAGACAGACACACACACACACTCAAGACAACAGCTGATGAGATGTGATCAATTCCAGGTCTCGTCAAGAGTCAAAGCCGTCAGTTTCTCGGAGAACGGAAACTACTTCGTGACGGTCGGCTTCAGGCACGTCAAGTTCTGGTATTTGGAATATTCCAGGAATGCTAAGGTTAGTCTGGAATATTGAAACATTATCAAATATAATAATAGTAGTTTTTGCTTACGATTTCGTCCGCGATAATTTTGGAATTAGTAATATATGCATAGCTGACAAGACGAACTCTATTATACCATGACACCATAAATAACAAAATATTAGAATTTATTACGATTTTGTTTTTCTTTTCGATCGAACAGAAAAAAATATCCTATGTCCGTCTCCTTGTTCTAATCTATCTCTCTACCAATCTTCAACCATATCCCTACAGCCGTTCTTGAGTTATAAATACTATAACTAACACGACTTTCTTTTATATACAGAAAAGAGATAAAAAAGATATATTTAGTATGAGATAATTATTCCCAAAGAGGGTTGATGTCAGGCAAGCGGATCGTAAAAACAATTGGCCAAAACTGTACACATGTAAGGTAGACCCTGGCTAAAGCTGGGAAATTGGAAGAAGAAGAATATGTTCTCAATTTTTTTTGTATCAGTTCAAGGAGCCGGTGCCTCTGATGGGTCGTTCAGCTATCCTGGGGGAGCAGAAGGACAACGAATTCTGTGACGTGGCGTGCGCGCGAGGTGGCAGTGACGCGACATACGCTATCACACGCTCCGGACTACTTTGCGAATTTAATAGCAGGAGGCTGTTGGATAAATGGGTGGAGCTCAGGGTAAGATGTCCAATTTATAGGTTTAGAGATCTATATTTTCCAAAAAAGGCACAAAGTCACTTACATGGAAACAAAAAATTCAATACAAAATGTCGTTCTTAAGATATAATTACACGAGTTGTTTTACTCATTCAATGCATTCAATTTACAAGTGGGTAGTTTTGTATAATATATTCCGATAGTTTAGTTTTGAATATGGTCCAAGTTTCTTAGGAACTATTTGGGAATTCATAAATCAAGAGTAGTTTTTCCTTAATCAAGATAAACTGCTTTCTTAAGAACGTTAAAGACGGCAAGAGACCAAGAAAATTGGGTGGATGTGTAAAGCTTTGGGGTTATCTTATAGTCAGAGACCTTTGGCGACTGCTATTTACTGTAATAAATCTAAATCAGTCTTAACAAAGCGAGTGTCAATGTCTAATTAAGAACGTCAAGGCTTAAAGGGGGATGACAAACCCATACAAATGGAAGGTTGTGTAATTTTTTGGGGGATGTTATGGTCTAAGTCTTTTGTATATAGATCTATATACTTAGACCAGACTTTAGCAAAGTCATAAAGACCTTTCAAGGGTGCTTTTTAGCTTTTAAGGGTGGTAAGAGACCCAGAAAAATGGGTTTGGTAAAGTCTTGGGGTATTATCGTCCAAATATCTTGGGGACTGTCATTTGTATTAGATCAGTATTTAGTACAGTGTAAATAACGCCTACTTAAAGTTGTTGTAGACCTAAAGGGTTATAAGAGACCCAGAAAATTTTGGGATTGTGTAGAGGCCTGATTTTTTTAGTTTTCACTAGGTTAAAAAATATTTTACTATCAAAGTGTTCACATAATTTTGGAAATCTCTGACATAGACATTTATATCACTTTATAAGTCATATAATAACTCTCTCTCTCTCTATCGTCACAGACCACGTCCGCCAACTGCATGTCTCTGGGCCGCTCGTACATCTTCGTGGGCTGCGCGGAGGGCATCGTGAGGTGCTTCGCCCCCGACACGCTGCGGTACATCACTACCCTGCCCCGGGCGCACTACTTGGGAGTCGATGTGGCTGGGGGCTCCAACATCAGGTTAGAGACACGAAAATAATACTAAAGATCAGTGTTTCTCAAACTATTTGGATCTATATCCTAGTTTGCAGGACAAATATGGCTATTGTAGCATATGAATTGTGTACGGAAATAAGTAGAAATACTAAATACTTATTTTTGACTAGATCAATTGCATATAGAAAACATATATAAATATTATAAGTGCAATATATTTTCTCTATCTATAATTATTTTACTGCTTTTTAGTAATAACAATCATTGTAAGAATATTTTCCCCAAAGAGGGTTGATGTCAGGCAGGCGGCCGGTCGTAAAGACAATTAGCCAAAACTATTAACAACATGTAAGGCAGATCCTGGCTAAAGCTGGGAAATTGCCAGGTAGAAGAAGAATTATTGTAAGAATATAGTCTTGAGTTTTGAATCTCCTCTAAATCGTATAAATTCAAAAAGCCCCCCACGTTGGGAAACACTGCTCTATACCCTACTGTTCATACAGTATCCATATAAGATCATATTAAATACTTACCTAATGTATGTATGTCTTCTAATTCCCTCCCCCTAGTCACATGTTCAGTCACCCCCCCGAGGCCCGTTACCCGGACGCCGTGGCGCTCACGTACGACGAGAGGAACCACAAGCTGACCTGCGTGTACAACGATCACAGTCTGTACGTGTGGGACGTGCGGGACATTAAGAGGGTAGGTTGATCTAGGAAACGGATGGATCGATTATGATGAGACTTAAGTCGCGTTAAACATAGTATACTAGCTGCGCCCCGCGGTTGTAAAGTAGCCTATGTATTATTCCTAAACGTCAGCTCCTGTATACAAATTTTTAACAAAATCGGTTAAGCCGTTTGAGCGTGAAGAAGTAACAAATATACATACTCACAAACTTTCGCAATTGTAATATTAGTAGGATTATGAGATGTAACGATTCAAATGTGATTGTACATTTATAATCATGAAGAAATTTAAATAAACCCAATGTTTTTCGGATTATTACGTGTACATATTTTATTATTTTACTACATACTCTCGACGTTTCGTTTGCAGCAACCGTGATCTCAGACAGAGAGATCCGAAAATATTATTAGTTTCATTCAAAATAGTTAGTTGAAATAAAACCCTTTTTTAATGACCTCCGTATATTTAATCAACCTTCAACCGACAAAACTATGATACGACTATTCACACACAGATTAACAATATATTGCGCGTTAAAATAGATTATAACATTAACTTATATTCAACAGTCTCATTTAAATTAATACATTTCCTGATATCACTGTTTCTCTATATAAAATGGTCTTCATTGAAAATCTTAGTTCTATATAGGTATGTACATATATATTTTTTATATTAGAGATCTTTATTTTCCAAAAAAGACACAAAGTCACTTACATGGAAACAAAAAAATCAAGTAATACATATTAAATGTCGTTCTTAAGACATAACTACATAACGAGTTGTTTTATATATATACTTCAATCTTTTTAATTCTATATATACTTGATGTTCATTTTAACCCATACCCATCTCCACCAGGTGGGTAAGTCCCACTCGTCGTTGTACCACTCCGCGTGTATCTGGGGCCTGGACATGGTGTCTTCAGGTCCGCTGGGTCCCGGCTGCTTCCTGTCCTGCTCCAGCGATGATACTGTCCGTCTGTGGACACTTAGTGGATCTAATAATATATATAGCAACGTGAGTAGTGACTTATATACTACTACTAGAACACCCGGCGAACTTCGTATCGCCCTATAATCAAGAAATATCTGTTACGCTTTTTTATTTATATTTTTGGAGTTTACCTATTAAAGCCATAAATCTCCGTGCTTTGAAGTGCGACAGAATGATTGACATATTAGTTAGTTGTCAAATCTAATGTCAAAAAAAAAACGTTTGTATCAACAACTACTAATAAATTAAAAATAAATTAAAATTTAACAAATTTGACTGTTACTACTATAACATGTCTTACATTAAAACAAGGTTGATCAAGTCATTGAAATAAGATATAATATCAATTCTGAATCAAATCAGTGTCTCCTTGTAAATATCATTCCAGTCGCAACCTGTAAATAGATATTAGTGATTTTTTTGATTCATTATTTTATGTTTAAAAGCAACAGTTGTATGTATTAAAACTTTTTAATAAAAAGCCTCTACTGAACAATTGTCATTTTGCACATTGGCCCTTATACATAGGAGTAATAAATATAAATTTTGATAATTTCCAGGAATTAAGCAAAATCCTGTACATTGACCCCGAGCTGAAGTTTCTAAAGGACGTTGACCTCACGGCGACCAGTGATAAGGACAAGTCTAAGACATATGATGATAAAACAGGCGTCAGGTATGATATGTAGTAATATTAAACTTATACAGAAATGATAGTTTTACTATGACATATAAATAATTGAAAACTACCTGCATTATGTTGGTACATGGCTAGTATATTAGTTTAAACCAACACATATGTATTTTTTTACTGATTTCAAAAAGAATGTTTCTCAATTCGACTATATAATATATGCTTTATTAATATTTATTATGTATTTAAATGAAACTAATATTTTTCTGATTATTTATATGTGAATTCACATCTCTTCTTTGTCATCACGTTTGATGAAAAGTAACTGAAACATTGGGATCTGGATAATGTTAGTTTCATTTAAATGTAGAATACTTGCGAAAATGTTAGATATTATTACATGTAAATTATGTAGTATGTATGTATGTGCTAACATTGCTTTAAAGTTTAACCTATTCCTTATAACCTTTCAAACAAATTCTTAATAAATCTTCAGTACAACATTATATTTAGTATACATATACAGGGTGACTGGTGAATTACTATCAATATTTAAGGAGCATACTCGGTACATGATTCTCATTCGAATTATGTAAAAAAAAATAGGTACTTAATTTTTGACAAAATTTCCGTATAAATAAATAAAGTGTAGACACGTTCCAAGTGTTCCAAGTGTGGACGCGTGCGGCGGCGTGCTGATACAACACTACGCCGCCGTACGCGTATGTGTGTGTGTGTGTGTGTATACCTAATCTGTAGGGTGTTCACACGATGCGTAATTAATTACATAACTTTTGGTTAACTTTACTTAGAAGTTTATTAATATTTATGTTATATTAATTTTTATTTTGTCATATATGATCGTCAAATATCACGTCCTCAAGTATCGATAGTAATTCACCAGTCACCCTGTATATTATAATAATATGGATTATTTTTAATTATTAACTATTTTTCTTCTAATTCAAAGTTTTCCTAAGTTTATACAATATTTTTTTAAATTTTATTTTGTTAATTTTACGTAGTATTTTTGTTTTATATTTAAATTAGTGTGTAAACTTTTTCAATTGTGCACTGTTTGTATTTGGTAAATGTTATGTACACTTATCATTGACGTACATATCTGATGTTAAAATATAGTCACCTTCCTTAACTGTAAATTTTAAAACTGTAAAATTAAAAAAATATTCATGTATATTCCAGATGTGTCCGCGTGTCTCCGTGCGGCGAGCACATATCAGCGGGTGACCGAGCGGGTAATGTGTGGGTGTATGACGCCCGCGGGACCTTGCTGCACACGCTGGAGGCTCATGATGCGGAGGTTCTGTGTCTGGAGTACAGCAGCCAGCCACGACTACTGGCATCAGCCTCTAGGGATAGGCTGGTGCATGTGTTCAGTGTGGATAGGGTTAGTTACTCATACTATATACAGGGTGACTGGTGAATTACTATCGATATTTGAGGACGTGATATTTGACGATCATATATGACAAAATAAAAATTAATATAACATAAATATTAATAAACTTCTAAGTAAAGTTAACCAAAAGTTATGTAATTAATTACGCATCGTTTGAACACCCTACAGATTAGGTATACACACACACACACACTCGCGCGCGGCGGCGTGTTGTTGTATCAGCACGCCGCCGCACGCGTCCACATTTGGAACACTTGGAAAGTGTCAACACTTTATTTATTTATACGGAAATTTGGTCAAAAATTAAGTACCTATTTTTTTTTACATAATTCGAATGAGAATCATGTACCGAGTATGCTCCTTAAATATTGATAGTAATTCACCAGTCACCCTGTATATAATGTAACATATATAATAAATAGGTAAATATATATAGTTATGTATAATAGTCGCGTGACGAGCAGAAGCACAGAACAAAGTTATTTATGGTTAAAGATATTTATTCTCATAAGAACATATGTATGTAGGTTCACTTACATGAGATTAAATAATGTTACACATAAATAAATATTTGATACATGGAATGGCTAGTACTACTTAATATTGTCTTATATATATATTTTAAGTTTATTTTTAAAAGCATATATACATTAACATTCCTTCATGTAGTTTGGCAAATCATTATATAGTTTTACTCCATCAAAACATAATAACTCTCTTTCTCATGTATGTAAGTTCAAAACAACCGAATATGTTAAGAGACGAAATGATTAGACAAACTTACATTCTCACCTTTTGTTTCTGTAACTGTAAATCTAATGTAATGTTATATAATAAACACAGTATATATGGTTGGATGTATTACTCATTATAGAATGATTCTCAGTATGACTTTTATCAATACACAGTATATAAAATGTTATTTAAGACATCCACAGCTTACACTTATTACTAACAGGTAACCTACATAGTCTGTGTTGCCATATATTTATTTATTTGTAAAACACTTTACAATGCAATTTATAGGAAATGTTACCTTCCACACTAGACTAGGTCTGTATCGTGGACACGATTCAGTAAATTATTACTACTCTTAAAATAATAGTTAATGACAATCACACAGAAAGTGGTATATACAGAAACTATATATATGTATATATAATTAGCAACATATCAACTTAAGGTGGTAGAGCCTAGCTGTAGCCAAATGATTGCAGCTCGAACTTGGGCTGGCTCGACCGGGGAAGTACCACCCTCCCACAGAAGGTCGGCGTAAAGTAGCCTTAGTGGCTGCGTTTCGTCTGATGAGTGGGAGAGCCGGTTGCCCTTTCCCTTTCCCCACCCTTCCCTCTCCCAGGATGCTGATGTGTCTGTTGACTCTCTGTCCTACATCTGTCGAAGTCTGTTTTGAGATGTTGAGCGTGTTTCATTGGCATGGGGTCCAGGGAGACCCGATGAAACGGTTTACCGCTGGCCGCCCGTTGGTCCGTAGGGTACCCGAACCTAGACTGTCCCGATCTAGGAGGCTGTCCCACCGCCAATGAAAAAAGCCCGTCGGTTGTTGACTGTGCCGGAGTGGGAGACCGGGGTGGAACCCAGTTAGCAACCGCGGGTCGGATCGGGGGCCCTTCCGTGCCCCATGCCAGTGACACACAAAACTCTACGCTCAATTCAGATCAATGGCAATGTTCTTTGACAGGATAGTTGATGGGCTATCAGCAGCCTTCCTTCACTCCCACTCCCTGAACAAAAAAAAAAAAAAAACAAATATGGCTGTCAAAAAAAAACTACTAAAGGTCTCTACAGCGGCGACCCCTTCCACGTTTGTAGTGGACTTTTGCAACATAAGGGGTATACACTCCAACCTTAATGCTGTCCATCACCACCTAGAGACGGCTAAGCCGGCCTTGTTATTTTTGACTGAAACACAAATATCTACTCCTCTAGATACCTCGTATCTGCATTACCCCGGTTACAGACTTGAGCACCTATTTCTACCGCGGGCCGGGGTGTGCTTATACGTCAAGGAAGATATTTGTTGTCAACGTCTTGACAGCCTCGAACATAGGGACCTATCAGTGATGTGGGTGCGAGTGGACAACGGTAGCTCAAGCCGTATCTACGCGTGCCTGTACAGGTCCCATAGTGGTAACACCGAAGTCGATCGTCTCTTTGGACACATCCAGGAGGCTACAGATTTTGTTCTCCAGCGGTATCCCAGCGCGGAGGTAGTGATCCTTGGCGACTTTAACGCCCACCATTGCGAATGGTTAGGATCACGTACCACAGACTACGCTGGTAAAACCGCAAATAACTTTGCTCTGGCTTATGGGTTAACTCAGGTAGTTCCAGAACAGTTCAGCGAGTGCGTCATCTCGCGGAAAGAGGCCGCTGAACGAGCGCGGGAAGATGACCCCTCCTCGGCGCCCCTGCGTCGACGAAGGCTGGGTAGAAGGCAGCGGGCCTACGCTCGCCAAATGCCTCCCCAGTGAGAGGAGCCTCCGGGCGTTGGTGGGGAACCGGCGTCCGGGCAACATAGGCTGGAGTGAGAGTGGCGTGCTTGGCGTTCCCGGCACGCTGCTCTGGAGTCGGAGGGGAAGTGTGGTGAAGCCACTGTGACCCCTGCCGAAGACGGAGTCCATGGGACTCGTGCGTAGTGAGCGGAAGTATGGCTTGCCGTTCCCGCTCACTAGCCTACGCACAGCGCAGAGAACGCCGAGGAGTTTAGTGGGTGGAAATCCCACACGCCCCCGCCGTGTTTTCCCCCGCGGCGGGAAGTCTTTGAAAGATTCTCCTCGTTCCAGAACACACTCGGATCCCTGATGTTGAGGACCATAACCCCTCTTTGTTGGACCTTCTGCTGACCACTCGCCCGGATTGCTACATGCTGTCCGTCAATGCACCCCTTGGGTCATCTGACCACTGCCTGGTGCACTCCGAGGCTCAGATAGTGCAAAAAACGACTCCTCGTCCACCAGGGAGACGTCTTGTATGGCACTACAAGTCGGCAGATTGGGATGGATTGCGAGAATATTACGCATCCTACCCCTGGAGGCAGCTTTGTTTTTCTTCGGAAGATCCTTCGATCTGCGCGAACGCCGTTGCGGATACTATTCTGCAGGGAATGGAATGTTTCATTCCCAGCTCTGTTATTCGCACGGGGGGTAAGTCGCGGCCCTGGTTTGATAAATCCTGTACAGGAGCGTTACGCTCGAAACAGTTGAAGTACCGATTATGGGCTGCGGCATCAGCTGCGAAGGATCCAAAAATATCCGAATTGAAAAAGGGTTATAATGCTGCTTCCAGGTCTTGCAAAAAGGAGATCGCCAGAGCAAAAAAGGAGCACGTACGCAGAATTGGAGAGAGACTACTAGACGTTCCCTCGGGAACTCGTTCTTTCTGGTCTCTCGCCAAAGCGATACAAGGCAATTTTTGTAAGTCCTCTCTACCATCCTTGCACAATCCTGACGGGACGCTGGCTCATTCCGCAAAAGAGAAGGCTGACCTTCTGTGCACTCTTTTTGCGTCGAATTCGACCCTTGACGACGAGGGAAAAGCACCACCTACCATCCCACGGTGCCGAGAAACTATGCGCAATGTGCGTTTTACGCAGAGCGCTGTGCGTGCCGCCCTATCGTCCCTCGACGTCAAGAAATCCAGCGGCCCAGATGGTATCCCAGCCATTGTGCTTAAGATGTGTGCTCCTGAATTGACTTCGGTTTTAACGCGCCTATTCTCACTCTCTTATACTACTGGTAAAGTACCGTCTTCGTGGAAAGTGGCCAATGTTCACCCTATTCCCAAGAAGGGTGACAGCACAGATCCATCCAATTACAGGCCTATTGCGATTACTTCCCTACTCTCAAAGGTGATGGAGCGAATCATCAATACGCAACTTTTGGGCTATCTAGAGGATAACCAGCTTATTAGTGACCGTCAGTATGGTTTTCGCCACCGTCGAAGCGCTGGTGATCTTCTAGTATACCTCACGTATCGATGGGCTGAAGCCATTGAGAGCAAAGGGGAGGCCATGGCAGTCAGCCTAGATATCGCAAAGGCCTTTGATCGGGTCTGGCATCGCGCACTTTTATCGAAGCTTCCATCGTACGGACTACCCGAGGAATTATGCAACTGGATTGCCAGCTTCCTTCATGGGCGGAGCATACAGGTCGTTGTTGACGGTTCTTGCTCGGAACCCAAGCCCATCAACGCTGGCGTCCCACAAGGCTCTGTGCTATCACCAACACTGTTCATTCTGCATATCAACGATATGCTGCGAACCAGCAACATTCGGTGCTATGCAGATGACAGTACTGGTGACGCTTACTACATGGGCCGAGCTAATATTCCTCGTGACCAAGTAGAAGAGAGCAGAAAGAGACTTGTGTCTGAAATTGAGACCTCCCTGGAGCAGGTCTCCGAATGGGGTAAGCTGAACCTTGTTCAGTTCAACCCCAAGAAGACACAAGTTTGCGCGTTTACCACTAAAAAGACCCCATTTACTGTAGCTCCAACGTTCCAGGACATTCCCCTTAAGATTAAACAGAGCATTGGGATCCTTGGGGTTGACATAGCGAACGACGTTCAATTCCCGAGTCATTTGGAGGACAAGGCTAAATTAGCGTCTAAAAAACTAGGGGTACTGAGTAGAGCGAGGCAGTACTTCCACTTGACTCCATACAACGTCGGGCAGTTCGCATTGTCAACGATCCCATGCTCACAGACGATCTAGAACCCTTAAGCCTCCGAAGGGAAGTAAGCTCCCTCTGTGTGTTCTATCGTCTGTACAATGGGGAATGTTCCGAGGAACTGTTTGATGTAGTGCCGTCTTCTACATTCCACCATCGCACTACTCGGCGTAGGGTTGGATTTCATCCACATCATCTGGATGCATTCAGTTGCAGGACTGTACGTGCGTCGCGATCATTTTTTTCACGCACGTGCAGGATGTGGAATGATCTTCCGCCCGAGGCTTTTCCAGAGAGCTACAACATGGGGTCTTTCAAACATCACGTGTTCAGGTGGCTCCTTTCCAAACAAGGCCGGCAACGCATCTACAACACCCCTTGTGCTGCAGATGTCCATGGGCGACGGTAACCACTTACCATCAGGTGGGCCGTCCGCTCGCTTGCCCCTTTGGGCCATAAAAAAAAAAAAAAATAAAAAAATAAAAAAAAATATCAGTTCTATAACCAAAATTTTAAATATTAATGCAGCATAAACCTACCTACCTAAACTGACCTATCTATTAAAGCAAATCACAGCCTATATTTATTACTAAAAAATAACATACACAATATCAAATCAGTTATATAATCAACTCAACGTGTATATGTTTCCAGGGCTACCAGATCCTCCAGACTCTTGATGAGCACTCCTCATCCATCACGGCCGTGAGGTTCCTTAACTCCGGAGCCGGTCTACAGCTGGTGTCGTGCGGCGCTGACAAGACTATACTGTTCAGACAGATGAGGACGGTGAGACATATATATATATATATATATACTAGCTGCGCCCCGCGGTTGTAAAGTAGCCTATGTGTTATTCCTGGTCGTCAGCTCCCTGTGTACGAAATTTGATTCAAATCGGTTCAGCCGTTTGAGCGTGAAGAAGTAACAAACATACACACGAAAGAACTCGTTAACATACACATTATTAGCTTGTAATTGTTGAGGAAATTAAAACTACCTCCACACTATCACTGTATGTATATAAATGTCTGTATGTATGTTTGTCTGTTCGTCTCTCCAGAACCCTGACGGCAGCTTCCAGTTCCAACGCGGACAGAACGTGTCGGGACGGAGCACCCTCTACGACATGGAGGTGGACGCGGGCGGGCGGCACGTGCTCACAGCCTGCCAGGTACACGGACACACACACAGACACACATACTGTTAAAGAACTTGTAGGCTGTAGACTGAGACATGTGCTTATTTTATTTTATTTATTTAATAGGAAGCCAACGTGATACACAAAACTTATAACTACATTATAACATGATAGAACATAATTGTTTACAGTTACGTATCATCACTTACAAGCTAACTCAACATGGGTTACATAATGTTCAGATCTTACTCCAAAACTTACTAGACACAATAAAAAAAATGGTAAAAAAAATATGTATATAACAACAAAAAAGAATAAAAAAAAATTATAATAATAATCTAAATACAGCTATATAAAAAGATAATTACCAAAAAAAGTTGTGACATGACATATTATTGAGAATGGAAATGTTTTTTAATTTTACTTTTATACAAACTCAAACTATCATTAAAAATGTCTAGTTTGCTTTACGATCAATATCATGATAACTTTTAATGATTCAACTTATTGGCGCAGCTTGGCCTAAAGTGGTCCTAGAAAATCTACTTTTAAAAGTGTAGTATGTTGTATATATATATGTATGTGTGTGTTCAGGATCGTAACGTGCGTGTGTACAGCGCGGCTCACGGGCGACACACCAAGACGTTCAGAGGGACTACGGCTGAAGACGGGACGCTCATTAAGGTTAATATATATGTATTGTAAATACGCTAATTTACTTGATCAATAATGATAATAATAATTTTAACTTTATAGAACATTTTCTTTATTCCATTAATTATACTTTTTTCATTACTGGAAAAGCTTTTGAATATGTCTATTTCAATCAATCACAAAGATAATTGTTATGAAACGACGTAATCATAATTATAATGTACGAACTTGATAAGCTTTGTTATATTAATAATATATTTAATGTATGAAATCTGAAAATCAGTGCTGTGCATTAGCACAGCTTATACTGAGATGAACCTCTTGCTCCTACACTGTATTCTTTAAATTTAATTATTTTCTTCTGTATAATCTACATATGTAATGTAAGTGTGTACCAAAAAAATTTTTTTAAATGGTTTAAGAAACGAAAGAAGTCATAGGCGAAACATAGTTATATATTAATTAATATTCAATATATATATTCAGGTGGCCCTGGACAGTAGCGGCATTTACCTAGCCACTTCGAGCACCGACAAGCTGCTGAGTGTGTATGATTACTACTCCGGGGAGTGTATGGCCACGATGTACGGACACTCGGAGATAGTCACCGGACTCAAGTGAGTAATGCACACACACATATGTACACACACACACAAACACACACACATGGGTACACGTTATATAACAATAATTGTTATTTAATGTTTAATTCATTACTAACTAGGCGCCCCGCGGTGTTACGGTGATTTCCGGGATGTAAAGTAGCCTATGGGTTATTCCTGAACGTCAGCTTCCTGTATACAAAATTTTATCAAAATCGCTTCAGCAGTTTGAGCGTGAAGAAGTAACAAACATACACACACTCACAAACTTTCGCAATTATAATATTAGTAGGATTGTGAAAAAATTACCTTAAAAGTCGTTAATATTAAACTATCTTCAAATATGGAGAAATAAATAGACGTCGTGCTTTCTTGCCTACCGCTATATTTCCAGTGACATCGTACTACACAAAATGTCTATTAAATACATATATTGGACAAGTTATATAGAATTCCCCACTTTACTACAAATATATAAAAAATTACAGCTCGAATTATCTTCTGATAATCTTCTAATAAGCTTCCAATGTTAGCTACTCGGATTTGCACTATCCCCAACTATATAATATGTAATTCTAACTATCTATTAATTATTAATATAAGTCGTTGTCTTCCCTAAGGTTCACTCCAGACTGCCAGCATCTCATCTCCGCGTCGGGTGACGGCTGTATGTTCGTGTGGAGGGTGCCTCACGACATGGTGGTCACTATGAGGGCCAGGCTCGCGCAACAGGCGATACGACATGGACGGTAGGAGGGGGGAGGGGGGCTTTGACTGACTGAATATATAGACTATATAGAAAGTTGCAAAGAATCGACGATAGATGGAGTTCTTACCAAAAATATTATTTTGATGACTTTTATTTTATTTTATTTGGATAACCAACAAAAGAAAACATTATTACATTCATTTCATTATCAAACTATTAACAATGACTTAAATGTCCTTTTAATTACAGGCTATAACATCATGCAAAATATAATAATTGTAGTATGTATATCAAGATTTAAATTAAAAAAACAATAATAATAAATTCAATAAAACATTACATAATAATCAATAACATTGACATAACTCATAACATTATCACAGAAAATACAATTTAATATTTCAATACAACACAAAGTTTTAAAATATCACAAAATGAAATTAAAAAGAAAATATTTTATTTTATTATAGTATAGACTTTTACAAGTTACTGTATTTTTGTCAACTAAATGTTTTTATTAGTCAATGAGAATTTCAGAGATAAACAAATGAACAGAAACCTATATTGTAATATAACAGCAGATGATTTTAGTTCACACATTTGCCGCAGACTGTTAATAGCGCTGTTGACGTTTTTACATTGCTTTAACTAGTTTACTGAATCCTTTGTACTGTATTGTATTTATTTATTGCTGCCTATTCTCCTATTATGTCATTTGTTTTTTAATTTTTTGGAAGATATAAAGGCGTTTTACATGATGTATATGAATTTTTTATATTAGGTTTAGGTTTAAAGAAGTTTATTTCCAAAAAGAACAAAGTTCGCTTACAAAGGAAATTTTAAAAATTATAACTACAATTAAGATTACAAATAATAAACAGTAATGATATTAAACAAGATCAGTGAAATCTTCTAATATATGGGTTCTTAATCGTGTTTTAAATATATTTAGAGATTTTGAATTGACAACACTTAGAGGTAAAGAGTTATATTATATATGTATTGTATATGATGTTCCTGTATTAATTCCTCGTTTCCCCCCTCAGTAAGGCTCCCACAAACGGCGCGAGCGTCCCGTCCAGCGAGGCGGAGTCCTACTGGGGCTCCCCGCCGAGGGACCTGCCGCCGCCCGGGGAGGCCTTCGCCGCGCCCGTCGTGCCTGACTACACGTGAGATAACACACACATATACAGGGTGACTGGTGAATTACTATCAATATTTAAGGAGAATGCTAGGTACATGATTCTCATTCGAATTATGTAAAAAAATAGGTACTTAATTTTTGACAAAATTTCCGTATAAATAAATAAAGTGTGGACACGTTCCAAGTGTTCCAAGTGTGGACGCGTGCGGCGGCGTGCTGATACAACACCACGCCGCCGCGCGCGAGTGTGTGTGTGTGTGTGTGTGTATACCTAATCTGTAGGATGTTCACACGATGCATAATTAATTACATAACTTTTGGTTAACTTTACTTAGAAGTTTATTAATATTTATGTTATATTAATTTTTATTTTGTCATATATGATCGTCAAATATCACGTCCTCAAGTATCGATAGTAATTCACCAGTCACCCTGTATATTATTTATTATATAGTTTTTACATTTATATTTATTATTTATAATTATTATTTATATTTCTATATAACCAATATTGGGTTTTCGTTAACTCATAATTACATTGACATCTCAATACATTTATATTTTGTACTTAATGTATTAAACCACAAAAGATATCATTTATGAATACATTTGAATCAGACTGTGTTACAACTCCTCTCTATATATCATTCCAGTCTCCGTATAGGTCGTCTTCCGTCATGGGCCAAGAAGAGTCTGGGCGACGAGCTAGTGCCTGGCGCCCAGCCCACCGCCCCGCCCACCGGCCCCGCCCCCGCCGCGGCGCCCGTCCCCCTCGCCCGCGGCAAGTGGGCCACGAGGATACTACCCTCTGGTAAGACATCCCTACTAATATTATAAATGCGAAAGTAATTCTGTCTGTCTGTCTGTTACGCTTTCACGCCTAAACCACTGAAGTGATTTTAATGAAATTTGGTACAGAGACAGAGTCGACCTTGAGAAAGAACATTGGATAGTTTTTATGCCAGACTTTTTGAAGGTTCTCTTGGAAACGCGATATTACCGAAGCTGCGGGCGGAATGCTAGTTTATATAATAGTTTTTCTCCTTTAATATTATATATATATATATATATGTGTGTGTGTGTGTGTGTGTGTACAGATAAGCGGGTTGACTCCGACGGGTCCAAGGACAGCTCCATAGACAGTGGAACAGACACCAGGTACCACGACCGGAGACACAAACAGGTGAGAGAGAGAGGCAGATATATAGATAGAAAGAGATGGAACATGTGCAATATATACAGGGTGATTAGATGTTCATAATGTTTGTAAACAAACAGAAAAATATATACTGAAAGTCGCAGGTTCGAGTCCTGTAAATATGTATGGTCAAGATTATAATATGTAGCTTATGTACGTGCCTGTGTGTGTTGATAACTATTTGTGTGTGTGTGTGTGTGTGTGTGTGTGTGTAAGTTGTCCCAAGGTTATTACTTTATATTTTTGTTATATGTTATATTTCCTTTGTATATTATATACTACATGTCCTGTAACTAACATCCCCACTCCTCGCTCGGCTGTCGGTGGAGGTGTATGTGTATGTATGTGTGTTACACACACGTTATATAACAGTGAGCGGTCATTGACCCCTGTATACTGTATATTAACCCGTGATCCGGTTGTGGTCTCTATCTGTATACACATAGAGGCCGAAGTCGCTCAACCTGTGTCAACTGCCGCGGGTCGAAGCACTCTTCAGAAATTTCGATGCCAATATGAGGGCGACGTACGACATACTTTCAATATCACCCAGATTAGAGAAGGTTGTTTTTGTTTAGTTTTTTTATCTTGTTTGGCTGTCCGCTTGCGCCACGTGTGTCACGTCACGTCAGTTGTGTCACGTCACGTTTTGTTTGCTCTGGAGCGTGTCATAGCCATTCACTTGTTATGTTGCCTGTGTTTTGTTTTTTATTATTTTTTTATATATTTTATATAAAAGACGGATTAAATACACTGATTAAATATTAATTAAGTTGAAGATATTTTTCGAAATTCCAATAATGATATTTAATAATTAACAATTTAGTTTGTTTAAACAGAGAAAAAAAATGCTTTAGTGTCGGATAAAATAAGAAATTCGAAAACAGCGGTACTAGAAAATATTAAATTACATTACTTACAATATATGTTACTCACATCTTAAAATATATAAATATCGAATGAATATAGCTAACAAAAAACTGCATTCCTAATAAATAATACATTGAAGAAATATATGGAAAATATGTAATAGCTTGGCTTGATAATTTAATAAAAAAGTAATTAGTATGTACTAAAAATGATCATCACTAACATACAGACAGCTTGTACTAAAACATTCATAATATAGATAGCTTGAACTAACATGAATATACAACTACCCGCATTTTTCTAAAAACTCATAATATACATAGTTTGGAACTAAAAATAATGTAAATTATCAACTACCCGCATTTGTTTTTTGCTTGCTTGTTCTATATCAGTTTGTTAATTTTTCTTTCTGTTTGTTTTTGTTTAATTTTGATTTAATTCTGAAGGTTACGTTAAACCTAACCCAAGCTCGACCCGAGGCGCGCATTCGGCATCACACCGACGACTCATCGTTAGGGAGTCTCAAGTTCGAGGTTAGATATTAATTGATGTTTGTGAGAATTATGTTTGAGTGGTGAGAGGTCTTGTTATAATAATAATAATCTTTTATTTCGACCAGTCTGATCATATTTACAAAATTGTTAGTATAGTGCACTAATTAACCTATTGTTAGTAAAAAATTACATAACTTAAAATTATAGTTTTATAGTACATTTCTGACATAAAAGTCAGTGGTGGCCTAGTGGTTAAAGGGCCCGTCTATCGTTGCCGATGGTGCGGGTTTGATCCTGGCCCGGGCAAGTACCAATGTGATTATTCCGAGTCATATGTACTTTCTAAGAGTACTTAGACATCACTGATTAATGCATTCCCAAAAGAGGGTTGATGTCAGGCAGGCGGATCGCAAAAACAAATAGCCTAAACTATTCACAACATGTAATGCAGACCCTGGCTATAGCTGGGAAATTGGCAGGTAGAAGAAGTACCTTTTTTACATGTTATATTGGTTATGATGATGATTATATTTCTAGGATCAAGAGTCAACAGAACATGATGGTGATGTAGAGGATATATCAGATGGTGAGAGGACTTCCTCCTCGGAGAGAGGCAGACCGACATACTACCCCGGGAACAACGATGATGACGTGCCCAGGTGAGAGAGGGACAGATATATATAGTGTGAGAACGAGACAGATAGACATAGCTATGTACATTTTTGGTTGAAGAATAGTGATAAATCGCTACCCAATATATACATATATGGTTAGTTTGAAAACTGTATGAATGTAAATCAGGAAGAATCTCATTGAATCAATTGTTACTACTACTATTGATACATATACATAATATATTCTAAATGTATTCAAGTTTGGAAACTCCTTGTCTTTATGTTACTTAATTTTAGTTCATTGTAGTTTTATATTAATGACTGTTTGTGTCAAAATAAAGAGAAAAAAAAATTACTTATTACCTCTTAAATATTCCGCTTTGTGTTTTTATAGAGTGAACTAACTAGTTTTATATTCATTATACAAGTTTCTTGTTGTTGTGTAACATGAGCATGTAACATATGTACAAACATCAAAGACTTCTTTTATGATTGTTTTATTTTATACAGGGTGTATGAAAAACTGTGCCAACCCTTGAAGGCACGTATACATATAAGTATAAGTTTATTATAAAAAATAGTATAACTTAAAAAAAATCAAGCAGAAGTCAGTTACAGTGCATAGGCTAAGTAAGTTTTAAATCGACATTTTTCGAAAATATGTTCCAAACATCTGACTCATACAAGGTCAAGACACCGTATAGTCGCTACGACGCATGCGTGACCATTGACCGCGGGTGACGGGACGCCGGCGTTATTATTACTATTCTGTTAGTTGTCGAATAGAGATTTGAAAGTGTAAAAATTAGTTATATCGATAAATATTCTATCGACATTTTCAATATTGGTATAAATAGTTATGCTTTTCACATTAAAATAATTTCATTTAAAATAACTTTTATTAATAATAAATATTATAATTTGAAACTTGTTCAGGTAAATTAACTACATATGTTGTATTATTAGGATAAATCGTTAATCTATTTCTGTTAAAAATGATGTTTTACAATCAAACATAATATTAATGTTTGATATATCAAAATAAGTATCGAAATAATATGAATATTAAATATTTATTTATTGTTATGATTTTTTAAATATCGATATTCTCAATAATGTGAAAGTAACTTCAAGGTCGTCACTAGTAGCGCAGCAGCTGTGATGACGTCATTGCGTGTCATCGTGTTATACCAGGGTTTACAAACATTTTGTTACTCTACATATAATAATCATTTAATATTTAATTTTATTATTTTTATTGAAGAGTTTGTAAATGTAAGTTGTTTTATTGTGTTACATTATCGATATTGATAACGTAGTTAAGAGGGTTGACACAGTTTTTCATACACCCTGTATAGTTTCTCAGTAAGTGAAATGTATGTATTTCTTTTGAGGAACTAATAAAGTTCTTAAACCATATGTATATATATATATATATTTATAAAGATATGTATTTCCCTCCAGTGAGTTCCTAGTGAACGCCATGGACGCGGCGGAGCTCCGTCAGTCTGTCCGTCGCGCGCGTCGCTGGGCCGCGCCCGCGCCCGCCTCGCTCACGGGCTCGCCGAGAGACTCGGACGAAGACGAGGTATGTAACATATATACATATACTACACTAGGCAGACCCTGGCTAAAGCTGGGAAATTGCCAGGAAGAAGAAGATACATATACTACACTAATAATACGTGATAGTGCAATGTGGTGCCCTGAGAGAGGAATGAAAGCCGAGACTGCTGAATAGATACTGTCTTTATTACCAATAGACCGTACAAAATTAGGTTACGTAGTATATAATGGTTAATAAGTATGTTTAGTTTATATCTATTCACAACATCTAAATTGCGAAAAAAAAAAATACCTTAAAAATCGTTAATATAGAATATATTTCAGCTCAAACTTTCTTTTGATAATCTGCTTCCAACGTAGATACTCGAAATTATGTATGTATCTGTTTGTATCAACACCGCCTTTTTCGGAATGGCCCCGTTGTTATCGCTCATTAGCTAATGACTGGGCGTAGCCTTTATTTTTGTTTTGCACACGGCATTTCTTCGAATTGAGATCGTTATATATTTGATCTTATGCCGCGTTTAGACGTGTTTTGTGTGAACTTGCATAGTTACTACATGTTAGTAACGTGTTTATCCACCAGGTGTCTACACCGTCGGGTGACAACGCGGAGAGGAACCCTCTGTCGGGCTCCAGCGAGTCACTCGACACGCTCGGCCGGAGGGAGAAATACATACAGTCGGCCTTCGACAGTCTGACTGGAGCGGGGGAGGGGGACGCGACGCACGGGGGTGGGTACACGCACACACACACACACACACATATATATGTATATATGGGGGATTCTATCGTCACGGATGGGACACTTGTACCTCTATTTTCAGCGTGTGTGGCTTATTTACGCTAATTGTATCAATGATATCTAATTGGTTTATATAGAATATAATAAATTTATCCATATACTTTTATAGGTACAATAAAGACAGGAATAACACCAGGTAAAATTTAATAAAGAAGACATTAAATATTTGTCATGGATGGGACAAAGTTGTGACATTCTTGTTACACATACATCTCATTTAATAAAACTCTGCTAGTTGATAAAAAAGGTTTACTTTCCCGTAGAATCCCCCATATATATATATATATATATACATAAAGCGATATTCCTCAGTATCATAGCTGGTAGCGATCGGCAAATGTTATCGAAAACTTAGCAAATACTATCTGAACAGAACTATGATTTTGAACGAAAAAAAACATGATTATCGTGAGTCGAGATCTCTGTTGAAATGAAAATCATAAGTCGCGAATTGATTTAGATAAAGTAATTATATTCAGCTGTATTATTAATGTAATTTATTATTGGTGTACTCGATGGATATAATGATCTCTCTATATGATTTTTTTTTTATTTCTGTGTAATGTTTCAGGCAACACGTCACTATCATCGCAGCACCGCGCGCCGCGTGACCCCGAGGCGGCAAGGAGGAGGGAGGAGCTTCAGAGGAGGATACACGAGACGAGGAGGCAGCTGGAGACGGTGAGTGAGGGAGGAGGAGGGAGGAGTTAGGGAGATAGAATAGATAGACGGTGTATGTGTGATTAGTTTCTTTGGTCGAGAATTTGTGAAGTGAAATGTGGTGACTAAGTATAACTGGAATATATGGAGGCTTTTATATTATAAGGATTAAACTTTGATGTATATCTTGAAATTACTCTTTTATCTGTAATGTTAGTTTGTTAGTGAACTAAGATATGTTTCTGATCTATCTATACTTGTAATAATAATTAACTTTAGATAAGTTGGAAGATAATTTACATTGTATACCCCCAGGTGGCGTTTCGATCGAATCTTAAATCGAGCCAGTCAACGACGGACCTGTCATACATTCCAGAGAAAGATGGCTCCCGGCGAAGTAGACCGCTGTCTATGGCCGTGACGAGCAACAATAGACAGTTTGGTGAGTTTACATTTAGTTAATTAATATAACAAAACGTTTAAAAGATTAAACGACCAAAAATCATGTTTGTATGACAAATAATATGTACTACAGCTAACCGAACACACAAATGATATTAACACCACATTAATTTGTCACATATTTATATTTTAGTCCAAAAAAACTAATTTTATATCAAAACAAGTATATTGAGTCGTGTGAGACTTACCACAGCTAACACACATCGCTACGAATCATCCATAACTAATATGCCATCACTAACCAAATATTGTTATTCCCTTATGCTGGCCAGGATTCACTAAAACCCAAATATGTCCCGAGGACAATATGGATAGCTTGAATTATTTCGATAGTCTAAATTATCAGAATCTAGACTATCGAAGTAAGAACCCCTACGCCATACCCGCTAATCTGAATCATAATATAATACCGGAGTATTTTGACCGCGGGCCGAGTATACCGCCGCGCGCGCCGTCAACACACAGACAAGGGAACTTACCACATAAACCGACGAATGTAAAAGAAAATCAAAAGCCACTAGCATTCACCATAGACATGAAGAAACCTGCTTCAAAAGTCTTCACCAGACTATTCCCGACGGCTTCCGATGAAAAGGAACCGCCTAAGCTACCGCCACGAAATTTCCATTTGAATCTCAACGAAAAGCCTCAGCTGAAAACTCCCAAACCTAACGCTCGCAGCATATTCAAAAACTACAAATCATGTCCGGTTTCGCCTGTCTCCGAAGAGTGCAAGTGGGCGGATAAAGTGGAACAGAATCAAGTCAAAGATAATGATACAGATAGGCAAAGAACAGATGCTAAGAAGAGAAACTCACTGAGCTTCTTTATCGGTCTGGATAAAGGAAAAGAGAGTAGAAGTATTGTGGATACTATTAAGAGTGACACGGAGAAGATGATAGCGGAAATAACGAAGAAATATGGAGACCTGGATGAATATGAACCGGGGTCACATGAAGACTTGGACCTACAGCCGACCAGGGACATAGATAAGGATGATGGAAACTTCTCATCAGATTCATTGGAAGACTGCAGTTTGAGTCAGGACGTTAGCTGCAAAAACAAACTGCTGTCCAAGAAGATATGCAAGAAACATAATAAAGCGAAAACTGGACTGCCAAGACGAGCCGTCTCCAACTATGAAATATACGGCGCGTATGATAAGCAAGTACCTTTGAGACTGGCTGTGGCGGAAAAGAGTTCGACTTTACCGCGGAATATGCCGTCGAATCTGGATGACATTATGGATGAAGACGCAATGACGTGTACGATGTACAGATGTCAGAGCGTCCTAACGAAGCGATGCGTCACCAGGTCCAATGAATCAGTCCTCAGCGATCACTCTAACGGTTCGAGTGTTTCAAACGAGATATTCCTCAAGTACGGCAACGAAGTCGCCTTCCAGCAAGCCAAATTCGCGGACAGTCGATACAATCTCAACGGGTCACAAAACTGCTCGTATGAAAACATAAATGAACCAGACATGAGTTACTTGGAGAACCATAGACATAGCAGCGCAAGCTTCTTCCTCAATCAGAAGAAATACATGAAGAACAGCTGCAGCCAGGAGTCCGTGTTATCTGATGAATATTTAGATAACGACATACAGATGTCACGAACCAATTGTAATTCACTAGAAAGTGTTCTTTCCGATGACTCGGAATGCACGAAGAGCGCGCCTCTAGAAATGCTTTTTGAAGCCGCGAAACCTTTCCGTCATAAAAATAAACCTGCTGGAGTAACGAACAGCCAGAGTTGTTACGAATTTGACAATCAGTCGAAGAGTTACGGCTCTAGTCCGAATAATGTTCAGTATTTAACCGGATATATGTACAACAATTACTTCCAAGAACCTTCTAGTCCGCGGGCGGATTACAAAGAACCGTGTACGGTGGTAGCGACTAAACCTCCGATAAATAAAGTGTACGGCTTCGATATACCGACAGGAGAATACTCAGGACATAAAACGGTCACCCGCTCTAAAAGTTTATACGATTCTTCATCAAAGCAACCTCCGCCGGCAAAAAATATAGCTTATTACTTCGACGGGAACAACATACAACAATATAAACCAGAAACAAAACAGGATGAAATACCGCGCTTGAGTAAAGTAGATGAAATTCCTCGGCTGAATAGAGTAGATTACATGGCAAGCACCAGCAAGTCACTTCAACCGAAATTCGCTGAAAAACATAAATATAGAAGTGAAATGGAAGGCTGTGACAATAATGCGATGGTAAAGTCCAAAAGTTGCAGCTTCGAGGTTGTGTTGGAACCGGCTTCAAAACCGAATCCATTGAAAAATTTAATGGAAAAGCGAAATTCACATGTAAAGAAGAATCTACAAAAGTTCGAGGAACAAATACGAAAGAGCTCTCAGAGTAAAGTCAGTAAGAACCAACTCAATAAAGAAAAGGCTAACGTAGCCAAATATAACAACGCCACGAAAAGTTTAGAGAGAGACTCCGGACAAAAAATGAGTAATACAAAAATAACCATGGAGTTTGTACCTCACAAGCCGCCCAAACCTATCAAGAGAACGTCTTCCGTTAAAATGAATAACAGACTGAAAGCTGGCTTGGAAAAATCCACCTACAGCTCGTCCATCTCCTCACAATATAAAGCAAAATTAGACGGATTACAGAACAAGAACTACATCTCGAACAGAAAACAAGAAGATAAAAACTCAAACCTAGAAGACGCTTCAGATAGCACGGAAAAAACATTCGACGTATTCGTCAAAGAGAAAGATATAAACGAAAACAGATCCGAGATACAAATGGACAGCTTAGAAGTATATGCGATGCAGAGAATAGAAAGAATGAACCAAGTTAGCATGGATTCATTAGACGTGATAGAAGATAACCACGACTTCGCCAAAGACTCGTTGGATTACTACGGAGAACAGGATAATAAATACTATAATAAGGCTGTCAAAGAAAAATCTAACATCAATTACGTTAAAAATGAATTAGACAAGCCTTGTAACAGCGGGCATAACATCGCATCCAAAGAAAACATAGCGCCGGGATTCAGTGATGAAGTGAAGAAATTCAGATATATAGAACGAAAGCTGGAGATAATAAACAAATTAGTGGAGATGGAAGAGAGGAAGATACTGCAAGAAAAAGTATTAAAAGAGTTCAGAATGAGACCATTGAAAGCTAATATCAACGATGGGAAAGGAGTCGTTAAAGTATTGTCCAGGAAATTCGAAAAACTGGCGACAAAACAGAGCACTGTACCGAATTTTGCATCACTGACGCTAGAAGAAGCGGATACGGATACTGAAAACTCTGATAACAAAGAAATCAAAAGAAATCTAAGTCTTCCAGACATATTAGATATGGATCAAATCGGTTTAACAGTAGGCGGAGTGGATGTGTCCAACGAAGACGGAAACACAATGGATATGGAAGAAGAAGTCCCAGAAACAAAACTCAATAATACATTCCAAAATATACCGCGGCCTTTAAAACCATTAACACACAGAGTTTACAACGAAATGGTTATACCAAAAACTGACGTGCACCTCGACAGCGAGAATTACGAATCATCCACCACAAGTTCTAGCTGCACGAATTCACCAAAACGCATATCTATATACGGCTTCAACCGACCGAAGACTCCGTTCAGGAAAATATTACGAGCTCCCACACCGCGCGTGTGTTCAGATACTCCGTGTTATAGGATGAGGTCTATGTATAGCGGGCCCGGCGTTAGAGGCCTGCTCCGTAAAATCCCCGTAACTCCCGTCCTGCCATCGAAATTCTCACCACTAACAGGTTGGGCGCATGGTTAGACGTTTAGCTCCATTTTATTTTCGTTTTTAGCGCAGCATGTTTTCGTTTCATATATTATTTTGCACGTATTTTCCGTTTGTTATATTTATTATAAAGGCATGTGTACAACAGCACGTAATCTCCTGTCTCCCGATGAAGAGACGGGCATGCGACGTGCTATATCACTGTCTGACCTGGCAGCTAAGCCTGTGCCGGCGCCGAGGACGCCGCAAGGTTCGTATTGAAGGTAGCTAGTGGGATTGGCGCTATGTTCTAGGTGGTGGAAAGCATAACCAGAAACTATATTGATGGGATATAAAAGGTGGTGGGAATTATACTCATATACTAATGAGATGGAATATTTTCGCGAATCTTCATTTAAATGAAACTAATGTTTTTAGGATTATATTACGCGTGCTTTATTTTTGACTACAAACTACACACTCCCGACGTTTCGGCTACATTACAGCAACCGTGATCACGAAGACGAGAGTATTACTTAGTAGTAGTGTAGTTTTTTTATCCTTACTAATATTATAAATGCGAAAGTAACTCTGTCTGTCTGTTACGCTTTCACGACTAAACCAGTGAACTGATTTTAACGAAATTTGGTACAGACATAGAGTTGACCTTGAGAAAGAAAATAGGATAGTTTTTATGCCAGACTTTTGAAAGGTTCTCTTGGAAACGCGATATAACCGAACTCCACGCGGTCGAAGCTGTGGGCGGAAAGCTAGTCAAAAATAAAGTCGCGTAGTACATCCGAAAGATATTAGTTTCATTCAGACTATATTGGTGGGATATAACAAATGCGAGATGATAGGTGGTGGAAATTATAACGGTTCTAAAGTATCGTTAAAGATTTACACTAATTATATTAAATCAGGTCTCTTGTAAGGTTATTTGAATATACTATTCTATTATTTTCATTTATTTAATATATTAACTCTCGCTTTTAAAATGTCTTGTTAACAAATTGTTAGTTTATCTAATGTTAGTAACTGGGTAATCTAACTTAGTACCTGTAGAAGCATTATAGAACCTAACACTTTATTTCTTTCGCTGTTGTACTAAATATTTTTGTTCGCATGCCTGCATGTTATATACAATATATACAGCTTGCTCTTATAAAAATATATATGTATATATCTTTCTTTCTCTATTCATATATCTCATTTATCATATACATGTACTATTCAAACATCAGCAGGAGCATCAAAACCAGCTCAGCCGAGTCCTAACGGCAAATCTCCGAGTGGGTTCGTGAGACCGGCTCCACGTTACAACGGCAAGTCTAATATGACGAGGAGTTCTAGCGTCGGTGTATTGAACCAGGTTAGTGGTCCATTAGACCGAACAAAATTACATTTGGTCTATATATCAGTGTTTTTCAATATTTTTGGATATCGCGACCCCTTTACGGGTTGAATAATTTTGGCGACCCCCTTGTGTCATAGATAGGCAAGGAAATTATTAAATTAAAAGTCTAAAGACATATTAAAGTTACGGACATATTTGCAAAGGTGGACATTAAAACAAAAAGGAAAAATAAACTTCAATTACTACTTGATTTGATAGATAATATCAAAAATAGTACCAAAACCTGACATGATTTTGAAAAATATACAATCCCTACCTATTAAGATTATCCTACTTATTAAGATTTGGTTTTTATTGTAGTATAGAATTTTACTTTTTCTTTTTTACCGGTTACCCCCCTAGGGGTCGCGACCCACAGTTTGAAATATACTGCTCTATAGCATCATTACATCTGTTTGTGTAACTAATGAAATAATTGTTTTCCGATAATAATATGGTTTTAAATGAGTACAGTTGAAAATCTTAAACATTATATTTAGCCTTTCTCACTTTACTATATGTAATTTTGTTTGTCCAAATTATGGACTATTTTTCATCAGAACACAATAAATTCATCCAATATAGTTAGAATTGTTATGTTGAAACACGACCATTATATAGTTCTTTTTTTCTGACACCTGTGCCACTCTCTGCCTTGTGAAAAATAACATTCGTACATACTTTTTGTATGGTCCTCCAAATAAATTAATATATATGTTCAAATACCACAACCACATAAAATTAAAATAATTATTTTGTTACATGGTTATTGCTGTGTTTATTTTGTGAATGTTGCCGCTCTATTTGTCGGCAGAAAAATATGTCTACCTACTTTTAGTTTTATTATAATTTTTATCTGCGCATAACGTCGTATCTAAGAATAATATAAAGTTTTTGTACATTCAGCAATTCTTCCTGGCAACCCAGTTTTAGCCAGGGTCTGCCTACGTTTTGCCTTTGTACGTTCACCGATATTAGAAGTATTTTAGTACTTAATTCTATTTATTTCGATCAGAGCGACTCGGAGTCTGACCCGCCACACCGGGCCCAGGCCGGGTCCCGATCAGGTCTCATGAGGCCCACGATCAGTTCTGCCAACAAGGCAGCCGCTAACACGGCCCGCAGACGAGGCCTGGCTAACGCGTATAGTACAGGTGACTAACAAACATATACTATATATAACACACTATATATAGAAAGGTAAGTATGGAGATAATACAGCATAAGTGACGTACTTCTGGAAGGTCCAGCAATATCCAGGTGTATTCCAGCTCTTGATATTTATTGTCATATAATATCTCCTATCATGATATAGGAGATAGGTTTGCAAGCTATTCACTCATATACACTGTCTAACAAGACTTAGAACAGATTTGAACTGATCATAAAACACTGTAGAGATAGTTGATAACTTCATGTATTATATTAACACCCTGTATATGACGTACATTTACCAGACGTCACACGAATTCGAACCTTATATTAACAGCAATTAAGTGTATTTACAATAACACGACATCAAGTTGTACCTGTATTTCTCCCCCACTTCTCCTTCATTCCTCCCCCCACTGTAACTTCCTGGCAATTTCCCAGCCTTAGCCAGGTTCTGCCTCTGCCTCCCCCCTATAACATCACGTCCTAACTAACTCGCACGTTCCAGCGAGCGTGGCGCGTTCCGAGTCGAGTTCGGAGGCCGAGGGCGAAGCCCCGCGACCTCGCGCCGCCTCCGCTGACAGAGCTCAAAGAAAGATAGGTGAGTTTTGTATGAACAATATATATAATAAGACTCAAATAACTTCATTCAATATAGAAGCATTACACTTTCTTATTGATGGTCACTTGAGACACTACCACCGGTTCGGAAAAGAAAATACCCTGACCTGAGAAGAACCGGCGAAAGAAACTCAGCGGGTTTATTATTTTTTTTTATATTTGTCTCATATATTATATAAACAATTTAATATGAGATGAAATAGCCAGGAGGCGAGCGTTTCATTCCCAAGGTGTGCTATCGATCATAAACTCATTAATTGTATAGTAACCTTTTGCACACAAGCGTTCCTTAATAATTCTTTAAAATTTGGCAACAGAGGCATTTTGAACGCTTTCTGGGATTTAATGATATGTAGATTGAATAGTTGTGGTGTCCTTGAGGTTAAAGATCCGCCTCTCATGCATGAGGGCACGGGTTCGATCCTGGCAAGTACCAATGTAATTGTTCTGAGTCATATGTACTTTATAAGAGTATTTAGACACTACTGACTGATGAAGGTAAACATCGTGAGGAAACCTGGACTTATATCAAATTATAAGTTTTAAATCACCAACCCATCTTGAGCGAGCGTGGTGATTAATGCTCAAACCTTCTCCAAAAGTAGCCGAAACGTCTTGAATATGTAGTTTTTTATCGAAAATAAGGCCAAAAAATATTAGTTTCATTTAAATATCTTACATAGCCAAGTATAGGTGTTATGATATCTGTAATAATTAATACTAGTATATATGTATATGTCATTAACATATATGTCATATGTCCAGCAGGTCGCAGCGGCAGTGAACGTGACATATCTTCTAAAGCGCGCGAAGTGACGGCGCGCCTCACAAGCAGACCGAGACCGAAGCAGGAGAATACACAGGATAATAATAGTATGGATATATATAATATAATATAATAAACAATATATCAAATATGATCCCTACTAATATTATAAATGCGAAAGTAACTCTGTCTGTCTGTTACGCTTGCACGCCTAAACCACTGAACTGATTTTAATGGGTACAGACATAGAGTTGACCTTGAGAAAGAACATAGGATGGTTTTTATCCCAGACTTTTGAAAGGTTCTCTTGGAAACGCGATATAACCGAACTCCACGCGGGCGAAGCTGCGGGCGGAAAGCTAGTTATATATAAGACTTCTGAGGGTATTCATTTAAATAAAACTAATATTTTCTTATCTGGCGTTAATGATCACGGTTGCTGCAAAGTAACCGAAAGTAGTATGTTCAAAATAATATTAGTTTCATTTAAATCAAATATATTTTGTGAATAATATCATCAAGTTAGTATAGACGGTATGGCTTAGTTAAGAAAATGGTTGGGACGCGATCCATTCAGTAACAGCTTCGAATTCCGTTCGTAGAGACGAATTGTATACTGTAATCACCTGTTAACTACAGATGGCGCTGCCATTGGTTACATAACTATAATATCACATATACTAATTAACAGTCGATTAACTGTCGTTTAACAGTCGTTTAATCGTCGTTTAATCTCTCGTTCCAGTGTCGCCGTCAGCTCTATGCGCGGCGTTGACCGAGCAGCTAACAAGGACGGCGGGGAAGGTGGCCGCCTTGTACCGGGCGCTGCAGGACGACCCGCGCTCAGACGGAGATATTAGCGGTGTGTGGACAAACACACACACACACACACACACAGACACACACACAGACTCAAAGACACGTACACAGACAGAGAGACACAGAGGCACACACATACACACAGACAGAGACACAGAGCACGCTCACAGATACAGAAACACACATGCATACAGATAAACAATCTATGTGTCTATATGATGACGACTTGTTAACTCATTTTAATGTATTAAGAAACCTTTGTGTCGAAATATGTATAAATTAACTCACCTCAATTGCCAAACGGATTTTGATGATATTAAATTATAATATAGCTTAAATATAGGAATAACATGACTGAAACATATATACATATATATCTTCTTCCTGACAATTTCCCAGTTTTAGCCATTGTCTGCCTAAAAATATATACATATATATAATTAATATGTGTAAAACACAACAGGTCTAGAAGCAGCCATCCTTGAGACTCAGAAGGTTCTCAGGAATGCTGTGAGTCAGAACGGTGAAGAGGCAGCAAGTAAAGTGGAGCACACCGCTAAAGGCAGGTTATACTGTTGATAGACAGGTAGCGTTGTATGTGGAGCGACTAGAAGGTGAAATTATTGATAGGGAATATGTGTAAATAATATTCAATGATATACACACACACACACATACACAAGTATCACACACACATATATACAGAGAGAAAAAGAGGTAGAATTATAGCTCCTTATATAAATAAATAGTAAGATATGTTGTGTTATTAACTACAGTGAGAGTTTTTGGTTTTTATTCAGTTGAATAACTAAATGAATACATAATACATGTATAAATGTAGTATATATTCAATAAAACTATATTAAATTTGTCATACATGTATTGTGCTAAGTATCAAACTGAGTGACAACAACTAATATAATAATGTGATCTACATTACACTTGACATCATATTATTTAAATACCGAGCAAACATAACTAATACTTAACTATATATAACAAGATTATAGAACAAAGTAACTTATATTAATTTAATCTTAATTCTAACTTCCCAGATGTGTCTCCGGGTCACCCAGCGATGTCATTGATCGAGCAATACTCTGACATGTTACTCAATATGATGCAGAATAAAATGGTGAACCAGTTTTCACAGAGCCCGCAAAGCCTTCCGCCTTCAACCAGGGAAGAAAGCTAGTAATAGTGTTCGGAGTGATGTGAATGTGAACTTAGAAAAATAGTGTTCAAATTAAAACCATTAGTGATAAGAAACGGATAATATTGAAACTATAACAAAGGAATTGCAAGACGGTATTGAAAATAACACAATCTACTTGGAAATATAATAATATTGTATCACCGTAGAAGGAATTGATGATGGACATATAATATTGACATAATTTTATTAATAATAAACCTCAATTAAAATCACTGTTAAATACAACTAAAGAGTATTACCAAATATAGTTCTGATACTATCTGAACTTAAAGATTTAACTAACAAGATGTAAATAAATAAATGTACATTATACCAAGCTAATACCTAATATATAACGATACCTTATTCTAGATAAATAAGGTTCATAATCGTTAAACAATCAATATATATACAATCATATGTTACCTTTATACTAAGCTTACCGTCTGTCTGTTTGTCACAATTAATTTTATTTATATTGTAAATATTTTAAATGAACATTATTTGAGGGTAGTCGAAGTTGTCAGTTAGTAAGAGTGAGTTGTAGATATATTTATTAATATTAAACTTGTATGCCATTACTAAGACTAACTATATTACATTTTATCGCATTTCTCTGTAGTTTTCTTTTATTTTATCTTCCTTTTATCTTTTTAAATGGATTTGTGCTGGAATTGAAATGTATCTTATCTTTATAATACTTTCTTATATACAATATATTTCGTAGTTGTGCATGACGCTTCCATTCCCTAGTTCCCGCCATAACAAGATGGTGGACTGGATACTAATAATCGACTATTATGTACGTCTCATGTAATGTACATAAGTAATTTTTATATCAAATAAAACAATTAAAACCGTACCGTGTTTTATTTTCACTTTGTTTTTAAGAGTGACGTCATCACTAGTGACGTCACCAATGAATATGTTCTTGGTTATCAACGTGTTGAAGGTATTTTTGTAAACAGTTTGATGAATCCGTATTTTCCAAGAGGTTCAATGTGTCCGGTGTCAGCTACACAGCTATACATAGTCCGGAAAAATTAGACCAAATAATAACAGTCAGGTTACATAAATTCCCACCAAGCTGAAAATCGGTAAGATTGTTTGAAATATCATTACAAAACAAAATTTGAAAGTTCCCCATCTTTCCCCTGTAAGGAAAAAAATTTATTCAAGGTCAAAGGTAAACAAAATGAGTTTTTCACGATTTTCAGCAAAATGGTAAGTTTATCATAAAAATATCTCGGACAAAAATTGTAGATCATAAAATTATCTACAAAGAATTTACTAATACTTTTTTCTACGAGCCACCGTTTTTGAGATATATCGAATCAAAAAGTTGTAAAAGTTGTATTCGTCATAATATGACACGTTTCCTCGCCACCTATGAGGTAGTGTACTTAGCTTTTTTTTTGTATCTTCCCCAGTAGGTCTATTCCACGGGTCAGTTTTGATCTTGTTTAATTTGAAACTATTGATAAATAATGGATATTAGCAGAGATTGAAAAGATAAAAGCAATTTAAGTTAAAAAAAAAGTAGTAAAGGAGATCATTCAGGCTTCATACATTTTTGGGCCTTTTTTGAAAGTGCCGGCCAACAAAAAAAATGGTACTTATTTGTAGAACTAACCATTTGGAACAATAGTTAATATGGCGCAAAAGTTGTAGGATCCAAGATATAGAAGTTATACAAGTTTCAAGATTCATCATTTTGATACATTTATTTTTTTCTGAAAGTGCCAAGAAACATAAAATAATGATTGATATTGCTAGAGTTAAGCTTCTCAAGCAAATCATTATAGCCATAATCTGTTAGAAACCTGTCGTTTTTATGTAATACTAGCGAACCCGACAGACGTTGTTCCGCCAAGTATCTGAACGCATGCAACACATTTCTTGATGATTTTATTATTTGTCTAAACTAATATGTATATCGGGGTGCCATTTTTATATATTAAAAAAATGGGCCTAGAAGCACTTTTAACTGATTTTGTACCATTTCGGGTCGGATTTGATCATATGACGCGAGAGCAAGTGGCGCAGAACATGTACATGTACCACATAACCGCATGACTCCAGATTTTCTATAGCATCTTTAAAACCACGGTCTAATATAAAAATGTCACCAGGCCGGTAAAAAAATTGAAATACATCATCCACATTATTCAGTGCATCATTTAAAATCTATACTCAAAAAACTTTCTTCGAACGCTCCGAAAACGATTGAAGATATAACAAAGTGATGTACTGCAATTTTATAGAACTTATTATTATCTACAAAGAACGTCGCGACATTATATCTCTAACTATTATAGTTTTGTCACAATGAGCGATTTTTTTTACAAAAAAAAAAAATATATTAAAATACCACTGCTTGAAAAGGCTTTTTATTTGTACCTTGGTATTAATCCTTATCAAAATAAATTATTTAAGATCGTTTCAAAACCTTTATATAACTTTTTGAATTATTAGATTCTGATATTCCATTCAAAAGATATCACGAGTTAAAAATTTTGAAAAATATCCGCTCGACGGCTTACTATGCGTTGCAGAGCTGTAGGCGTCACTCGGGCACGGAGGTACGGGAGGTTAAGATCACGAAATAATATCTAAGAATTAAATTTCCTATTTTTTTTATTTGTGGCAAAAAAAATCTGAATATTTGTGTAAATGTCATGTTTACTGCCCGTGTGAAGCAGCTATATGTATAATAACATCCATTACAACGTTCACAGTTTTGCATTTGCATTGCACCCGTGCGAAGCCGGGGCGGGTCGCTAGTAATTAATAAAATTATGCGGACGTTCGGGGGAGGGGGTGGGGCGTCATTCATAAATAAATTGGGACGTTTCCGTTCTTCAAGTATGCGTGTACAGGTGTTTCTTTTACATGTCAATTTAACATTTTATTGACTTTTTTTAAATAAAAAAACATTATGTTTTCGATGGGTTATATTTTTTGTAGCATGTATGGATGCTATATAATATATTATTGCGGATTAACGGGAACGCACTCTGTTAGTTAACATACTGTATATTATTATATTCTTAGAAACAAGATTAGGAGTGACTTTTTAAAAAATGTATTCAACACTAAAGCTTTGTCAGTGAAATATTTTTTTAAACTGTCTAACATGTTCGTGGATAGTTTCTGAAAAGATATATGAATAAAAATTCGTTTAGAAACATTGTTATTAACAAACTTTGAATGAAGATTGTTGGTTAATAATCATTTACTATCGTAACTATATCTTTCGAATGTAATTTTTTTGAAGTTTTTAGACCATTTAGCAACGGTATTTTTTAGAGGAATCTTTATAAACTAAATCCAGTTATCATTGATTTTTTTTTGTGGAAGTAGGCAAACGCTTAAATTATCGACTCCTTATATGTATGTTCTAGGGACTATACAACTCAAAATTATTGAGATTAAGTCCAGTCCAGTCCAGATTATGGAATAAGGACATCTGGAATCGACAGATTACTAGGGCCCAGATGCGGTGAGAGTAATAAACTTGATGAAGTCTATTTAATTTCCTGCAAGAAGTTCTAAAGAGTAAAGAGTTTAATTCGTGTAGCATTTCGAAATTGTTCGTAGAAATTATTTTAGTCCAGTGTTTTATATATTTTGTAATCCTTGAGTCTTATCTTTATCCAATTAACGTATTTGATATAGAAAAAATATGTTTCTTACTATGAGAATCATGTTTTTTGTATTTGATGTTTTAATAGATAGTAAAAACTGGTCAGAATATGATGCTATAAAACTTTTAAACATCACAAAAGAATGAGGATGATTTTCGCGAGTAGTCATTTAAATGAAACTAATAGTTTCGGACTTACTTTTAATATTTATTTTTATTTTTGACTATAAACTACATACTTCCGACGTTTCGGCTACTTTATAGCAACCGTGATCACGGTAGTTTATAGTTAAAAATAAAAAAAACGCGTAGTAAATCTGAAAATATCAGTTAAATTTAAATCACAAAAGAAATTTAAATTAAAGGGATTGTATATAATATATGCATTTCATTTAATTAAATCTTTCATAATAAACTTATTCTTATAAGATATACTGGTCTTAAAAGCCCAGAATCCAAAACATCATCTGTCAGTTATGAAATAAAAAAATATGTCAAAAAATAAATTGCATTTCGCTAAGTCGCAAACTTCACATATTATTTTCATTTGATTATGTTTAACATATTACGAAATTAAAACATATTGTCACATATTTTTTAGGCTGCTGCATTGTAAACGCGGGTAGCAGAGTGAGTAGATGCCAATGATATTTTTATTGAACGTGATAATGGCGTGTTATTTATCAAGTAGCTGGATAGTGCTGAGTAATTTCAATCTTATATTTGCTGTGTTCGTCGTTGTCACGATGCCAAGATCGTTTTTCAGGAAGAACAGCAAATCATGACCCTCGACCCTTGTTACAGACATCCCCAAAACTCTCAGCATGATTAAAAACTAAGACTTGATACTATCGTCGTAATTAGAAAATTACCCATTTTAACACTTTCGAATACGAACAACATAATAAAAATAGATTAGAATATAATTGATTCGTTTATTGAGTACGATATTAACATATATTAATATTTTGTAGGTACATGAAGTGTTATCCAAATGATGTCTTTAAAGCCTAGGAATGTTGACTTCCAGGAGACCTGGGCCACACTTAAGGAAACGGTATGCACTATATATTATTATTAAATAAGAAATATATCAATAATCACACTAAGAATATTGAAATTACTATTAGAAACACAGAAATGAAAATTACTTTAAACAATTAGAAATAATTAATTTAAATCATTATTTCTTTTCTCACTGTATTCTTAATACAGAGAAAAATTTAGTTGTGTTATTTTTGGATGTAGACTATATGTTACAACATTCTTTGTACTTTTGGCATAACATACATACTGCATCATATGAATATATGATGAATGCATGTCCTATACAAAATCACAAAATAATAAATTGAATAATTCAATTTAAAGTACAGAAAATAGATCGTCGTTGTTGTCATCAGAATATCAGAGCCCACTGCTGAGCTAACGCCTCAGAAAATAGATAATTTACTAAAATTAACAAGATCTCATAATTTGATGATTCCAATAAGCATTTACATAGATCTTATAACAAACTGTTTGTTTCCGCAGAATGTCTATCGGATTTAAAATTATATCATTTCAAGTAAACTCAGTGATTCCCCTTTATTTATCTTTGGTTTCTGCACATCCAGTAATCTTCAGTATATTATGTATTTATTATCAAATATTTATGGTCAATCTCATCATCATCATCCTATCAGAGCCTATGCTGAGCTTCTTCTCACATGGAGAAGGTTTGAGCATTAATCATCATGCTTGCTTAAGACGGGTTGTTGATTTTGGGCAATCTATAATGCCATTTTTAATTTATATGTTCAACCCATAACCATTATTTTATTTAACATCTATCATTCTTATTCTCATTGCTTTCTCTGAATTTGACTACAAGTGATAAAGGCAGCGGAATGATTTGTGCTTTAAAGTTACATATCATCTGGGACAGTGCAACTCCGCATAAATAAAATTGGATAATTCCACATATGTAGTAATAAACTAGACACCAAATTAATACTAATTGTAAAAAAATTACCTTAAAAGTCATTAATATAGAAAATATTTCAGCTCAAACTTTCTCTGATAATCTGCTTCCAATGTATGTACTCGGAATTATACAATGCTAGTTACAAGGATTTGCATTATCCCCAACTATATATAAAATACAGATTTTTATCATTTATTGTCAAATACAAGGATATTTTGTAAAGAATTTAGACTGTAGAGTGTGTTAGGCAGTATTCTGTAATAAGATAGTCCAACAATAATGTAGCAAATGTTACTCATATTAACAGGTTCATTGTAGATGCACATTATATTATTTACAAATGATTAATATTTTCTATTCTACAAGTACAAAGCAGACTTCAAATATAATACTTCTGATATAATGTGATATATGTCACCTTTTATTTATTTAATATTAATTCATTCAACAAATGAAATATATTAAATGTATTAAAAATACATAAAACTTACATGAAACTAATGTTTTTGGATTTACTACGCGATTTTTTTATTTCTGACTACGCGACTTTTTTATTTCTGACTACATACACCCGACGTTTAGGTTACTTTACAGCAACATAAAACTGTTTATTAATAAATTTCTTTGAAGAAATCATGTAATTATAAATGATTTAAGATTTTATCATAAAAATGTTTAAATTAAAACATATCTATCAGTACTTTTCATATATTCCTTTTTGAAGTGGTAGAGCCTAGCTGTGGTCAGTTACTACAGCTCGACCGGGGAAGTACCACCCTCTCACAGAAGATCGGCGTGAAGTAGTCTTGAATAACTGCGTTTTGTTCGATGAGTGAGAGAAACGGTTGCTTTTTCCCTCCTTTTCCCACCTTTATTCCCCCTATTCCCCAATCAAGATGGCAACCAATCGTAAACCTATGTTACAGATGTCCATGGGTGACGGTACTACCTCAATTTCGTAGGCCGTTTGCTAGTTTACCCTTTAGGTTAAAAAAAATCCCTACTAATATTATAAATGCGAGAGTAACTCTGTCTGTCTGTTACGCTTTCACGCCTAAACCACTGAACTGATTTTAATGAAATTTGGTACAGACAGAGTTGACCTTGAGAAAGAACATAGGATAGTTTTTATCACAGACTTTTGAAATGTTCTCTTGGAAACGCGATATAACCGAACTCGAAGGCGAAGCAGCGGGTGGAAAGCTAGTATATATATTATACAGGGTGACTGGTGGATTACTATCGATATTTGAGGACGTGATATTTGACGATCATATATGACAAAATAAAAATTAATCTTCTATATATATAAAAATGGATTGCTGTTCCTTAGTCTCGCTAAAACTCGAGAACAGCTGAACCGATTTGGTTAATTTTAGTCTTGAAATACTCCTGGAAGTCCAGGGAAGGTTTAAAAGGTGAGAAAAATTGGAATAATTGCCGAGAAAACCCTAAAAACAGCCCTTTTCTATTTCCCATACAAACGTGTTTTTTTTTGACATTAGATTTGACAACTAACTAATATGTCAATCATTCTGTTTGATTGAAACAGGAAAAACCTGATTATTTATGGCCTCTAAGACGGAATAGAGTTCGCCTGGTCAGCTATACCTACATATATTACTCTTGACCAAACTAAGGCGGACGAAGTCGCGGGCAAAAACTAGTATAACATAAATATTAATAAACTTCTAAGTAAAGTTAACCAAAAGTTATGTAATTAATTACGCATCGTGTGAACACCCTACAGATTAGGTATACACACACACATACACACACGCGTGCGGCGGCGTGGTGTTGTATCAGCACGCCGCCGCACGCGTCCACACTTGGAACGTGTCAACACTTTATTTATATATAAGGAAATTTGGTAAAAAATTAACTACCTATTTTTTTACATAATTCGAATGAGAATCATGTACCGAGTATTCTCCTTAAATATTGATAGTAATTCACCAGTCACCCTGTATATATGTTATATAAGCTATGTTTCTTTATATCCATCATGTTTACAGTATATTCTTTATTCCAGGTGGCTGGTGTAGTAGGTCTTCGAGCAGTTGAGCGTGCCGTATGGAACACTCGCTTCTCTGATGTGTACGCCCTGTGTGTGGCTCATCCCGAGCCACTCGCTGACAAACTATATGATGAGACGAGGTTAATATGACTTTAGTAGACTCAGAAGTATATTTTGGATGATTTTGTATGTGGTTGTAGTTGAGAAAGGTTTATTTGACATTTTTATCAAAACTAGATGTATATATAGACATGTTATCTTAGTAAAAATGTCAAAGTATATATATGTCAGATAATTTTGAAATTATTTTAGTGTCTAAAATTCTTATAAGTAATTCTTGATAATTTCTGTATTTAACTTAAACTGAATGCTTGATCACAGTACCTCACTGACTGACTTGATTATTCCATATAGATTTAACTTAACTAAGATTTGTATGTAATATATTACTACTTAAAATTTCGTTGCAAAGATGTCTATAATATTCATAATCATCTAAGTTGTTGGAAAAACCTGTTGCAATTGTCCTATCGGTTAGTAGATCATACATATTTTTTTCTATTAATGTTTTTTTTGTACAAAAATATGTACCTACAAATTTACTAATATTTTCTTAAATACTTCATCAATACAATTAATGTCAATATATAATATGTATTATGATTATAAATATTATTTATTTATTGTATCATCCACTTCATCCATTCTTGTTATGTTTTAGGAAGTTTCTTGAGGAACATGTTGATGGTTTGCTTCAGCGTGTGAAAGGAAACTGCCAGTTGGAGAGTAGCGACTACAATGATGGACTTCTGAACAGGCAAGTTATACATACAAATATTATATATCTTCTTCTTCTACTTGGCAATTTCCCAGCTATAGCCAGGGTCGGCCTTCCATGTTGTGAATAGTTTTGGCTAATTGTTTTTACGATCCGCCTGCCTGACATCAACCCTCTTTGGGAATGCATTAATCAGTGATGTCTAAAGATTCTTATAAAGTTCATATGACTCGGAAAAATCACATTGGCACTTGCCAGGATCGAACCCGCACGAACATGAAAGGCGGACCTTTTAACCACTAAACCATCACTGACTTTTTATATTATATACATTGTATATAAATGAATTAAAATCGTCAAATTTTGTTTATATTTATACCTGAACAGTATTTTCTCTTTATTTTTACCTCTTTTCCGTTGAAATAATATCAAAATAATTTATTTTTGATGCATATAATTAATTATTGTGTTTGATTCTGTTATGTAACTGATTTTAATGTTTCTGTTCACTAGATACGTGTCAGCGTGGCGTGAGTACAGTCAAGGAGTGGGTTATCTCAACTCACTCTACTCTTACCTCAATTTGCAACACGTCAAAAGACAGAAGGTATGTGTATGTTTGTTACTCGTTAACACATAAACTACTGAACAGATCTTGATGAAAATCTACGATAATATAGTTTAAACATCACTATAAGACATAGTGTATAAAGCTTCCCTTCTCTCAATGTGGTTACTTCAGAATTCTCATTCTTAAACTAAAATTCTCAGTAAAAGTCGCGTTTATAAACTAGTCTTTATATTTGCAGGTTTCAGACGCTGAGATAATATACGGTTCTTCAGCTACGGTCAGTTGTCCCGAACACGACTCGCGACAACTTGAGGTAATTAACAAATAACAACTGTATGACGTCACACATACTAGCTTTTCTCCTTGCTTTTCATATCTTGTATAAGCATCCCCATTAAAATATGATTCTACAGTAGAGAATCTTCTCTACATATACTAGAAGACCCGGCGAACTTCGTATCGCCCTATAATCAAGAAATATATGTTACGTTTTTTATTTATATTTTTGGAGTTTACCTATTAAATACATAAATCTCCGTGTTTTGAAGTGCGACAGAATGATTGACAGTTAGTTGACAAATCTAATGTCAAAAAAACGTTTGTATAAACAACTACTAATTAATTAAAAAAACATTGTCCAGCGGACAAAGTTGTGATTCTAAACCATTCCCATATCCCCTTGAACACACACAAAATATTTCATCAAAATCGGTCCAGTCGTTTGAGTGAAGTTCAGTGACATACACACTCACAGAAGAATTATATATATAAAGATAGTCCTATCGTCTTTAACTCCTACTAATTTTCACCTGGTAGTTCTGTAACTATCTTCTTTCATATCACACATACTGCCTACTCTTCTTAAAACTTATGTTTAATTCAATTCAATGCTATATCTTATATATAATCATCCGCCTCTCGTTGCCGAGGGCGTGGGTTCGATCCTGACCCGGGCAGGTACCAATGTGATTTTTCCGAGTCATATGTACTTTCTAAGAATATTTAGACATCACTGATTAATGCATTCCCAAAAGAGGGTTGATGTCAGGCAGGCGGCCGGTCGTAAAAAACAATAAGCCAAAACTATTCATATTCATAACATGTTAAGGCAGACCCTGGCTATAGCCGGGAAATTGCCAGGTAGAAGAAGAAGATCTTATATATAATCATCTCTTCCAGAGAATCTTCTTTATCCAACTAATATTATAATTGCGAAAGTTTGTGAGTAAATGTTTGTTACTTCTTAACCCTCAAACGGCTGAAGCGATTTTGATAGAATTTTGTATACATGAAGCTGACGTCCAGGAATATAACATAGGCTACTTTACATCCCGGAAATCCGCGTGGGCGCAGCTAGTATAACATAGTCTTATCGTCTTCACTTAGTAGTTCTGTATACAGGGTGACAGGTGAATTACTATCGATATTTGAGGACGTGATATTTGACGATCATATATGACAAAATAAAAATTAATATAACATAAATATTAATAAACTTCTAAGTAAAGTTAACCAAAAGTTATGTAATTAATTACGCATCGTGTGAACACCCTACAGATAAGGTATACACACACACACACACACGCGTGCGGCGGCGTGGTGTTGTATCAGCACGCCGCCGTACGCGTCTACACTTGCAACACTTGGAACGTGTCCACACTTTATTTATTTATACGAAAATTTGGTCAAAAATTAAGTACCTATTTGTTTTACATAATTCGAATGAGAATCATGTACCGAGTAATCTCCTTAAATATTGATAGTAATTCACCAGTCACCCTGTATATATATCTTTATATATATACAATTCTTCTGTGAGTGTGTATGTCACTGAACTTCTCTCAAACGACTGGACCGATTTTCATTAAATTTTTTGTGTGTGTTCAAGGGGATCTGGGAATTGTTTAGATTCACAATTTTATCCGCTGGACAATGTTTTTTCACTTAATTTTTAATTTGTTAGTAGTTGTTGATACAAACGTTTTTTTTACATTAAATTTGACAACCTACCAATATGTCAATGATTATATATATAGCGATACGAAGTTCGCCGGGTCTTCTAGTATATATATATATATATATATATATCTTTTTCCAGGTGGGCGAGCTAGGTCTAGTGACCTGGGAGCGTGTTCTAGTTCAGCCTCTGTCCGGAGCGTTGTCTTCTCGCATCGTGTCAGCGCTGGAGGCTGCCCGGGACTCATGCAACACCTCGCACGAATCACACGACGTGCTAAGAGCTGCTATACATAGCACTGTACACGTACAGGTACATACATATATACTGTACTCGTACAGGTACATACATACTATATATAGAGTATATATGAAGTCGTAAAGTCAGTGGCCTAGAAGTTAAAGGCCCGTTTTTAATGCATGAGGGTTCATTCCTGTCAAGTACCAATGTGATTGTTCCGAGTCGTATATACTTAAGAGTATTTAGACATCACTGACTGATGAAGGAAAACATCGTGAGGAAACATGGACTTGTATCAAATTATAAGTTTGAAATCACCAACCCGTCTTGAGCGAGCGTGGTGATTAATGCTCAAACCTTCTCCATGTGAGAAGAGGCTCAGCAGTGGGCTCTGATAGGCTGATGATGATATAAATAGGATATGATTGTCATATATACTCTTATATCATATGTGAAATACAAGCAAAAGTTACATTGCTAGAAAATATTACCCAAAAATAGTACAAATATAGACTAATAATATATGGAGATAAATTTTAAAACATTAGCCTATAACTGATTGCAAAATTTTGTTAAATACTCATAAAGAAGATTATCGCAGAGATTTTTTCTTTTGTGTTAGATTCAAACGTAATTGTAATTAACTTAAATATATATATATAGCACATATAATTTTTTTTTTGTGAATACATATTAATTATAAATTACTGTTTCTTCCCAGTCGTTTCGAGTCCGAGCTCCGTTGTCTCTGTACGAGCGTTTGGTTCTCGAGCCATTCTTGGCGGCTGCGGGCGCGCAGCATTCCCGACGTGCTGCAAGGTTGCTGCAAGATGGCGACGTTTCCCATTTCCTGCAGCACGCTTTAGCCGGATTGGAGAGGGAATTGAACCTAGCAAGGAGGTTCCTACATACAACCTCTTTGGAACCAGTCAGAGGTTGCTACGAGCGCGCGTGCGTTCAGGCGCATTTACCAGCATTACATGCGGATGTTGAAAGATTGTTAAGAGAAGCCTCTGATGGTGATTCTGAAGCGAGGAGGTTGGATTTGAGGAGGATGTATGCGTTGTTGAGGCCGTTGGGAGCGAATGCATTGAGACCGCTAGTAGAGGCCGCGCATCAACAGGTCGTGAAGGATGGAATGGCATTACTAGATGAAGAACATCCCAAGGACGAGGTAGAAATACTATATTTATTTATTTTTTTGCTACACACATATATTATACAGTTATACAGAAAAAAAATATTAAATTTAAAGAAAGTGTAGCAAGGAGGTCCATATCAGTATAAGCTAATGCACAGCTATTTAAGTGAAACTAATATTTTCGGATTTTACTTCGTCTTAATGATCACGGTTGCTGTAAAGTAACCGAAACGTCGGGAGTATGTAGTTTTAAAATAATACAATACGCGTAATAATCCGACTAATATTAGTTTAATTTAAATGTGTTCGCGAAAACCTTAGATCTCATTAAAAGATACTATATGTAGCATCAGTGACAATAATATATAGTAAATAATATAATTTCGTAGAAACATATGTATCTTTCTTCATTCATCAGAAATATCAATTTGATTACTGTGTCGATATTAAAAGATGATAATTAGTACGATCAATAAAAATGAAGCTATCTTAATGGAATTAATATTATTTTGCTTAACGAAATCCGAAACGTCGGGAGTATGTAGTTAAAATAATAAAAAATATACATAGTAATACGAATAATATTAATTTCATTTAAATGAATACTCGCGAAACTTAGAGATCATATGAAACTATCCAATCCAAGAATATCTATTTAAACTATCTGGTATATACTATATATATACTAGAAGACCCGGCTAACTTCGTATCGCCCTATAATCAAGAAATATCTGTTACGTTTTTTTATTTATATTTTTGAAGTTTACCTATTAAAGCCATAAATCTCCATGTTTTGAAGTGCGACAGAATGATTGACATATTAGTTAGTTGTCAAATGTAATGTCAAAAAAAAGTTTGTATCAACAACTACTAATAAATTAAAAATTAATTAAAAAAAAACATTGTCCAGCGGACAAAATTTTGAATCTAAACCATTCCCAGATCCCCTTGGACACACACAAAAAATTCATCAAAATCGGTCCTGTCGTTTGAGAGAAGTTCAGTGACATCCATACTCACAGAAGAATTATATATATAAAAATATATAAATGAAGTAATTTGAATGTAATCTTCATATAATTATTATTCAGGCTCACTCCCACTTCGTGTCAGCGATGCTGTCCCTCCACAGCAAGTACAACGCGTTGTTCGCTGACGTGTTTCAAGGAGCGCAGCCGTTCGTTGGAGCTTTAGATAAAGTAAGAATAATATATACACTGTTATTTATTTATATAAGGACAACTTACAAAACATACACCATTTATATGTTTTTAAAATAAAGGTAATTACATTTTTAGTTAAGTGTTGTTTCAATTAAAAGTTATGACGGCATGGAAAAGGACAGTATTTTCTATTAACTATGATTGTTATAATGATTAACTATGATAAAGGCATTATAAAGTAATGGAGGGAGGGGATAATTAAAGTGTAAAGTGTAAAGGGGGGGATAGTTTTGTTACGTCACTATTTCAGGAACATTCCTCTATATATGATTATAGGAATGTCAGTTAAATAAGTATGGGAAGTTATAAAGACGAGAGAGGTTCGAAAGTCTTGAAATTCAATAATAATTTCTAGACATTCAATAAGTCACATATCCCTACTAATATTATAAATGCGAAAGTAACTCTGTCTGTCTTAACAGAGGTTAAACTTTCACGCCTAAACCACTGAAGTGATTTTAATGAAATTTGGTACAAACAGAGTTGACCTTGAGAAAGAACAGGGTAGTTTTTATCCCAGACTTAAAAGGTTCTCTTGGAAACGCGATACAACCGAACTCCACGCGGGCGGAAAGCTAATTATATATATATATATATATATATGTTCCAGGCGTGTTCAGCGGTAGTTAACCGTCGTTCTCCCGGCGAGTCCTGCGCACGCGCACCCGAACTCGTCTCTCGTTATTGCGACGCTCTGCTCCGGCGCCGCGCCGCTGAAGACGCCGATGATCGCTTGGCAGCCGCTATAGTGGTCTTCAAATACGTTGACGATAAAGACGTTTTTCAGAAACATTATGCGCGTGCGCTGGCGAGAAGGCTCATACATCAATTGTCTGCGAGTATGGAACAGGTAGGTACTAATTACATTACTACACTACTACTAGAGCCTACGGTACTACAATATGCAAGGCAGACCCTGGCTATAGCTGGGAAATTACCAGGTAGTAATACCAGTAGAAGATACTAGAGCCTACGGTTACTTGGGAAACCAACATCTCCAAAGACCATACCATAAAGGTCAATAAATTGCACTGTGAATACATGGAACGATAAGAGATACGTCTCACAATATTGATTTTTAGGTCATGACCAAAAAAATGACTTTAAAAGTTATAGAGTTACTTTTATTCATAAACCCATTGATACTTAAGTCAGTGGTGTCCTAGTGTTTAAAAGTCCCGCCTCTAATACACGAGGGCGCGGGTTCGATCCTGGCCCGGGCAAGTACTAATGTGATTTTTCCGAGTCATATGTACTTAAGAGTATTTAGACATCAATGATTAATGCATTCCCAAAGAGGGTTGATGTCAGGCAATTAGCCTAAACTATTCACAAACATAAGGCAGACCCTGGCTATATCTGTAAAATTGCCAGGTAGAAGAAGATAAAACTTTGTTTTTTCATACTTTCCAGGAGGAAGCGATGATAAATCGTCTGAAAGCGGCCTGTGGTTACGAGTTCACGAACAAGTTACATCGCATGTTCACCGACGTAGCTGTTTCCGCGGACTTGAACGCCAAGTTCCAGCAGCACCTGCGGGATAACGACCTTTCACCTGGAACTGGGTTCTTCATCCAGGTTTTACAGGCGGGGGCGTGGCCGTTGGGCGGGGCCATGGCGCCACTAGCGCCACCTGCCCAACTCGAACGCCCTGCCCGTTTATTCGAAGCCTTCTACAGATCATCGTTCAGCGGTCGCCGTTTAGCCTGGCTACATCATCTATGTACGGGTGAACTGCGAGCTCGTCACGCTAGTAGGCTCTATCATTTGAGCGCAACAACTCCTCAATGCGCATTATTGCTAATGTTCGAGTCTGTAGATGTCGTATCGGCGAGAGAGGCTCGTGATGCTCTCCAATTATCAGGAGAGAATTGGACGCGACACTTGCGCCCTCTGTTGGAGGCCGGGCTACTCATTGCCAAGAGTAACGATGAAGACGGAGATCTAGAACTAAACCTAAACTTCACCTGCAAAAGGACACGCATCAGACTCACGTGTGCAGCGGCGCCCGCTAACCAAGGTATATAACAACTACTAAGTTAATCAATAGTTTTAAATGATATTTCTTACAAAAATATAGTCTGTTAGACTTAAGCTGAGCTTTGCATGTGTGAGTGAAAGTAAAAGTAGAGTTGGACAAAAAACTTTTACAATTCAATTTTATTATATTTAAATAGATACATATCATAAGTGCTATAAAATAAACGAAACTTGTAAAAGTCCAGATGGAAATATTATGAAAAAAAATTAATAAAAAATTCTTCTTCACTTGACATTGCGTTTTTACCATTTGACGCTGCTACCAGTACAAAGGTTGAAGTGAGGCAGGTGCGCGGCAAAGTAAAAGCAGAATAAACCGGTTCAAAACTAGAAAAAAACGTTTCATTCAAAAATCTAACACCACACCTACACTATCCGTATACACTCACATAAATATAAAGCTCAGCTTAAATCAAACGCACTATACCTAATATTGAAACATATATGTCTTTTACTCAAAAATTTATTCAAACATTCATCATACATTTTTTTGAGTTTAATTTGTTTTATGCACATTATTATTTAATTGCCAAATTATCTATTAATATATATATAATGTACATTGAGGAGGACAATGAAGAACTTAATCATGTTTACTTTTTTTTTGTATCTCAATTATTCATACTTACTGTGATGACCTGTAATTGGAAGTGCAATTAACTCTTAGTCTAAGAACATCTTTCATGCAATTACTAATGTTGTAACTTCTGTTGGTTGTCCGTAATTAAACAAATAAAATATATGAATTGTCAATGTCCAATTTGTAATTTCACCGATATATATATTTTATTGTAGGAGGTACGACCGGGTCGTCTTCAAGCACCACCGAGCCGACTCATTGTGATGATGATAGGAAGATGTACCTACAGGCGGCGCTTGTACGGATCATGAAACAGAGAAAGGTACAGACATGTATACACTATTACTATGACACCTAATAATATATCATATATCACCTTTCAAATAAAACATATATAGTTCTAGTGGTTAAAAGGTCTGCCTCTCATGCTCGAGGGCACAGGTTCGAAACCTGGCAACAAATGTGATTGTTCCGAGTCATATGTACTTAAGAGTATTTAGACACCACTGACAAATGAAGGAAAATATGAGGAAACATGGACTTATATCAGATTATAAGTTTGAAATCACCAACCCGTTAGCAAGCGTGGTGATTAATGCTCAAACCTTCTCCATGTGAGAAGAAGCTCAGCAGTGGGCTCTGATAGAATGATGATGAACCATATATTATTATATATATTAAAAATGCTACTTTCTATTCCAGGTCCTTCGTCATACAGAACTAATCCAAGAGGTAGTTTCTCAAGCCCGAGGATCCTTTGCCCCTTCAGTGGCCATGATCAAGAAGTGTATCGAAGCTCTCATTGACAAACAGTACCTGGAACGAGCCCCGGGCACATTAGACACATATTCGTACCTAGCTTAGAACATAATAACAAAACAAAGAACCCTCACACAGTACATTATAACTATATTTTTGGGTACAACAGATAGATTACAGTTTTTTAATACAAAATCACATAAATGATGAAAAATTGATTCAAATATCAAATCAGTTTCTATAAACAAGATTTTTAATGTGGAATTTAATGTGAATTGCCAGTGTCCAGTTTGTAATTTCACAAATATATATGTTCTACAGAAAAAAAATTAAAACTTGTGCTATCAAGCAAAATTAGTTACTTAACAGACATTTTTATTAACTAAAATTCTTTCATTTTCAATAATATATATAATTACATAATAAATGTCTTTCTGTTTTGGACGCTGGTTTAAAATCAATGTAAATGTTTAATTTCCTACATAATAAATTGAAAACTTGAATTATTTTTTTCTAACATAACAATGCTACAGATCAATAAATAAATAAATATTAACTCAAGTACACTTACACAACCTGTAGTAAAAAAATAAATACATGACGCAGCGCTTTGGAGCGCTCTCACAATGCACCCGTCTAACAATACTAAAGGTCCCAGAAATTATAGAAAATATATCTATTATAATAATAAAAAACACATAAAAGTATTAAATTACGGAAAGCAATATGTATGGATAGTCAATTTACGAGAAATGCATATTTTTTGATCGCGATTCATATTAACGGTTTGAATTAATAAAATATTAAATACGGCTTTGTTATAGAGACGCATCCTTCATACGCTTTAAAATATTTCATTTATAGATTTAAACAACAAGCATAGCCAGGAAACATATATGTCTGTCTGTCTCATACTTATCGGATTTGAGTAATAAATTTTACTTGTCGCAAAGATGTAGCTATTTATAAATAAAAATTAAGCAGAGTCTTTTAATTATACACGCGGGAGTTGTATGTGTGACGCGCGAAGTGCTTTGTTGTGAATTCTTCGTATGAGAGATTCTCCAATGCAATTTAGTTTAGCTTCTTTGACAGCTGTCAGATTGGTTTTTCTTAAACGTCAGGCTGCCAATGTCATGTCATACTGTCGATGTCATGTCAAGCTGTCGATGTCATGTCATACTGTCGATGTCATGTCAAGCTGTCAATGTCATGTCAAGCCGTTTCCTGGGTCTACACAAAAGTGACCACAGCATGATGAAGTTATTGTTTCGCCCCCCGTCGTCACTTCTGTTAGATCTCAGCCCTCGTACAATATAAGTTATGTTATAGGATGTTGTAATAAATAAAATTTTTAAATGGAAATACTATATTGGTGTTTTATTTTACCTGAAAAAGATTTTAAGTATTGCATAGAATGAACCTTTATTAAATTAACTTTATTAAAACGTGGCTAAAAAGTATATGAAATAAAAAATATCAATGAGTTTCATAATAAGTAATATTACAATAAATATCACAGTATGTGATAAGGCATGTAATATAAAATTTATTTTTGTAGGCTATTAGATAAAGTTAATTGATTTTCTTATAAATCTATCACAATGTCGCGTCTAAAAATACTTTGGATTAAAATTCTAACTTTAGATTGACATTTCACATATTTAATTTACAATTTTTATTGCGACAGCAACTATGTTCAAATATTTGTACAAATCTGGTTTGACAATATTTAGAAATGAGAAAAAATCACACATTTATATTGTGTAGATACAACTAAAACTGAGGTTTACATAATGTAACTAAAATAATCAGGATATTTTTAAATTATCTTTTTACGAAATAAAAAATTGGAAAATTCTATTAATCAAGTTATATATACTTTTTTGAATATTCTTAGAGATAATTTTCCTATAAATTCCCTTTTTGTTTCAATTGGTTCACACACTGTGTCAAACAAATATAAAAATTGGATTCGCCTTGTTGAGTTCTAGAAAGTCTTACTACCGGCAACGATTTTTTTAAATTAACGAATCGGATATATCAAATCATGTTGTAAATGAATTAAAACATATTTAAATACAAATTAAAAAAGTGGATTTTGTTGCCTCATATATTTTGCAATAAAAAATAATATCATAGAAACGTGTAAATTAGGATACCGGTTAAAAAAATATACGCGTCTTATCACTGAATAGTAAAAGTAGGTAAGAAATTTTGAAATATGTTACAAAGAAATGATGAAAATGAAAACTTACTTGATAAGAAGAGAATAAAGGAGGTCGCTCGGAACACACAGACACACACACACAGCAACATGAAGACAGTCATCGTGGTTGGATTTGTTTTGGTGCAAGTACGTATTAATATTAGTGATTGAATTTTTCATTATTATATCTCCTATATTATAGAAAACACGAAATATCTTACAAGTAGTGTTATAAGTCCAAGATTTTATGTTTAATTTTTAATGGGATAAGTTGCAAACGAGCAGACGGCCCACTTCATGGGCAGTACCGTCATCCATAGACATACACAACATAGGAGACTGGAGAAATTGCTGATTCGTTGCCAACCTCGGTTATTAAGAAACAGGGAGGGGAGGGAATAAGAAAAGCGTGGGATATGGTGGGAATAGGGAAAGGGCAACCGTGTCTCTCACTCATCGAATGAAATGCATCCATTAAAGGCTACTTCACGACGATTTTCTATGAGAGTACTTCCCCGGTCGAGCCAGCACATGTTGGAGTTGTAGTAACTTGATTCTAGGCTCTACCACCTTAAAAAAATATCTTCCGTGAATCTAATTAATTAGTTTTATTCCAGCAAGCGCTAGCAAGCTGTTACCCAGCAGCATGCCTGTCACCGCCACCGATCGACCTGCTGCTACCTCCGCTGGCAGCTCTGCCGTCACCGTGTGCTGCAGAATTAGCAGCCCTCACGCCGACCCTCGCCACCTCGCTCTCAGCATCAATATCCGCGACTTTACCACCTTTACTAGAGGCGGCGTTACCAACAGTACTTACCTCTGCATTAGCGGCAGCAACACCTTTAGTATGTGGTCAGCTACCACCCGCTCCTCTTGCTTTGCCGGCTGCTCCCCTCGTACTACCAGCGGCACCTCTCCTAGCTCCACCTGCATGCACTGCCCCAGCTGCTGTATACACCATGCCAGCACCTCCTTGTGCGTTGCCGCCCCCTGCCCTTGCTTTGCCAGCCCCCCCATGTGCGTTGCCAGCCCCTACCTTCGCGTTGCCAGCCCCTGCTTGCCCGTTGCCAGCCCCCACCTTCGCGTTGCCGGCCCCTGCTTGCGCCTTACCAGCCCCCGCACCTATTTACTACGCGGCCCCAGCACCGGCTTGCACGCCTATATGCCTTTAAGTCTGTTACACTGAATTAAAATAAACGTTTTTGATTATTACTGTGTTGCATATATTTAAGAAAAGTTTATCAAAAGTACTAAGGATGGCAGTTAAATGATTTTTATAAATATTTACGAAGCACTCAATTATGTATTATTTAATAAACTTCATTAAGCAGGACATAATTAATAGTTCAAACAAGACATACATCCACGACTTGTTCAACTAAACGTTACTTAACGCGCCTGAAGAAGTTTTAGTTTAATAAAACATCTTTAAAGAACTTCTCACGTCTAGTATAAAAGGAATTACTTTGGAAATGTAACTTTGATATCAAGTCTTCAAAGTATGTTTACGAATAAAATAGTTACAAGTATATAAGGCAATACAAAATAAGTCCAACTCTAAGATTATATATGCCAGTGCAGATACCTTTAAAAACAATGAAAAGTGTAAATAAATTATAGTAGAATGAAACTCATTAGAAATGGGGGATAATATTATAAAAATTAAAGGAAAAATAATTTACGGTTGATCTGAGGTCGGGAAGGGTATGGGGATGGGTATTTAAGGGTAAAAAATGGGTTTTCTCGATTTCCGACAAAACTAAAAGTCCTACGGAAAAAAGTTATATAGCAAAGTTGTAGGTAATAAAAACATCTAAAACTTTTGTACTAATATTTTTTTTCACATAATCTCAAATTTTATGTGAAAAATTCGAAAAACCATCGTTTGGAAAATGCTCTTTCAATTTATTTTTAATAGTTTTAGCAGCTTAATGTCGATTTTCTGTAAATTACCTAAAAGAAGGACTATCTGGAGATCTTCCAGAGTACACAACTATTAAAAATAAGTTAGAAAGAGCATTTGCAAAACGATGTCGAGTGTCATTTCTTTAAAAGAGACATGATTATTTTATCCAAAAATGGTACTATAAGTAAGAAACTTATATTTTTTCCTTCACCATCGGAAAATAGAGATTTCAACAAATAGGAAACACACCAAATTTTTGAAAAAGGTGATATTTTGACGGGTGATTATTCGATTGAAAATGAGTCTGATTTTTGGATATTTATTAAAAATAAGCTGAAAAATTAAATATTTCTTATTAAATAAATTACAGTGTATTTGGAACATCAAAAGGAAAGTTTTTACCAAATTTCGTGACAAAATATTGTTTTTTGTAAGAGATAAAAATAAAAAACCAAAAACTTGGTTTCTCGAATTTTTCACATAAACTTTGAGGATATGTGAAAGAAATGTTAGTACAAAAGTTTTAGATCTTTTTTTTATCTACAACTTTGCCATATAACATTTTTCCGTCGGCCTTTTAGTTTTGCCGGAAATCGAGAAAACCCATTTTTTACCCTTAAATACCCACCCCCATACCCTTCCCCACCTCACATTGCCCGTAAATTATTTTTCCTTTAATTTTTATAATATTATCCTCCTTTTCTAATGAGTTTTATTCTACTATAATTTAATTATGTTTTAAAAGCTATTTGCACTGGTCTAATAGTCGAAAGTGACAGAATTAAATTAAATATGAATTCTAAACATCAAGATTATACTAATAGTAATATTTAATAGATTAGAACTGCAAATAGGATGATCTCATGTTTGATGTGGTGGAATTTAAATAGTAAAAATAAAAAGTATTGTAGGATAGACAGAGTTTATAATTATGAGTAATAATGAAAGAAATATAGCCTTCGGTATACAGGTATCTGACCAAGGACCAATCAGAGTAAGTATGAAATCTTGGAAGTATCGTAACTCATCGTCATCGTCATCATCCTATCAGAGCCCACTGCTGAGCCTCTTCTCACATGGAGAAGGTTTGAACATTAATCACCACGCTTGCTCAAGACGGGTTGGAGAATTCAAACTTATAATTGTGAAATTATAAGTCCAGGTTTCCTCACGATCTTTTCCTTCACCGTCTAAATACTCTTAGAAAGTACCTATGACTCGGAAAAATCACATTGGTACTTGCTAAAAGCAGTCTTTTAACCACTAAGCCACCGCTTAGTATCGCAATTACTCTTTTGGTAACTGAGAACAACTTATGGTTGCCATACTGAACCCTTTCAAACATTTAACTTGCATTATAAACTAGACCACTTGAAACAATACTCTATTAAATATTGTTAATATATAAATAAGATATATATATATTTATATAATTTTAATCAGATCTAAGAGAATATATAAATTTTATAATCTAATAAAACATTCACTGTTGACTTTAAACACATTTATTTGAGTAGGTTGGTCGCTTTTGTTTTAATAAGGGGCCATCCATAAAATACGTCACACTAATTTCATGAGTTTTTGAGCCCTCCCCCGTCCTTGTCACAGGTGGTCACATTTCTGAGACCCCCCCCTCCCTAGTGTGACGTCACATGTTTTGCAATTTAACATCGAAAAATTATTAAATTAAAACAGCAGTTCCGAAATTAGTTTTATTTCCATTTAAAATAAGTACTTTTTTAAGAAATCAACATAGTATCAAATATTTGAAATAATAAATAAACTAATGAATATACCTATACAGGGTGACTGGTGAATTACTATCGATACTTGAGGACGTGATATTTGACGATTATATATGACAAAATAAAAATTAATATAACATAAATATTAATATACTTCTAAGTAAAGTTAACCAAAAGTTATGTAATTCATTACGCATCGTGTGAACAGTCGACAGATTAGGTATACACATGACACACACACACGCGCGTTTGGCGGCGTGGTGTTGTATCAGCACGCCGCTAGCACGCGTCCACACTTGGAACACTTGGAACGTGTCCTCACTTTATTTATTTATACGGAAATTTAGTCAAAAATTAAGTACCTTTTTTTTTACATAATTTGAATGAGAATCATGTACCGAGTATTCTCCTTAAATATTGATAGTAATTCATGTGATGACGCGCTCAGTTTTAAAGATTTTAATTAATATTTCAAATTACGCGATTAGTAGCTCTAGATTTTGAAATGTGATGTCACGAAACTTAGGAGCCCTCCCTCCCCTTGTCACACCATGTCACACTTTGTCGACCCCCTCCCACCCCCTTTACGTGTGACGTACTTTATGGATAGCCCCTAATTAGTCATCGCGTACAATAGCCAGAGGTAACAATTTATTTTATAGTGTTGTTTTAACAAATACAGTGCAACCTTAATATTACGAACCTTAATGTAACGACTTCCTCGAATTAACAAATTGTTCGTAATCCCCTTGAATTAACCACAGAGGTCAATACAGGGTGACTGGTGAATTACTATCGATACTTGAGGACGTGATATTTGATGATCATATATGACACAATAAAAATTAATATAACATAAATATTAATAAACTTCTAAGTAAAATTAACCGAAAGTTATGTAATTAATTACGCATCGTGTGAACACCCTACAGATTAGGTATACACACACACACACACACACACACACGCGTGCGGCGGCGTGGTGTTGTATCAGCACGCCGCCGCACGCGTCCACACTTGGAACACTTGGAACGTGTCCACACTTTATTTATTTATACGGAAATTTTGTCAAAAATTAAGTGCCTATTTTTTTACATAATTCGAATGAGAATCATGTACCGAGTATTCTCCTTAAATATCGATAGTAATTCACCAGTCACCCTGTATAAATTGTTTCGACACGCTTTAGAGATTAAAAAAAACACATTTTTTACCTTATCATAGTTCTAGACGAACCAACATTCAACATCACAAACCTCAGTTCAACGAATTACTTGATACAAGGAATATTTTCTTGTTACCCTTGAAGGATGAACTAATGCATGCTTGGAATGTGCTTATCATAACGGCCCTAGAGGATCCAAAGAGTGCATGTTACATTCTATCCCTAAACCAGACATCTCACTTCTGAGCTGAAGGATCAACTCGGTTTCCAAATAAATAACGGCGGATTACTTCGATATTATTAGATTTAAATCCACATTTTAATAGTCGTGCTTGTCATGGCTAACCCACACGTCTTATATCCGAGGGACACTTGTCATATTTAAATCACAAATCACTGATATTTGAGGTTACAAAATATATTGTGATTGACAATCTATGGAATCTCCTAGCGCTTAGCTTCTAGTCGCGACCTTGTTCACTCACAAATCCCTCTTTACATCATTCAGTATAATATCCGCACACGACATTGGCGAAATCTATAAGGAAACGCCACTAAAGAAGAATCTATGTAATCGATTTACGCAATAAATTATCGATTCTTACAGCCTCCATTTCATATTTATACGTTGCTCTGTAACAATACTTTTAGTAACCTACCTTGCAACGTTAACATTTTAAATATCTTAGATACAGATTGTGTCTTTGTATTTCCTTGATCAGAGTTATTAGTATGATGGGGTAAAGGTACCGAAAGAACTTACTACATCTGCGGGGAGCCAGTTCCAACTGCTTAATATTTGCTGAATATCCAGGATTGCTATCAATGACGATTTCAATACCAGCGTAGTCATGATAAGGTTTTATAAATCATACGTGAAGCGGTTAGTCTTTCGGTAGCCAGAGCGTAAAGAGAAATAACCACAAACGAACGATCAGTAGGTTTTATGAGAGCAGGCACTAAGGCTATAAAATTAAATGTCAAGCCTTACTCCATCCTTATGGCAAATTATTCATATATGTTCGTCCTCTGAGAATATCTCATACGATAATTATTATTATTTTATAATATTCGACGGATTGCTACACTTGGAACAGCTACAAGACCTAAATCTCCAGGTTTAACCTCTAGACTTCTTCTCCTGGATTTTTCTTAAACAATATTTATAAATATTGCAGAACTTCGCTAAGAAGTCTGCAGGTGTTGATAAAGGTAAATCCACTTGATGACCTTGTCTAATGAAAAAACGATTAACCTGCGTTGTCTTTAGGCACATTTCTTTTGTAACGTGACGTAAAATGATTTTTTTTATTGTCACTGACGCTACATTTTCTTGCTAAGAGTCGATTGAGATTTTTGCTCTTAATATAAAAAAATTGTCCGTGGAATCATTCCGCACTGAGAAGTGAAACTTCGCACTGTTTCAAAGATAACAGGAAAGAGTAGAAATTGATTTTTAAGATTTTTTTATTGTTTGTTTAAGACAAACTTTATTAACATTACTTTCAAGTCATAATTGATTGTCCACACCCATTCTCTCGCTGTCTCTTTCTATCCTCCCGCAGCGTTAGACGTTTAACGCAACCTTGTTAAAAGTTGCATAAGTAGTTTCACTTCACAAACTACCTCCAAAACTTGTATATTTAGGTAAATATCACCAATTTGATGAAAATATTAATATTTTTGTCAGGTTTTCGAACAAATAAAACTATTTATAGGATTTATTTGATATATTGATACATTGTATTGATCACATCAGATTGGATATGACATTGAGGGCGCGTTACGCGGACACTTAATAAAATAAATGCGGCGACATCATCTGTCATTCTGGTGCCATTATACACTGGTAGATAGTAATAGGATGTATTAACTACCAAATTAATGAGACCCCAATGAAAATTTTATCATTTTCACGTAAAAAAAAACGGCTGGACACATTTTGATGGAATCACTGTATTAAATGCACGGAATCAGATAAATTAAATGTATAGTATAATAAAATTATAATATAAAGATAGAGATTCAAATAATAAATTATAATTATAAGATTTATTCATCTTTAAATATTTATTTATAAAAAAAAATAACAAAAAAATACTAAATTTAAATACTGTTTGTGATATTTTGGCAATCACCAAGCACCATATTTGGCCTCGACATTAGTAAAGAAAAAAAAATCAATAAATAATAATTTTTTGTCAAAAAAATACAAATTAAATATAATTAAATTAATGTCATTTACATAAATCTTTTATAAATGACGTAAATGTCAGATCTATTTCTTACACAATAAAAAAAACACACAGAAATATCAGCTTCGCTGAATTCATTACCCATTGGATGGGCTCACAGAAAATAATATAATAAAAAAATACCAATCACAAAAATACGGTAACACTTGAAAAATAAAATATAAATTTTCATAAATGGCAACAAAATCACAGATGATAATAAAAAACATCAAAACTATAATAATAATAATAATACTAACGATAAAATTAACAATCACAGGCGTCAGACACATTATACTTAAAACTATACATGGTTCAAATTTTACATTAACCAACCTAAAATTGCTTAATAAACATATACATTTCATATAACTATCTAAATGTATAGAATTATGCACAACGCTAGCCATGGCACATGCGAAAATTACATTTTTACCTAAACATTTAACGTCTTGAACACATTTCACCGCCGACAGCCAACACACACGTACCATAGCTCCGTACAAACAAATAATACTGTCGCTTAAAAACAAACTGAATATAAACAAATCATATAAATTAAGATGACTAAAAAGTTTGTTATAAAAATAATCAGTACATGAAAAAGCGGTCAAATAAAACGCCGCGTAAATAATACGAGAAAAACGCGCGTCTACACTAACACTAACACGGAACGCACGCCCACAACGTGTCAATGTCACAAACGACGCACACGTCGGTGATACAAGTTTGCGCGGGAACGTCAACGTCATAAATGGCGTCATGTCAATAAGTATGCTCGGGGATGTCAGCGTCATAAATGACGTCAATGTCATAAGCGTCAGTCTCACGAAAATGTATATTAATATAGGCATCACAAGCGATGACACAGTCATAAAACGTAAAGTCATATTGTTCGGAGTTTTTAATTTGACAGACGTCATTAGATTCATATTCATCGTCACAATTTTGAATGTCAGTGTCATAAAAATCATAAGCGTCAGGCACGTCAATGTCACGAGTGACATGACATCGGATGTCAATGTCAGAAGTGACGCCGGCGGGTGACATCCGCGGACAAACATAGAACATTCATCAAACGGCTTTAGCCACGTCAAACGGTAAAGTTCCCTTTTATAATTAATTTTGCGCGTCATAGTATCACACGCCAATGGGTATTGGCACATAGCTGTATAGATATATGTTGTACATGTATATATATGTGTGTGTGCGTCTGTTTGTACATTGATAGTGGGGCGTGTTTTGGGGACTAGGGGGTCAAAGGTCACGGTCACATTGACCGCTCTTTCACCGTACCGACGTGGCTGTAATGGTTAAGGGCAATGCTGTTTTTTTTGTTTCTTTAAATTCTCCTCGTCCATACCAGACTTTGGTACCTGAGGGTTAAAAAAATATATTAATAACTAGAAGATCCTGCGAACTTCGTATCGCCCTATAATCAAGAAATATCTGTTACGTTTTTTTATTTATATTTTTGGAGTTTACCTATTAAATCCATAAATCTCCGTATTTTGAAGTGCGACAGAATGATTGACATATTAGTTAGTTGTCAAATCTAATGTAAAAAAAAAACGTTTGTATCACCAACTACTAATAAATTAAAAATTAATTTAAAAAACATTGTCCAGCGGACAAAATTGGGATTCTAAACCATTCCCAGATCCCCTTGAACACACACACAAAATTTTATCAAAATCGGTCGAGTCGTTTCAGAGAAGTTCAGTGACATACACACTCACAGAATAATTATATATAAAAAGATATGTACATACATGACATATGGTGGAAATTCTATAGATTTGACTCCAATGATGTATAATCTATTAGCACTTATATGTAGTTAATCATTTTAAGTAAAAACTAATATTATATAATATTCTTTATATTTTAATATATATAACTTACCTCAGTGAATCTCTCTCCTTTAAGCGACACTATCTTGTTGTCTCTGTAGCGGACCATTTTCTTTGGTTCAAACTTGGGAGCCAGCGGCTTGTGTTCCTTTGTATCGGAGTTCTTGTCCACGTAGGAATATCTGAGGAATTATATGTTATTTATATTAGAAATCTGTATAAATATATACATAGCTATTTATATCGATACTTGAGGACGTGATATTTGACGATCATATATGACAAAATAAAAATTAATATAACATAAATATTAATAAACTTCTAAGTATAGTTAACCAAAAGTTATGTAATTAATTACGCATCGTGTGAACACCCTACAAATTAGGTATACACACACACACACACACATACGCGTGCGGCGGCGTAGTGTTGTATCAGCACGTCGCCACACGCGTCCACACTTGGAACGTGTCCACACTTTATTTATTTATAAGGAAATTTGGTCAAAAATTAAGTGCCTATTTTTTTTACATAATTCGAATGAGAATCATGTACCGAGTATTCTCCTTAAATATTGATAGTAATTCACCAGTCACCCTGTATATTTATACAGATTTAATTAGTTGCTTTGCTCTTGTAAATGATTTATCACCAAATATTTGTCATCACTATACCCAAAATTGATGTATCTCTTAAAACTAAACTATTATCCATTGGTAGTTCAACCGAAATTCATCTAACGTGTATGTATAATCTTATATTGTATCTCAAGGTTTTTTGGTGATGTGCAAATTTTTTATGACAAAGGAACGAATCTACTAGATGGTAAGTAATCACCGTTACATGGACATCTATATAAGAGATTTTGTGGAAGAATTATCAACTTTGATTTTGAAAGAGAGAGGAAAGTGTGGGAAAGAGATAGAGCTATCGTCTCTCTCACTCATCATACAAAATACTGCCATTAAAGGCTACTTCATATCGATCTTCTGTGAGTGGAGAGAGGAAAGTGTGGGAAAGAGATAGAGCTATCGTCTGTCTCACTCATCATACAAAACGCAGGTATTAAAGGCTACTTTATTCTGATTTTCTATGAGAGGGCAGTACTTTGTACTTCCACATTATAATCACCTAGCAATGATCCTATTCTTGAGTTCGCTGTCGTCACACAGTGTCGTGTGTCGTGTTGAGTGTAGCGAAGTGAGTGCGTGGCCTTGTTCGCGACGGTGTAACAACGTCGCGGCCGCGCGCTCTGCGTCCCCGCACGCTATAGATACGCAATGCTTGATCTGAAATGATGGATTTATAAATGTTAATAGAGGCTGTCTGAAGATATAATGATTGGTACAAGGTTTTAAAAGGTGGAAATTAACTATAAAATCACCCTTACATGTTTGTGTTACTGTGTATGTGTGCATGTGTGTATGTGGATCACTTGTAAGTATGTTACATTTATCATAATTTATTTGCTTATATTGTATGAATGATTGCAAGAAAAGAAAATTTTATAGTCCAGGATCTATGGCTGTTTGTGTGTGTGTGTATGTGTGTGTGTGTGTGTGTATGTCAAGACCTCCATAGCGCATGTGTTGGGGAACATCTCGTGCAGCGCCCGGCATTGCTCACTGTATTCCTCTTCTATAATAGAAGACCTACGGTCAGCGCCCTCCGAACTCTCAGACGTGGAGTGGGAACGAGATGAAGACCTGGAAATATATATATATGTATATATAGATATGAGATAAAACTTCCCTTTTCTACATGGAAATTTCCCAGCTATAGCCAGGGTCTGCCTTACATGTTTTGAATAGTTTTGGCTGTTTGTTTTTACGACCGGCCGCCTGCCTGACATCAACCCTCTTTTGGGAAAAAGATGAATCCTCTCATCATTCCCTATATTCACGGTGCGTGTGTCGGGTCCATCGTTGTAGAGAGAGGAGCTTCTACAGTGACTAGGACTTGTGACCCAAGTGTAGGTTTAAGGGACCTCTATATAACGCGCGTTAATACGCTCACCTTCACTGTCCAAGCTCCTCTCTCTACCTAATACGATTTGCAAGAAACCTACCAGGGCTGCTTTAATTAATGTTATAAACTGCCAACGAAACAAGATAAATATTGTAAACAAATTAAGTTTATCTTTTTGTGGGCTTATATAAGAAATATGCATATTTACAGTACATAATAGAAAATATTTTTTTCATTATGTTCTATCACAATGTGTAATAATATAAAAGTCAGTGGTGGCCTAGTGGTTACAAGGCCCGCCTCTCATGCATGAGTTAGCGGGTTCGATCCTGGCAAGTACCAATGTTTTTTTTCCCGAGTCATATGTACTTTATAAGAGTATTTAGACATCACTGATTAATGCATTCCCAAAGAGGGTTGATGTCAGGCCGGTCTAAAAACAATTAGCCAAAACTATTCACAACATGTAAGGCAGACGCTGGTTAAAGCTGGGAAATTGCCAGGTAGAAGAAGAAACATAGTAATAATATTATATGTATGTATGTTAAATATTGAAAATAATATATATATATATATATATATATATATATATATATATATATATATACAGGGTGACTGGTGAATTACTATCAATATTTAAGGAGCATACTCGGTACATGATTCTCATTCGAATTATGTAAAAAAAATAGGTACTTAATTTTTGACAAAATTTCCGTATAAATAAATAAAGTGTGTACACGTTCCAAGTGTTCCAAGTGTGGACGCGTGCGGCGGCGTGCTGATACAACACTACGCCGCCGCACGTGTGTGTGTGTGTATACCTAATCTGTAGGGTGTTCACACGATGCGTAATTAATTACATAACTTTTGGTTAACTTTACTTAGAAGTTTATTAATATTTTTGTTATATTAATTTTTATTTTATCATATATGATCGTCAAATATCACGTCCTCAAATATCGATAGTAATTCACCAGTCACCCTGTATATATGTATATATGTCATATGAAAATTTTTCTCAGGATACAAGCAAAGCCGCTAGCATATACTAGTTGTATAATAAATTCCCTCATGTATACGATAAGAACTCACCGATTGTTCTTCGTTGGTACAGAAGGCAGCATCTCACTCATCCTTTGAAGTGTTAGACTTATTTTATCACTGCCGGTTGAATCATCTGAAATATATATATAATAATATTTAAATTTATTTGTATATACAATATAATAAACATGAAAGAATCTTCAATGAAACTAGAGTGATCATCTTTATATATAAAAAAAGAAAGTCGTGTTAGTTACACTATTTATAACTCAAGAATGGCTGTACGGATAGGGATAAAAATTGGTGGAGAGATAGATTGAAATCAGGAAAAGTACATAGGATACTTTCAAATGAATGAAAAAGAAAAAATAATGATTAAATTCAAAATCTTGTTATCTACTGTCTTTAAGGAGGCATAGAGTTCACTGGGTCAGCTATACATTTCTAATTCTGATTAAGGCAGACAAAGTCACAGGCATAACTAGTAATAAAATAAAGAAATTATCCCTACTAAAATTATAAATGCGAAAGTAACTCTGTCTGTCTGTCTGTTACGCTTTCACGACTAAACCACTGAACTGATTTTAATGAATTTTGGTACAGACATAGAGTTCATCTAGAGAAAGAACATAGGATAGTTTTTATCCCAGACTTTTGAAAGGTTCTCTTGGAAACGCGATATAACCGAACTCCACGCGGGCGAAGCTGCGGGCGGAAAGCTAGTTTTATATAAATAGCAATATTTTTTACCGTGGTTGGACATTGTATCGGAGCCATCTCTCCGAGTCAATTCAGCTTCTAGTTCTAGGACCCACGAACACACCATTCCCGGTTCAATGGTGGCAAACTTCGGGATGTAGGCAGACATCATTTCTATGAAGCCTGAAATATATAAAAGATTACACATAAAGTTATGAAGTCAGTGGTGTCCTAGTAGTTAAAAGGCCCGCCTCTCATGCACGTTGGAGCGGGTTCGATCCTAACAAGTACCAATGTGATTTTTCCGAGTCATATGTACTTTATAAGAGTATTTAGACATCACTGATTAATGCATTCCCAAAGAGGGTTGATGTCAGGCAGGCGGCCGGTCGTAAAAACAATTAGCCAAAACTATCCACAGTATGTAAGGCAGACCCTGGCTAAAGCTGGGAAATTGCCAGATGGAAGAAGACACAAAGTTATGGGAGCAGTATATGGAAGTAATATATTTATATGCATATATATTTATGGAAATACTACAATAATGGTAACATTTGGGAACTTCAAGATTATTATTTAGTATATATCACATAAAGATGAAAATCTTTGTTAATGATTACAGAAAGAAATAAGGGATATGTATAAAAATTGCCAAGTATATATAATTTATTAATACTATTTCTATATGAATAACTAATAATTATGTAAATAATTTAAGTAACTTTATAGACATTATATTTAGAGATTAATATATTATGAATACAAAAAGGTGTCTTGTAGACTTATTACGGCTATAGAGCTTTCTTTAGTTGTTAGTAATTGTTATCTCGGTAAATAAGTTTTTCTTTGTAATTAAAGTTTATATAAATACTGTATGAAACAAAAATTTGTTTGTCTTTTTTGGTGTCTCATTCAATTACTTAGAATATTTAATATCTGAGCATAATATATTAATTAATTTATGTTTTGTTGTATAAAAGTGAGAAAAAAAGTGTATTTAAGTACTTGATGAGCCGTTTTGAACAAAGGAATTTGGTGCAAAATGAAGAAACAGAACAATATGCCATATATAGTCTATATATATTTTATACAAAACTTTTTCCTGAGATATCTTTTAAACAATTGTTTTAAAATATATTGTATTTATTTATCATATAACAGAAAATATATATTTAAAAAATACATAAAACATGCAAATAATAATCTAAATTATTATCAATATATTATATAAATAATAAATACATTCGTATAAACAAAAATATTAAAGAAAATAAATAATTTAAGTACAGATATTTCTTTTCTCATTATTTATTAGTTGGAAGTGGATAATTTTTTTTCTGATTATTAAATTGAGATGAATGGAACCTTGTATATAAAGACTTACCTTCGACATCAAAGCAAGGATCCTGGGAAGCTTCCTCCAAGATAGAAATTACATACGCAAGTACAATATCATCTATTGCACTTACGTCCGCTGAGGGGATATTTTTTTCAATAAACTGAAATAAACTCTCCTTAACATGAGATTCCTGACGCGCAATAGCACTCATTCTTTCCTAAAACAACGAAAAAATCCTTAAAAACCGAGTATTAATTGCACTATATACACAATTTCTTTCTCTTCGTTACACTCCGATACACAAAGCTTATTTTATATAAATAGCACATAAAACTTCGTAATTGTATCACAGTTTGTACCTTTTAATGTTTTTCTACGGTTAAACAAAATTTTAATGATGTATTAATTGATTTTTCCAGGTAAAACTCAATTGTACGAAAAGCGACGAAAAATCAATACAAATGGTTACTTATAAACAATTCTTATTATTTTCTATCCTGGCAATGATTATCAACGATACAGCCGATATCAATGTTTTATTAAATTTATTATTACTTTAAATATGAAAAGCGAAAAAGATGTATGTATTTAAATATTGATAATGTATTTTTTTCGGTACAAAGAAATGGTTGATAGCTATATAAAATAAAACAAATTTTATTTTACAAGACGGACAATAGATGGAGCTTTAATCAAATTAAAAATTTTGTTCTTGATTATATTTTACTAGTTTTTATATAAAATTGTGATAGGCTTTGCAAAAGTTCTATAATTTTCATATTGTGTATAGATTTAATTTTTAAACTGCGTTTGAAAATCAACTTAACCTTTATATCCTTAATTATGTAATATGTATGTTTAGTCCAAGTTAATGAATGCATTACATAAGCAGCGTCAACAGTTTTTTATTAGTAAATTTGGGCATAATGTAAGGTTTAAAATCAGAAACGTGAAACACTTAGTATGACGACTTGAACTTGGACTAAGGATACAGAAATATCGATTGACTTTTGGCGGCAAAATTGTAATAATAAACGGATATTACTATGAAATTTCAATCATATTAATATGTTACCATAATAAAAAAATATATAGGAGACAGAAAATAAAACAAATATTTTTTTTCTAATCATATATTTTGTCAATTTAAATCTTTAAAATATAACGAACAATATTCCAATAATCTTATATACCTAAATAAATAAACACAACGCCATAATCACAACTACATGTTAACGATATTTAGAAAGAAATTACACCGAACACAGTAAAAGGTAAAAGGTTAAAAAATAAACTTTATTAAACTAGCTGTACACGCGGCCACGCTCGCACAATAAGAACTTTTTGTTTATTTGGATACGTTCAACAATTTAAAATTTAGGTTTACTTGTGATTAAACACGATAAAATATAATCTTTTAGGAACATTTGGATGAGATATAACAAAAAAAAATCATCTACACAGTGCATTCTACTACTAATTGTGTTATAATATAGATTTATTTATTTTAAAACACAAATATAGCACACAAATAATTATTTTACCTATATAGAAGTGATTTGACTAATGACACATGACTAGCGCTTTTGTCGAACCGTCAAAACTGAAGTTTAGTAAAATATAGATGAGTATATGGAAGAATTTTAAATATTTATATAAGAATAAATAAAATTTTTATATTATTTATCTATCTACAGGACAATAATCTGCATTATCTTTGTTTTTTTATTAAGCATTAACATATATTATGATATCACATTGCAAAGTAACCTCTTGATAATACAGACGCCGGTCCCTTATATAATCTATGAATACTATAACATTTATATTTGAATTATTTTTATATCAATTATTTATATTAACATTAATATTATATAACTCTTTAAAGTGAAGAATTTATTTTTTTTATAATTTTTATATATTTTTTTTCATGCGTGATTTCAAAACTAGTGCACATATTTTTTTTTTAATTGACCACAAGTGATTGGCAGTTTGTGGGCTTTTTACCATAGAGTATGTAATGCAACAAATCCTTTTATCACTATACAAGCGTATGTTTCTTATGATATAATATTTATTTATTAATCTTATATATATTTGACAACACATAAAATCTTATTTTTTTAAGAAAGCGTAAAATGTATTCTACACATACGTTTAACGCTCAGATATGGACATTTCCTTTCTTCATTGCTTTTTAACAAACTTTTTGATAACAAAATAGAAAACAACAAATTCACGTCGATCAATAATGATTTAAAATAATAACAATAATATAGATTAAATAAATGATAAAATCAGGTGAGAATAAAAAAATAACTTTAGGATAACTTTTGTTGCATACATGCATAAAATACATGTTGCATAATGCATGCATGCTGTTTACAGATTAAAACAAAAATGTTAATTTGTATCTATTTTCAATTTAGTGTCTGTTACAAGTTCAAAGTTTTTTAAAATTAAAGTGTCCTCATAACTTTTATGCTTTTGATAAATACTTTTCCATATTTTTACCGCCATTTTTGTCAATCATTTTAAAATTCCGTACAATTTAATATAATGGCTGAAAACTGTCAACGTAATGTTTAGTTTTACTTCTATTATATGTAAAGGCATTTTTGTTTGTGTTAATTTACTTATAAATATTTACTTTATATAGAAAATATGTGAATTATAAATGAAACAATGAAGTAATGTTATGGAATACATAAAATACATCAGGAATTGTAACTTCGTAACGTTGAAAATAAATAAAATTGCTTTATACTCTTATAGAAAGTAATATTTGTATTCAAACTTTGTGTTAAACCCAAGACGAGTAGGATATAAGTAAAATATCTTAAAAATATATAAGAAATGAATTAATTTTGATTGAAATATTAAAATTAAACACTGGACGTAGCTTGTTGACTGCTGTGGTCACTTAACACGGAGTTTATGTCAGAATCACGCAGCGTGGGAGGTGTGCCGAATGGAAAGTCCTGGAAAATGAGAATAGATTTTAATTCTTCTTCTCCTTCTACCTGGCAATTTCCCAGCTATAGCCAGGGTCTGCCTTACATGTTGTGAATAGTTTTTGGATATTTGATTTTACGACCGGCCGCCTGATTGACATCAACCCTCTTTTTTTTGGGAATCAACAATCATAGACTTAATTATTATTCCTTTCTCCATATATTAATTATTATTTTAATATATGGAGAAAGGAAAGTATTGTTAGGCAATAAAATTTAATAAAGTAGGTACTTTAGAACTATCTAAATTAGTGTTTTATGAGTTTAAGTTGCATCCGATTAGAAATTGTTTGAGAAGCCTTGTTTGATATGTGACATGAAATTATTTAAAATAGCACGTTAAAGTAATATCGAAATGTGAAATGCAATTCCATCTATAATATATCGCGTGTAATATAAACAAATAGGTGTTTAAAGAAGCTTACTCTGATCTCGAATGCTTCATGTCTATTTATTCAACAGAACTGATATTAAACTTTCCTTTTTCCCTTCCTTTCCCACCCTTTCCTATCCTTCGCAAATCAAGGATGACAATACATCCGCTAAACTATGTTACGGATGTCTATGGGCGACGGTACTACCTCCATCAAGTAGGCCGTCTGCTCAAATGCTCGTTTTAGCATAAGAGAGAGATGAAAACCTCTCATTCCATGTATTCACGGTGCGTGTGTCTTGTCCATCGTTGTAGTGAGAGGAGCTTCAACAGTGACTGGACTTGTGACCCAGGTGTAGGTGTAAGGGACCCTATCTAACGCGTTAAACGATCACCTCCACTGTCCAAGCTCCTCTCTCTAAAAATAATATGGAGTACTTACCACTTGTGAGGGCAGGCTCCTCGGGGCTGGCGGGGCGGGGGGCGGAGCCCTAGCACGTGGTGAGGCGCATTCAGCACATTCACCAGAACCACGGTTGGAGCGACGCGACCAGGACTCCGGCATACAGCTGAAGGAGAAAAATATACAAATATATAAATATATTCAATAGTCAAAGAATATATTTTTAAAGTCAGTTGTGGCCTAGTGGCCCGCGTTTCGTGCATGAGGGCGCGGGTTCGAATCCTGGCACCAATATGATTGTTCCGAGTCATATGTACTTAAGAGTATTTAGACATCTCTGACTGATGAAGGAAAACATCGTGAGGAAACATGGATTTATAATTTCAAATTATAAGTTTAAAATCGCCAACTAGGTTTGAGCAAGTGTGGTGATTAATGTTCAAACCTTCTCCATGTGAGAAGAGGCCTTTGCTCAGCAGTGAGCTCTGATAGGCTGATGATGATATATTTATTAAGAGTCAAGCGTTTCATGTTTTCTCATCTTTGCATAACTTCTTTGTCGTTACAAAACGCAATTGTAAAGTACTGTCGCCTGAAATACAGGTTTATACCTAGCTCAGGGACAGTAGACTTTATTTACATATAATACCTTTTACCTTTATACATTGTGATCAGATTATGTTAATTTAATAGTTTTTTTTGAGAGGAATGTAAAAAAGCTTATTTGAGTCCACGACTTGGTTACAACTTATCTGGTCAGCCTTGAGCACAGGCACAAAGTAGCCAACCTCTCCGAATTCTATAGGATTTGACTTGAAGATTGAACGCAGTAATTCTTTAAGGCACTCCTTCTTCATGTGAATAGAACATTTAAGAACAGTTTGCCTGCCCCTCCATTTTCTCGCTATTTAAATTAGGATATTTTTAAGTTTAGACTCAATATGCTATTTCTGAGATAGTCTTTTTACCATTTACGGCTCCACATTAAATAAGAAAAAAATTATAAGCAGGGCCAAAAAATTTAAATCAGATGAATGTATAAAAAATTTCAAACAGCCCAACGAATTGTATGATCATAGCTCTTAACACTCGCTAAAAATGATGAGAAATATACACTCACGCTAGATGTACGAAGTGTGTACACGGTAGAGACACAAGAGGTTCTGGTCGCTCCGCCAGTGGTTCCCTACAACGCCCACACGTGGGCGCTGCCCACGCGCTGGCAGCTCTCTTCTGACGGGCGGCCGCGTTATTATCACCTAGAGCTGTGTAGATGTCAGCCAGACGTAGACGAACGCGACGTACTAACATCTGAAATAGAATATTTTGCTTTATTAAAGCACAAACAGTTCACAATACACTTAAATTATAAATGCCACAAATGTTTTTTTAACAAACAAATACAATAGTTATAAAAATCAACCAAACGTCGCAATGTTATCTTATTTACGCAAAAGGAATATATATTGAGTAATAAAGTAGGAAAATTTATTTTTTGTTCCAAACAACATTTTTTTAAATAACTGTAAGGAAACATTAAACATATCAATATGAATAAAACCTTCATTATATTTTACGCTAACTCTATATAGAGTAGTTAGTTATTGATCAACTGCTTTTCTGTTTTTTTTTTTTATATGATTGAGGCGTCAAACGAGCAACGGCCTACTTGATGGAGGTAGTACAACGCCCATAGACATGGCAACATAGTTTGGCAAATGCATTGCAACTCTTATTTAGTAAAAAGCGAGATTAAAGGATGGAAAAAGGAAAGGGCCACCGGTTCAATTCATAAGACGAAACGCAGTCAGACCTACGTAGAAATTGGCTTAAATAAGCTCTTTTATGTCAATAATAATACAGTTTTTATTTGGTTCCACTTAATACTTTCATGGGAAATAAAAAGAACCTCTATTACGACAGTTATGAGAAATGTTATTGCGATTATAAAAAATACAATTTTGAGCTCAATCTATCAACTCTACAATTTTAATTTTCAAATTAATCCGTGTTGGGAGATTAATAAGTATTTCAACAAATCATCGACATGAATATTATTTAAGCTTATTAGTTTAAGCAAAAATAAACATTTACTTTCTAAAAGTACCATCCAAATGTTTGTAGAAGTTCATTAATTGGGAGTCAACTAATCGTTATAATAGCTAATTTGTAAGTCAGTGGTGGTCTAATGGTTAAAAGGCCTGCCTCTCATGCATGAGGGCGTTGGTTCAATCTTGGCCCGGGAAAGTACCAATGTGATTTTTCCGAGTCATATGTACTTTTTAAGAATATTTAGACATCACTGATTAATGCATTCCCAAAGAGGTTTGATGTCAGGCAGGCGGCCGGTCGTAACAACCAATAGCCAAAACTATTCACAACATGAAGGCAGACAATGGCGAAAACTGGGAAATTGCCAGGTAGAAGAAGAAGCTAAGTTGTGCTCCAAATAACCAAACCAACCTTTGATCCAACAGAAGTAGCGACCTCTAGCAACCTCGTGTTGAATTCCAGAGGTCTGCAGTTACATATGCGTCCTTGTAATCTCAGTTCGTCCAAGCATCTGGCTGCTCCGTCCATCGCCTCCATCTGCGCTAATCTGTCTCCCAAAGACTGACCAGCCCCCATCGCAACTTCGTAATGTCTACCAAAAAAAATTTACGTCAATACTTATTCTTGGTACTTATCATTAGTTATGACATGGGTTTTTTAAATGTATACAAAAAAAAACTTAACATCAATGATCTTAATAATAGCAGTTATCTGTTTTATTTAAACTTCACGAAAATCACTCCCTTAATTATATAAATATTAGCTTTCCACTTGCAGCTTCGCCCGCGTGGAGTTCGGTTGTAACGCATCTCCAAGGGAACCTTTCAAAATTCTGGGATAAAAACTATCCTATGTTCTTTCTTAAGGTCAAATCTATCGCTGTAGCAAATTTCATTAAAATCAGTTCAGTGGTTAAGGCGTGAAAGCGTTACAGACAGACAGACAGAGTTACTTTTGCATTAATAATATTAGTAGGGATTGTTTTGTCCTAATCCATACAAGTATATGCTCACCTATTAGTAATTTTAAACCATAATTGTACAAAAAAGGACTTAATAAATTGTAAATAAAGTTCAAATTACCTTAAAGCCTTCCCCAAGTCACTTTTCCGTCTATACACATCCCCAGCTAGCCTCATTGCTCGAGCGTAGCAGCCCTGGTCTCCAGCGACAGATGCTAGACGTAGGGCTTCCTGGAAATAAAGATTTTCATAGCATTTGGACAATTATACATGTTCATACCACACATAGTCCTATGACAGAAAATGGAAGATATTTAAACAGAAATCTACATATAATTTAATAGCTATAAAGTTTTTTTTACATGTTCGATTGATTTCAAAACATAGTTGTCATATATTTTGTATGTATAGGATATTCGTAATAGCAAATTTATTAAACCTATTTTGATAAAATTAGTGTTTTATAGAAATGGAATACTCATGAGCTGTTTTTATTTTACCATGTTGATATTTTGGAATTTCATAGGAAAATTTGAATATATTAGAGAAGTGGAAGATATAATCTGGTAAAAATATAGTTAGTTGTTTTAGTTTAGTTGTCTACGAAGGTCCTGTAAAATTAAAATACTTTCAGAATTCTAATAAAACACTACAAGTTTCTAGAAATACTTTCAGCATATTTGTAGTCTACCAGATAATTTAAATATGAAGCAATTAAAACATGTACAAAAAATTAAACTAATATTTTCGGATACACTACGTTATTTTATTATTCTAAACTACATACTCCTGACATTTCGGTTACTTTGCAACCGGGTTCATTAAGACGAGATTAACGTAGTAATCCGAATATATTAGTTTCATTTAAATGAATATATCGAAAGTCTTAAATCTCAATATCTTCTATAGAACTGAACTGCTCACATTGACATAATCATGAGCATCACCAAGTTCCCCTTTAGCTCTGAGTGCCGCTGCCATTTGAAGAAGAGCATTTCTGTGGTGGCGAGTGTTGAGATTTAAAGAGTTATGACCTCTACCCACATCACAGGCACGAGAAGCACAACCGAAAGACCGTTCCAGGTCTCGTAATCTACGCCACAATTCGGATAGACCTACATACACCTGGAAAAAGAAGAATGAAATATATTTCTTTTGATGGCAATTTACTGACAAGAAGAGAAAGCATCTGATTCTTACTTATTCAATTAGATTATTGTATAACAAAATTATTTGATTATATCTATGGACAGAATACTCAATTTCTGGTACCCTAGACATGCAATTACAGAAGAATTCTGTTCTTGGATTAAATTTTGTAATAAATTTAAGCTATATTACTTTTCTAATAGTGTCCAAGTTCTGCTTTATAATAATTACATGCATTGTCGGATCGCTGGGATTCACCAATTTTAGCACACTGGATAAGACTCCACGTAGTCAAGTAAAATATATGTGTAGTTTAAAATTAGTTAAAAAAAGTGTCATAAATAAAATTGCTTTTGCTTTGTTTTTGTAAATTTACTAACCAATTTATTTATTAAGTTTAATTTGTAATGTACTGACACTATATCACCATCATCATCAGCCTATCAGAGCCCACTGCTGAGCAAAGGCCTCTTTCTCACATGAAGAAGGTTTGAGCATTAAGTTTTTGACACTATATGGATCTATGTTATATGGTCTGAAATAAATGATTATTATTATTATTACGTACTTGTAGTGTAAGAACGTCGTTATCCTGAGCTTGGGCAACTCCAAGTGCTTTCATGAATCCATCCATCGCTTTGGAAACTGCTCCTAATTCCATACTGACCACAGCTACCGTCAAATGGACAAACCCAGCAGTTGAACCACCACCGCAGTCGTTGTACAACGCGTGACGAGCGTATGACAAGGCCCTATGAAGAAATAAATGAATAAAACAATAAATTTAGGTTTTCAGGGTCTTATATTAAAGTATGTTTTTGGTTATTTTCTCATTATTAAGAAGAAAGCGAATAAATATCTTTAAAACAAAGTCTCCTGATATGATCCTGATACTTTTTTGTGCTCATGAGACATGAAACATTGTCACGTTTGAACCTAAAAAGTTTGAGCTTACTCCTTCGTATTTCCTCTATACAGTATTCAAGATTATATTGGTCCAACAAATAAAAACGTTTTTGGCAAAATATTCCACGACTATAAATGAAGCCATAGATAATAATAATAAGTAATCTTGTTATTTTTTAAAAAATAAATATGCTTTTATTCCATTCGACAAACTCTTTCGTGTTTCCACATAGTACTCAAGATTATAAGTCATCCAACAAATAAAAAAGTTGACAAAATATTCCACGATTCCAGTACGAATGAAGCCATAGCATAAAAAACTCTGTAGTAATTGTTTTTGGTACTGTAATAAAGAGTTTGTTTTGTGCACGCGATAGTTAATTCTAATCTTATTTGTCGTCAATTACATCAAGAGAATACCGTGGGTCTAATTCCCATTCTGATCTGATTACCTATGCACAGTAGACATAACAAACCGATTAGTGTAAGCAGATTTTACATTATATCTTACTTACAATTCTTTTCCCAGAAAATGCAACGTAAATTATAATCCGGTATTAAAATATTAAATGCAGCTGGTTGAAGAATTTTAGAGTTTTTTAACAATACTTATTTTCATTATCAATCATTTTGAAATATTGTTTTCTTTAAAATATTGTCAAAAACAATATTTCTCCACATTAAGACAGTTTTAAACATAGTCTTATTTCTTGGTGACTTTTCAATAATAAATGAAAAATGATTAAAGATTACAAAATAATGTATAGAACATATTTTAGTGTCTTAATAGTCGTTTGACGATCTTTTATGTATTACATGTTTTGTAAAGAGCATTTTTCTTTGTCAAAAGATTGTACATATTTCTTTTTGTAAATATTCTTTTGGAAATAGGATACATTTTAATTTTGATGATAATATTGTACATGTAATTTGAATTTGGCTATCATGAAGGCATTAAAATTAATGAAGTTAATTTAGAGATGAAATTTCTCATCATTCAATGTATTCACGGTGCGTGTGTCGGGTCCATCGTTGTAGTGAGAGGACCTTCAACAGTGACTGGGACTTGTGACCCAGGTGCAGGTTTAAGGAACCCTATCTAACGCGTTACACGATCACCTCCACTATCCAAGCTTCTATCTAACCAAATTTGAAACGAACCTACTAGAGCTGCCTTCGATGTACGCTCCAAGAATGTATTAATGTGAGTTCTGGACAAGCCCAAGTCTTTTAGTAGGTTGTAAAGAGATTTCGCTGTTATACCTCTTGCTCCTAGTTTTGATTAGCAATACAAGAAATAAGCCTATCATGTGTTACCTGTCAAGACCACCCAAGTTCTGATGAGCCATCGCCAAGTTGAGGTACGCCTCCGCCCTCATCGGCGCGGAGTCTAGTTCTTCAGATATGCCAAGCTGACGGTTTGCGAATTCCAGCGATTCCCTGGAATTTATAATGTCAAGTGAAAAATGGTTTCTCCTATTTCTAATAAATTTAGCTATTGTATTAGGATTTGTTATCAAAATAGAACATTATCTCAAATACGTCCTTTCTTTATTTATTAGAATATTCAGTTTATACTTTTCTTTTCTCATACTAATGTGTTTTTAATTCGTTCAAAAATGTTGTTTGAATCGACAGTTCCTGATAATTGCAATAATAATTAAGACCAAGAAAAAGAGATAAATAAGTCTTTGTTTTTGCGTAGAATTAGATTTAATTAAAAAACATTTACGCCAAAAAGTGTTTTTAATAGAAAAATAAAGGGTTAATTTCCTATAATATATAATCAAGCCAACCTGTACTTCCCAAAGTCCATGTAAGCTTTATACAAGTGTCCCAATAAAGCGAATTTGTCAGTTCTATGTCTAACTCCTCGTAATGCAGACAGCCATACTTTGACCGCCTGGCGTTGCTCGTTTTGCATGTAGAGACGAAGACCACGTTCAATCTATATAATATATATCTAATGAAACAAGTGAATATCACGAACAGACTGATTTATTTTTCTTGGTGGAGGTAGATTCATAACAATTGTTACACATTTAGCAGCAGAGATGGCGCTACTAGTATTTAAATACATATTTTGATAGATCTAACATCAATATTAATAAATAATACAGATACAAAATGATCTAAAACTTTCGAGAGTATTCCTTTAAATGAAATTAATATTAAAATAATTGATTAATAACAGGACTAACTGACAGACATCTCGTCTTAATGATCACGGTTGCTGAAAAATAACCGAAACCTTGGTAGTATGTAGTTTAAAATGAAAAATGCCTACGCGTAGTAACAGAAAAATAATAATTTCATTTAACACAGATACATGTTTTTAAGAATTCAACTAATTAATAACTAGACCAAAATATAATTCTTTAACAGACATTTCTTATTTCTTTTAGATAAAACAATTACTGTCTCACATTCTTACAGAGAATTCGAGTCAATAGCATCTGATTTATTTATGTTTCTTTCCAAAATAAAGAATATATTCAAAGATTTTTTTGCGGTTTTATGTAATTTTCTTTTTGATAGACCCATACTTAGCCATAATAGACCATGAGAATTCTATTAGATATTTTTTAAGCTCAGATCTTAGAAGTCAAGAAGTATTAATTTACTATCTAGAAATGTTTTATCAAAACTGAATACTACAAAGTTAATATTTAAAACTTTTCATGGATGAAATAATCCGTGGCACAGTTTTTTGGGCCCATTTGTTAATTGTAAAAACTAAAAGAGATCGTGACCCAGATATGAAGATCAGTCGAATTGAGTTCTGTATGTAAAATTATTTAAATATAATTTAAAATTTTTACAGAGCTAACAAAAAGCGACTAAAATGTTATCATTAATTGAGTGAAGTTAGCAATCCGAGCGGAACGTTGTGCTGGCAATTCAGGTCATCAGAAAGATGATTTCAGCAGCAGAAAGTCAATAGAAATTGAGTTTTGAGAGTCAAGAGCCTGGTTATCTGGGATAGTTTTTATCAAAAAAAATATTAATATCGGACTGACTTTGCAAGTACCAATGTGATTTTTCCGAGTCATATGTACTTTCTAAGAGTATTTAGACATCACTGATTAATGCATTCCCAAAGAGGGTTGATGTCAGGCAGGCGGCCGGTCATAAAAATAATTAGCCAAAACTATTCACAACATGTTAGACAGACCCTGGCTAAAGCTGGGAAATTACCAGGTAGAAGTAGAATTTTAATTTTATGGCCATAAAACGGAATCCATGTAAAAAAAACGGTTCAGAAACGCTGAGGTCATCATTTAAGTTGCACAGAGAAGTTTTGCATTTCCTAGTTTAAATGAATCTGGCTAGACTATACCTTTCTTCTAGCAAAGTACTGATCCAATCTAGACCGGCAGACCCTGAAGCACTCCAAGACTCCAGAAGGTCTGTGGGCTGGTCCGAAGCGTGATCCCCAGCGAATGGCGCCATTGCGATTCTCATTGGCATATTCTTCAGAGAATGGATAAAGTTCTGGAAATTTTGATCATGAAGAAGTAAGTGGCGAAAAAAATAATGTTTCATCTTGTGTTTTAAATAAATAAATAAATAAAAAAGCCTTTTATTTCATGCATAATCATTATCAATACATCAATAATTCATTGCAATTCATACTTCACTATATAATTGTAAATTCTGTTTGTGTTCTGTGTTTTTGTATTATTTATTTATTTATTATTTATACATTTGTAAAAACTTTACAATAAAATATATATATATATATATATATATATATATATATGTTTGTCATATCAATTTGTTTTCACTATATTTTTTGTACGTTTTAATTAAATTTTGGTACTCATTTTTTAGGAAGAATTATTGATCTAACCTAATTTTACAAGAATAATAACATACATTCTTTCTAATTTATTAATGACGTGATTCTATTCAATCAAATTTATCTCTGATGGAAATAAAAAATATATAAAAATGGCATAATAATGTAAAATACAACTAGATTTAACAAATTGCTGGCGTGGCATTTGTAAAGCTATCGGATTTAAAGTAAGCCGTGTCAAGGTTACCACAAATAGATTTGTATCGGCTTACACGATACTTAATAGATTACCTGCATCTTGTAATTGACCTTTAAAAAAAAGCATACAAGCTAAATATTGATGACATCTCTTGAACTCTTAGTAGACATTTTGATCCAATATATCCCTATTCCAACTTATCTGATGAAAAATTATGTCTAATATATTGGTTTTCTGTGCAAATTCATATCATAGTTTTTTTTATGCTAAAGAGGAGACACGAGCAGACAGTCTACCTGATAGAAGAAGTTGAAATCGCTAATGGACATTCGCAACATAGTTTTAGATTCATTGCCGGTTTTGATTGGGGAGGAGGAGGAAAGGGTGGGAAAAAGAAAGAGCAACCGTCTCTCTCACTCATCAGAAATCAGCTATTAAAGACGACTGCATGAGCTTTTATAATGATAATTGAAATGGACTAAACTAGTAAGTAGTGATAAATGTTTCTGTTCCTGTACATCATACCTGGTGGATCTTCGATATGGTGTCGTGATGGATCTGGTGAGCTGAGAAGTCGCGTCGCCGACAATTGGTGCGCCGGCACCCCGCTGGAAAGACATATTAAGTTAATATTTCATAAGGCCCGATTGGTTTAGAACCAAGGCTGTAGATGGTGTGATAGAAGAGAAATATCAAGAAGCGGGTCAAGTTTTAGGAGTTAATAAGAGAGTTAATAAGAGCCAGAAGGTACAAGTTGGTTTTTGTTACTTTACTTTGCATCTACTCCCTACATTTCCAGCATCTAATAATTTTAATTAAAATATCTTTGTCATGTGTGCTTTTACAAAATAGTTGATACAAAAATAATGATTTCAATCAACCCAAATAAGAATAAAGATATATATGAATAAGAATCAAGATATATATAGATAGACTATTGCAAAAAAGCAATACTTTTGCTTCATAAGAGCTGTAAAATAAAACCTAATTTGTTTTAATCACTACGAGATTCTTAGACTGAAAGACTTAACGGTAGTCCCATATTAATATAAAGCGTGATTAATGCAGTCTAAGTCTGCAAATACAAAGAAAGTCTCTACAGTCTAAGTCTGCAAATAAAAAGAAGTCTCTGCAGTCTAAGTCTGCATATGGAAGTCTCTGCAGTAGTTCTGACCCGAGGAAGTCACGCGACTCTATGGAATCCCATGACATGTTCCGCGGGTGTAGCCGACAGGGTCACCTGGCGAGCGGGTGCATCCTGCCGTCCTCTTCGCACGCCACCGAACCTCCTGATGATAGAGCGAGATAGATACATCACATTGAGGGTAGTACAGTCTTATACTAAGCAATTTTTCGAAGTATGCTGAACTAATATGTCTTTGTAAAGTTGAATTAAGATGCGAGAGCGAGATAGATAGATTAGAGCGAGATGGATGATACATCAAATTGAGTGTAGTCCAATATTTGACAAATTTTGATGTTTTCATGAATTAATAAGTGTTTTTAAGGTTGAATATCTGTTTATTATCCGGGAATCGTACCTAGATACTACGAAATACTTTGATAATCGTCAATTGGACTATATTAAATACTTTATAAGTAAAAATAATATTAATTGAAACACAATTTAGTTAAGTCTTCATCAAATCTCTACACGAGTGCTCTCGGAAATTTAAACGACACGAACCAATTTAAAATGTAAATTGATTTTTCTGTAAATCTCTTCGTGTCTCGACCTATATGCCAATTATATACATATATACTAGCTGACCCGGCAAACGTTGTTTTGCCATATAAATTAGGGGTTGGTGATTAAAAAGTAAACATTTTGGGTTGTATGTATTTTTTAATACTACATTATAAAAAAAATTCGCCCGAAAATAAAAAATTAACCCGTACACTTAGGGGTATGAAAAATATATGTTGGCAATTTCTCAGAACTACTCAATATGCACACAAAATTTCATCAAAATCAGTCCAGCCGTTTCTGAGGAGTTCTTTGTCTAACACCGCGACAAATAAAAACAAGTTTTTTTTAATTAATTAGTATAACTCACCCGCTTTATGCAGCTTTAAAACTTTGGATCTGTTTTGCATTTACAATAAAAATCTGGTCATCCATTTTGTTACGAAATTCTGAAAATACTCAAAATATAACATCCTTACAATTAATTGTATTCATTTCTTTTTGTTATTAATGATTTTTAAATTTGAAATTAAATTTAAATATCTACTTTTAATTATATACAATTATTTTACTATATACAATAATAGAATAAAAAGCTTATATACTAATTTGCTTATATATATTATGTATTCGTATTGATGACATCAATTTTAACATTAAATAAAATATTAAAAAACATATTAAAAAAATTAAATCAATATATACACATATATATGTGTATTTATATGTAACATATATATTTATATACTAGATTGAAATAAAATAACTATCTTCAAAAGTTATATCCTAGGTCACAGAATGACCTAGGTCGTGCTCCTGCGTAAAAATTAGGTCACTACTTCAGTTTTAACGAAAAATATATTACAAATAAAAATATTATAATACACTACTATTATAAAACTATTAAAAATTATATTTATTTTACTAAAATACAAATATTTATATAATATTTTAATCAATAAAAGCTATATGATATATTAACTTCTAAATGTCATATATCTAAAAGGTAACATAATGTTGTGATTTAAAAATAGGTTCTGCGATATATAAAAAATCGTTACTCACCGCTGAATGGAACAATAATATTAATAATTTTCACTCATATATATAGTTAAAATATATAACACTCGTTAATATATATAATATATATATTTTTGGGACGTTTTTTTTTAGTTTTTCACCCGTTTTAAGTTTAATTCTCTAGAACTCGGGCATTTCGATCACACCCCAGTAGTGTTGTGTCAGTGAATACAGAAATCTATGGAGTTGGTCTCAGAATACATAACAGACAGACTCCATTATATATATTTATATATTATTAAATAAATTTCATCAATCCACTTATTATTAATCATAAAAAATATTAAATACTTTTAATTCACGAGAAATTGGAAGTGACGAAATATTTTAGTTCTAAATATATGAAAAATTAAACATATATGATTTTAAATACATATAATAACCAAAATTTTTAACACATTAATGGTTTAATATATATGTTATATTAAAATTTAAGATATAGACTACTCCACACAATACATTATTCTATCCCAGCATCTTTCATCCCATTTTAAGATGCCAGAGCGCAAGCGCGTACACGGAATCGACACAATGCGTTTCCAACAAGAGATTCTGTGACTCTGTGTGTGTCACAGGTCCATAGCACAGTGACACAGATAAACACAATGCGTTGACACAATAAGGATGGAGATGTGAATATAGGCTGACGAACTATCGTTGTGATAATTTTTATATATATAGATAATTTTATATTAATAAAATGAAGACCTTTGTGGAGATAGATAGATATTTTCATGTTTTACAAGTTATGGTCAGTCAAATTATGATTTTTGGAAGTTATTCTATTATTACTAGTATTTTTTTATGATTGCCCAATCGAGCAGATAGCTTACCTGATGGAGGCAGTACCATCGCCCATGGACATCTGTAATATTTCTTATGTCGCGAATGTATCGCCCTTGATTAGGGAAGAGAAGGAGGAAAAAGTGGGAAAGGGAGGGAAAAGGGAAGGGAAAGGAAAGGTTGGGAATAGGGAAAGGGCAGCCGTCTCTCTCACTCATCGGATGAAACGGAGACATTAAAGACTACTTCAAACCGATCTTCTGTGAGAGGGTGATACTTCCCTGGTCAAGCCAGCCCATGTTCGAGGTGTAGTAACTTGACCACAGCTAGGCTATACCACCTGCGATTATTACGCGTTCATTCTTATTTTAGACTACATACTCCCCACGCTTCTTTTACTTTGCAGCAACCGTGAAGCAGTTCTTAGACATAAAATACTTTTAGTAATCCGAAAAATTTCAGTTTTTTATTTAAAACGTTATGATAATCTTAAATTAATAACAGAATCTACTCATCATCAGCTTACTAGATGACTTTGGATTCACCAAAGGTAATAGTATTAGTCAATCAAGATATATCTTAGTTGGATGTGGCATATACATATATGACGCCGTCCAAATTGCCGAAGGCATATTGATATTGTAATCATTTCATAAAATGATTTTATATTGTGTGAGGTTAGGTTCTGTTTAAAAAATGCTGGAGCAGTTTGAAAACCGATATATTATACAAAATTGGCAGATATACATGTACATACTTTTAATATAGTTGTCTAAAAATAAACTAATTTTGAAATAAAATAAATCTATCTATTAAAAATAGATTTTAATGATTATAAGCTATTAATTAATGCTTATTAATATATTTCTTATTTTCTTCCTCCTAACTCTTGTAAAAAAATGTCACTTAGGATCTTTTTGATTTTTAAAACCATAGGAATCATGTAACTTATTTTCGACTGTCCCGCATCAATTATTTTCTATATATAACGATAATGAAAACTCTCAAGTGATGTTTAATGTTCAATTAATCATAATAAATCTCATTCTCCTTGAATAGATTCGTTGGTGAGAATAAACGAGGCAATTTGAATTATTTATTAATCATTTAAGTTAATCGATAGCACCATATATTTATAAGAAAATTATTAACATATATAACAGCTATTTTAAGAGTTAAAACAAAAATCTAATTATATATATCAAGTTAATAAACACAATGGAATTATCAAAATGAAAAGACACAAAAAACGTTTATCGTAAAATAAATGGACGCGTAAAGAAATACGAGAGTATTAACCGAAAAAAAACAACATGAAAAATATAACCGGCATCAATTTGAATACAAACATTAATAAATTGGCATCCACGGCTAGTATGTTTATTAATAGAGGAGATATTTTGTAAATCTTAGAACCCTCAGTGTGTCGCGTGTCGTGGCGGGACGCGCTCCGAAAAAACAAACCTTCTTGGTCAAATCTATAAAAAAAAAACTGACATAACTGACAGCTGTCAGAGTGACAATGAGCTACAGCGCCATCTATGACTACGGATCGGAGTTACCGAAGAACAGTGCTTGTTGTGATATAAAGGAAGAAAAGAATGAGGAACATATACAGCATGTGTTGGGACCTAGCAGGCGGTGTTTGGCTTGGGCCTGCAAGGCCTGCAAGAGGAAAACAGCGGCAGTTGATAGACGAAAAGCTGCTACACTACGTGAAAGACGGAGATTAAGAAAAGTTGGTATAAATTAAATAATATTACATTTACGATAAAAGAATTGTTATTTTTAAAACATTTTTAATGTATATTAAATATTTGTTTAAGAAAATTATTTAATTATATTAAATATCTTGTTTGATAATAGCTATAACTGAAAACAAAGAAAGTAAATTTTACCAAAATTCTTTTTGGCACAGCGTAAATTATATGTTATAACATTATATTATACAACTAACAAACTTCGAAATCATAAAAAATACAATATATATATATATATATATACTACAAACTAAAAATATATTTAATGAAATGCGTGCTTTGATAATGTTGTGTGTTTGAAGTTTTGTAATTGAATTAAAAGATTGACAGAAGACATATACTTATATGTATATTATAGTTGAAATATTATTATAACAAAAGAAAACTTTCTATATAGAATAACACAAAGATTTCATTATTACCCATTATAACATATCGTATATTTTACCTGGTTATTTTCCCAGCTTTAGCCAGGGTCTACCTTACATATTGTGAATAGTTTTGGCTAATTGTTTTTACGATCCGCCTGCCTGACATCAACTCTGTTAGGGAATGCATTAATCAGTGATGTCTAAATACTCTTAAGTACATATGACTCGGAAAAATCACATTGGTACTTGCCAGGGCGAGGATCGAACCCGCGCCCTCGTGCATGAGAGGCGGACCTTTTAACCACTAGGCCACCACTCACGTAACATATCGTTTATAAATATAAAACTAAAAAAACTATTGCTTATGAGTTATAACTATTTATTTGATGTTTTTTTTATGTATTCATATGTTAAGAGTTCTAAATTTTTCTATATCAATGTTTAGTTCAATGAGATTTGACCGAAAACTCTTCTTTTGCTTCATGTGACTTGGAAATGCTCTTCTAGAAGATTTTAATACGATACATCATAAACTGTGAACAGAGTATAATTAGTTTTAATTAATTAATTAACTTGACCTGAGTGTTAATGAAGGTTTGAGCCTGAAAATTTTATTTCGTCTTGAAAATATACAACTTTACGTCAATTTTATATTAATTTTTATTGATACGAATCCCTACTAATTTTATAAATGCGAAAGTAACTCTGTCTGTCTGTCTGTCTGTCTATCTGTCTGTCTGTTACGCTTTCACGCCTAAACCACTGAACTGATTTTAATGAAATTTGGAAAAGAGATAGAATTGACCTTGAGAAAGAACATAGGATAGTTTGTATCACAGACTTTTGAAAGGTTCTCTTGGAGACGCGATATAACCGAACTCGACGCGGGCGAAGCTGCGGGCGGGAAGCTAGTAGTTTATACAAGAGATTTTTACTAAAAATACTGAACTAAACTCAACCTATAATTTTATTTTAATTTTAAAGGAATTTAAAATAAAATTTACCGATTACGTTTCGATGTTTGATATTTTATCAGTATAGTAAGACATCTCGTCTTAATGATCACGGTTGCTGTAAAGTAACCGAAACGTCGGGAGTATGTAGTTTATAATAAATACGCGTAATATTAGAAAAATATTAGTTTCATTTAAATTATTTATATATTACATCTGTTATAATCAAAGGCTTTTACTCTGTCTGTTTATAACCGCTTACTAAATGTCATAGATGTATATTTTGTTTGTTCCGGGTAATCTCTGGAACGACTGAACCGATTTTAATGGGACTTATACTGTCAGATAGTTGATTTAATAAAGAGTAACATAGGCTACATTTGTTTTAGTTTTTTTAAAGTACAAATAAAAAAAATACTTTTTCCTAATAAACAAAAATACTAGGAGTAAAAAAAGGTATTTTTAAGTTAAATTAATAGTTTCTATACATTTAGTTGTTATTTCTTACAGATGTAAAGAACACGAGAAAAAAGAGATTCAATAGTAAACGATATAAATAAAAAAGGTCGCGAGCGAACCGCTAATATTAAAAGGGTTCCGTATCAAATATAATAAGATACAATTCCTTAAAACGAGTTGGCATCTTTAAACTAAAATATGGAATTAAAAGTATACAGTTTGAGGGAGCGAAACTATATAATGGCTTGCGTGACGAAGTGTTTGATGTAAACGTTTGTGATTTTTAGGAGGAAACTATTGGGTTATTGTAGGGAGCACTTGGATTAACCGCTCTTGAGGTGTATGGGTCGTTGCTACTGTACTGAATTGTTGTTTGAATTTAACTATGTAATACATCTCTTTCAATGAATGAGAAACGTGAAAATCTGCGTATGTAGTAACGATTTCAACTATTATGTCTATTATTATATGCTTTTTACATGAAACTAATATTTTTCGGATTATTACGCGGTTTATTTTTGATCATAAACTACATATTCCCGACGTTTCGGTTACTTTACAACCGCAATCATTAAGACGAGATGTGAAAAAATATAACGTACATCCAACTAATATTAGTTTCATTTAAATGAATACTCGTGATAAACTTAGATCTCATTATTTTATGCTGTCGTATTCTGATATACAAACTACGTTACTTTAAAATTTAATCTTAATAGATTCAGTAGTTTTTACGTAAACAACAAACATACATACATCTTTACAAATAATCTTATTAATAATATAATTACGAAAACCACGCGGAACCCTTAAACTCTCGCTAATGGCGAAACAGCATTAACCATCACACATAATTTAAATCTTCTAAATGTCCCGTACTCGGGGGAAGATGCTATTTATAATAACAGACGGTAGATATACATAGATATATAGATAGATAGATACGTAGATAGATAGATGTAGATAAAAAGAAGCTAAGTTTATGTATGATAGATGATAAAAGAAAATAATGATATGTATTGTTTTTTTGAAAAGACTCTTAACAAATTTTGATAAAATTTTCACAATAAATATAGATTTTAACTTGGAGAAAGTATTTGATAGTAATAGCGAATTATACTTCTATTTATATAAATTATAAGTTTTTAATTTTTTTATTTATATTTATAATTTTCAACTCTTTAAAGCTACGAATGAAGACGATATCAGAGCAGATTTGACTCGACTTTATTTGATTTGGTGATAAATCTTCAAACATATGAAAATTCTTTATAAAATTTATAATAAAAAAGTAAGCTTATACCACTTATTATTAAATATTTTTAATATACCGTATATTAAATTCTCTTTATATTTAATCTTATTTATAAATCCGATGAAATTTATCCATTTTTAACATAAGCCTACGAACACATTTACGTAAGTAATCCCTTTAAGTCGTCTGTCCACTTAATTATTTTGTAAACGTTTTGAAAGCTAGGGAACGTCACTTATACTTACTACATGTTCGCTATTTAAAACTCAGAACGCAAAGTTATCAGTTTTTACATTCAAATACAACGTGCTTTTCGTAATGGTATAGGTTAAGTTATAGTGTTTTCCCTACTAATATTATAAATGCGAATTTAACTCTGTCTGTCTGTTACGCTTTCACGCCTAAACCACTGAACTGATTGTAATGAAATTTGGTACAGACATAGAGTTGACCTTGAGAAAGAACATAGGATAGTTTTTATACCAGACTTTTGAAAGGTTCTCTTGGAAACACGATATAACCGAACGCCACGCGGGCGACGCTGCGGACGGAAAGCTAGTATTATATTAATTTAAGAAGTCACTTGAAAAATCATTAATTTATTTTATTATTAATTACTCATCAAACAAATATGAATTAATTTACAGACAGCGACAGGCTAAAAGATTAGTTCTGCAAAATATTTAGATCAAGGCTATCAGATAGAAACTATCTTGAATAGAACTACAACTATTTTTCATGACATAAAAATATATTGAGTGGATGTTTGTTGCCGATTCACGCGAAAACTACTGAAACAATTTTGATGAAACTTTACAATAATGTAAATCAGACATCAGAATAAGCTATAGACTATAATATATCCTTTCCCTACGTGTGGTTGCTTCAGAATCAAACCGCGACTACTAGTAGTATGACGGCCGGCTAGCATGAGTATTGTTTTTTTTTTTGTTTTTCTCTTTGAGTCTAATTTTAAGGTTCTCGCGGACGAAGTCGGGGGCAAAAACTAGCATATAAATGTAATCTCCGGGATATTGAACTTATAAATAAACGGTAAGTTCATCACGTTTCCGGGATTACGGGATTATTTGATTCCGGGATTTTGGATCGGTCATGTTTAAAGGATTATAAAGTCACCTAACTGTCCTCGAGACTTGAGATATTTAGGGAATTGAAATACTTCATTTTAATAAGACTTTCAAAGACTATAATAATAAATAGTTGTTTTGTTTAAAAATATGTATAATACTAATAACTAGTTTTTGTCCGCGACTTCGTCCGCGTTAATTTCTGCATTAGTAATATATGTATAGCTGACCGGGCGAACTTTATTGCTCCCTAGACGCCATTAATAACCAGATATTGGAGTTTATTAACTTTTTTCTATCGAACAGAATTAAATATCCTATGTCCGTCTCCTTGTTCTAATCTATCTCTTCACCAATGTTCAACCATATCCGTACAGTCGTTCTTGAGTTATAAATAGTGTAACTAACACGACTTTCTTTTATATATAACGAATATCTATTGTATATAGGTACTTTATAAGCCATGATAGATTGGTCCCTTTCATTAAATTACCCCACTATATTCCATCTCATATAAAATTTGACAGATTTATGTAGAGCAATCACAATATTTAAAGACGTTTACAAAACGGTACAACACAAATAAAAATAAATGTTAGCTTTGAACAGTGTAATAAATTTATTTTTATATCATATTAAGATGTCGTGTGTCCTCAGCTTTATTGAATTATATTTCTGTACCGGGCTTTACTCGTAAATTAGGCTCAGTGTGTACTGGCTTAATGCGGAGCTAGGATAAATTTAATGAAATAAAATTTGTTATTAGGACTCCATTTTGTGTTGAGTTTGTCATAAAAAACGTTTTAATATTGATGATATATAAAAACTTTATAGAAATTAATATTATTTAATTATTAAAAAAGTAATTACATATATTTGAAGATGAAAATTTATGTTATATCTTAAAAATATCTTGTCATCTTCTTCAGATAAAAAAATATGTACAATATTCATTAAAAAAAATGTTTTTTCTTTAATTTTTATCCCAAAACTAAGATAGAATGATATATTATATCATAAGATATATTTTAACTGCACTCAAAGGCATCAATCGTGTCATTTTTATCTGTCGCGTTGAGTCAAAATATTTTTCATTTGATCTCAAGAACTAAACGATTTGAAACACAGATACGAAATGTATTAAAATAAACTAAAGAAGAACCATTTCCGTAAATAAAATGGCGTTTTATTTTATATTTAGTTATGTATATATGAAATTACCAAATAAAAATACATAAGATATTGTCGTATTTTAAACAGCTAAACAAATTTTCATTTAACTTTACATTATTTTATAATTATAATGTTAAAAAGTCGGATAAAAATATACGTTTTAAAACTTAATGACAATAAAAGATTTGGTTATTATACAGGTGACTGGTGAATTACTATCGATATTTAAGGACGTGATATTTGACGATCATATATGACAAAATAAAAATTAATATAACATAAATATTAATAAACTTCTAAGTAAAGTTAACCTAAAGTTATGTAATTAATTACGCATCGTGTGAACACCCTACAGATTAGGTATACACATACACTCACACATACGCGTGCGGCGGCGTGGTGTTGTATCAGCACGCCGCCGCACGCGTCCACACTTGGAACGTGTCCACACTTTATTTATTTATACTGAAATTTTGTCAAAAATTAAGGGCCTATTTTTTTTACATAATTCGAATGAGAATCATGTACCGAGTATTCTCCTTAAATATTGATAGTAATTCACCAGTCACCCTGTATATTGCAGCTGTTTCTATAACTTCCAGGTGAATGCTGCATTCGAAGAACTACGAATACGAGCTCGGGCTGGGAGTGGACGACTGCCAAAGCTGGAAATATTAAGAGCAGCTATCCAGCACATTGAGAGGCTCCAAGCGGCACTTAGGGCTGCAACCGCTGTAAGTACACCTGGAAATATACTACAGATATTAAAACCTCATTATAAACGAAATTTATTTAGCTTTAGTAGTTTTTGTTAAGTTTTGGCCAAAGTTATAGTATTAATATATGTTTTATGTAACTTCAACATCATTAACCTTTAAAAAACTTACCTAAAAGTTGAAAATAATCCACTTTCTGTTCAAAAACTTAGTTTTAAGATTTAATTTTTCAAGTTTAACATCTTTTTCATACAAGATATGTCTCTGAAGTTTCAATTTCTAAGGCAGGCAGGTTTGATTTGGTTAAATTTTTATTTTTGTTTTATAGAAATCAACTTGAGTTACAAAATTATATATACATATATTATTTTAATTTATTAGTAGGTATATTTAAGAGGCATCTGTCAAGTAGCCTTTAAGAAGAATATTTAATTCTTTAGAGGCAATATTTTTATACGAGATAAAGTTTGACAATATTAAATTAAGCAATGAAATTAAAATATATTATTAAATTTAATAGTTTATGGTAAATACTAATCTTCTTTATAAAAGAAAGTAGTGTTAGTTACACTATTTATAACTCAGGAACGACTGTACGGATATGGTTGTAAATTGGTGGAGATAGATTAGAACCTAGAAAGAATATAGTATACTTACTTTTCATACGATTGAAAAAAAAGATACTAATTTTTATTTTCTCCTCACCAACCCATATTTAATATAACAAAATGAAAACAATGTTTCGTTTTATTAAACAGTCGGGGACCAATTAAAATAATCCAATCTCAGTCTGAAGGAATTCCTTGTAATCTATTTGAGTAGCACGCGTGTACATATAAATAATTTAGACACGTATTAATGGCAATTTAACATCGCGACAGATTTCCTCGGTTAGAAATCTATAAATAATGATACATATATACATTTATAATAACATTTAGCTCGGAATATTCATTAAGATATATATATATTATATGTTTTATTATATACTACTAGTTTTTGCCCGCGACTTCGTCCGCGTTAATTTCGTCATTAGTAATATATGTATAGCTGACCGGGCGAACTCTATTCCGTCTTAAATAATCAGGTATTGGAATTTATTAAACTTTTCCTGTTTCAATCGAACAGAATGATTGACATATTAGTTAGTTGTCAAATCTAATGTCAAAAAAACGTTTGTATGGGAAATAGAAAAGGGCTGTTTTTAGGATTTTCCCGGCAATTATTCCAATTTTTCTCACCTTTTAAACCTTCCCTGGACTTTCAGGAGTATTTCAAGACTAAAATTAGCCAAATCGGTTCAGCCGTTCTCGAGTTTTAGCGAGACTAAGGAACAGTAATCCATTTTTATATATATGTATAATATGTAGAAGATAATGATTTCTTCATACAAATATGCATGTTTTTGTTTCAAATGAAACTAATATTTTCGGATTTACTACGCGATTTTTTTATTTTCTTTTGTGTCAGACACATCTTGTCTTAATGATCACGGTTGCTGTAAAGTAGTTACGGGAGTATGTAGTTTATAATCAAAAATAAGTAGCGCAGTAAATCCGAAAATATTAGATTCATTTAAATGACTTAAAATCTTAGATCTCATTACATTGTATCAAAATTCATCAAGTATATATCCCTTTATTTATACTTATACCTACCTTTAATCATTTAACTAGCTTTCCGCCCGCAGCTTCGCCCGCGTGGAGTTCGGTTATATCGCGTTTCCAAGAGAACCTTTCAAAAGTCTGGGATAAAAAATATCCTATGTTCTTTCTCAAGGTCAATTCTATGTCTGTACCAAATTTCATTAAAATCAGTTCAGTGATTAGGCGTGAAAGCGTAACAGACAGACATACAGAGATACTTTCGCATATATTATATTAGTAGGGATATAGATTTCAGTTAAGTTTTATATATATATTTAATATTTTTATATATAAATAACTTGAATTACAAATAAATAACGAAGATGCAACATCAAATGTATCCTAACGTTTTGTTCGTCTTGTAATCTCGTGTCGCCGGCTACAGATTCTGTGTAAACTATCTATATTTAATTCCATCGAAGATATCTTTGTTTTATAACAAAAATTATCGTTTAAATATTTTCTTTCTCTATATAATGAGAGAGACTTTATGTAGTATTTATTTAAATGAAACTAATATTTTCGGATGTACTACGTTTTTTATTATAAACTACATACTTCGTAAGTTTTTTGTGACGACGGTGTAAAAAAAGCGCGAAGTAAAAAAGCGATAGTTCGCGATCCAAAGACATTAGTTTTTATTATTATTTTATATATCTGTTATGTATTATAGTTATTCTTCATAAAAATTAGTATCTTTTCGATACAATGATGTTTGTAGTTATTTGCGACTCTCTCCAATCTTTAAGTCAATCATTTTCCTCTCTTTTGTCTTTTCTACAATATAGTATTAAGTAGCTTGAAGTCTTCGTAATTGAAATAAATTATCAACAATAATTTAACTGAATATAGAACTAGTATAAAGTTAATTAATATTAGAAGGATATGGCTAAATGAAACTTATTTAAAAAGAAAATATTCGCATATTATGTAAAGAAAATAGAAAATGTAAGGCCAAAAATAATATAACAAAACATGTACATATCAAGTATATTTTTACATTTAGACATCACCCATAGAAAAGTGTTGCTTTTGTAAATGATATTTAAAATACTTTGATGTAAATTATAATATTATATTAAGTTATTTTTATAAGAACTGTGATTCAAATAATTTATTTTTTTACATGATAACTAGTTTGGAACCGTGATTTTTATCGAATGAATTTTATAGTTTTTCTCAGAGAGATATAAAAAAATGTGACTTCTTATACTAGATTATACACAATACAATTGTTGTGCCTTGATTTAGCAGGAACTAAATAGAATGTAGATATAAATTATAGCCTATCTTATTCTAAAACCTAATCTATATTACTGTTAAGTTTCATCCAAATCTGTTAAGTAATTTTTGAGTTAAACGGTAACAAACATACATACAATACATACATCCTTATGGAGTATCGCATTCATAATAAATTAGCAAATATGTACAACATAATATGCCATTTTATCGGTTATTTCACACGTAAGCTGTTTCAAATCGCGTGAAGCCACGTTATAGAGCTAGTAAAGATAATAATACTACATACTTCACCCGTCTTTGTAGTTCAATGAATACAATATATCTGTCTGTCTGTCTTCTCGTTCCGCCACGTCTGTTACACCTGACGTTTCTTGATATATTTAGTTGATAACACACTGTCTACGTCAAGTCATAGATCCGTACATAGGATTCATTTCCGCAAACCACAAGCAATAGTTTTACATTTAGATTAAAAATAAAACATCTTTTAAATAAGATTTATAATGATACTAGCTTTCCGCCCGCAGCTTCGCTCGCGTGGAGTTCGGTTATGTCGCGTTTCCAAGAGAACTTTTCAAAAGTCTGGGATAAAAACTATCCTATGTTCTTTCTCAAGGTCAACTCTATGTCTGTACCAAATTTCATTAAAATCAGTTCAGTGATTTAGGCGTGAAAGCGTAACAGACAGACAGAGTTACTTTCTCATTTATAATATTAGTAGGGATTATATATTTGGTGTACTTTTTACTTTATTCCTATAAAATTAATGAGAAATATATAGAAATATTTACGTAATGCATACATTTATCAGTAAGTTTTCATTCAAATTTCACGTCATAATGTTTTTTTTAGAATATGTGTAAAACGGAATGTGTGTATATCATTGTAGTGTTATAAATAAACTTCTATATTCCTACAATTCTATACTACACCAACAGCTGGATTCCGACACCTGCAAGAACTACGTAGAGCCTGTGAGGAAACCTGACAACAAACAAAACAAAAACGAAAAAGAAAAACCTTTTCTCAACGGTAAGTAAATGTATATTATAAGATAAACAAATTAGTTCAAAATAACTATTTAATATAGAAAATGTGTAACATAAAAAGTTTATTATTAAAATATTATTATTATTTTATTAAATTTAATTAATATAATTGATAATTTGGTATAAATAAATTGAATATTTATTCCCAAACGAGGGTTGATGTCAGGCAGGCGGCCAGTCGTAAAAATATGTAATTAGCCAAAACTATTTTCGGCATGTAAGGCAGACCCTGGCTAAAGCTGGGAAATTGCCAGATAGAAATTGAATATTACGCGAAAAACTTTTGCCGCTTGCATGTAGTACAATGTCTCATATGAGTGAAAAGGACAGCAGAATTACTTACCGTAACGCGTTTCGTTACGAAGTAGTTTACTTGAAAACATAATAATTTTATATATATATACTAATAAAAATTGATAATAATCATTTTAATATTAGTCAAAACTTATTTATTAGTAAAATACTTTAAAAATCCCTTTTGTATCATTCTTTTCTTATATTTAATATAATTATAATAATTTTAGCTGTTTTTTTTTTACAAATTTTTGTTTTTTAACATATTTTCTTATATTTTTAATATATTTGGTATATTTCAGGTGATTCAACGTGCGGTCTGAACAGTCTGGCGAGATTGCGTTGTATCGTACAGGCTCTAGCGAATGAAACATGATTATATTGTATAGTAAATTGATTTAAACATTGCTCAAATATAAATAATATTTATTTGTAAGTATTGTTTTATTATAATGTTTTGATCGGCGCTATCAGCTTTAATAACGGATGCGACATGAAAATAATTTGAGGCTGTCATCAATTATTATTAAAACTCATTAGTATTCATGATTATAGTTAAAAGTAAAACGAAATCAAAGATTGTTTAAAGGAGAATAAAACTATGTTTGAATGTTGGTATAAATATGACGTCTGGACGCACGACGGCAGAGTTTAGAATTCAGTGAGTGTGGACCATTGAAGATTGTGATTATGAAGAACCTTCGAGAAATACAAGGAAATTTAGAACAATTGAAGTTTCATTTTAAAATATCATGGAACGTACTTGAAGAAGTGACATTTGTTACGTCAGCGAGGCTGGCGTCCCTCTCTTAAAAAGCAACGAATGTGTAATAAATCCGATATACATATTTGATTCTTAAATTCGTTGTTACTTTTATATAACTTGTGTAATGATAAACATTTATGGTTTTAAATAAGGCAAGTACCAACCTGATTGTTCCGAGTCATATGTACTTAAGAGTATTTAGAAATCACTGACTGATGAAACTTGAAAGAAAACATCGTGAGGAAACATGGACTTAAAATCAAATTACAAGTTTGAAATCACCAACCCGTCTTGAGCAAGCGTGGTGATTAATGCTCAAACCTTCTCCATGTGAGAAGAGGCTCAGCAGTGGGTTCTGATAGACTGATGATGATGATATAATGTTAAACAATATTTTTTTATAATATACTCGATTTTGGTTGTAGTCAAATGTAGTAAAACTATCTTCATTTATCTAGGAAAAGTATTATAGAAAGATAATAATCATAAAAGAATTGAACCGAAATTTATTTTGTATGAATGATCGTCATTTGTCACAGTCTGACAATTAGCATGAATCAAGAATATTATCAATATATAAAGAATACTTTTAATATGATACATAAGAATTCCTTTAAGATTAAAATTAATTAAATTAAATAGGAATGGCTAGACTACATGTTTAAAATCATCAAATTTAAACATAGGTATGTACTTAAGTTTATCCCAAGTTTGCTACGTTAAAATACATGATAATTTTCCATTTCTCATTCAATACTAAGTTTAAAATACAGCGTGTTTCAAGTAAAGACATTTAACGCGACGTATATAGTGTGAGAATACAAACATAGATTAAGCATTAAGAATAAACAATTCGTAACAGTGTTTGATTTTCTTAGTAGAATCTTGTTTATATAAAAATAATATTTAATGTCGTACCTAATATACATAGTATATGCTAGGAAGCATGACAGTTTAAAATACTTTCGAGTTTTTAGTTAGTTTTAGTGACAGTAAATAAATACAACAAAAAAGTTTAAAATATCTATAACTTTACAGTTCTTAAGATTTCTGATAAAAAATACATGTATTAATAAAAAAAAACTTCTATTTTTTCGTTATTAAACTATATTTTTAGTTCAACTCTCGTATTTTTGGTTTGAATTCTATTTTGTTAGTCGACATTTCGATTGTCAAACTAAATATTGTAAGTACGTCGTAATAAACTAATTCTACTGCACTTTTCCTGTAACAATATTCTAACAATACGTCTTCATAAATACTCCAAATATAGAGTTGCCTAGTGGTTAAAAGTCCCGCCTCTCATGCACGAAGGCGCGGGTTCGATCCTGGCAAGTACCAATGTGATTGTTCCGAGTCATATGTACTTTATAAGAGTATTTAGACATCACTGATTAATGCATTCCCAAAGAGGGTTGATGTCAGGCAGGCGGTCGGTCGTGAAAACAATTAGCCAAAACTATTTACAAAATGTAAGTAAAACCCTGGCTAAAGCTGGGAAATTGCCAGGAAGAAGGAGACGGTAGAGCATTCCCAAGACATATGTTAATTAAAAACGCAAAACGCACAATATGTAGTGTGTACACTAACCTAACTAAAATTTTAGTTCGCAAAAAAAAAGATGAAAGCGTCTTCTTGGCATTTCATATTAAATCCATAACTATATCTATATATAAATTGTTTAATATTAAAAAAACTAACTAATTTACCAAATATACAGGGTGACTGGTGAATTACTATCGATACTTGAGGACGTGATATTTGACGATCATATATGACAAAATAAAAATTAATATAACATAAATATTAATAAACTTCTAAGTAAAGTTAATCAAAAGTTATGTAATTAATTACGCATCGTGTGAACACCCTACAGATTACCTAATCTATACACACTCAATCTATACACACACACACGCGTGCGGCGGCGTGGTGTTGTATCAGCACGCCGCCGCACGCGTCCACACTTGGAACGCTTGGAACGTGTCCACACTTTATTTATTTATACGGAAATTTGGTCAAAAATTAAGTACCTATTTTTTTTTACATAATTCGAATGAGAATCATGTACCGAGTATTCTCCTTAAATATTGATAGTAATTCACCAGTCACCCTGTATATGTAACTTTAAGTAGATATATGTCATTATTTCTATTTATTTAAAAAATGCTGACTTTCAGTGATAACAAAGATGTTATATATATTAAGAGGTACATATATTGAATCCGGCCTATAATAATTGTATGTGGGTCAAAACTGTATATTTCAAACACTAATAGGCAACAAACTTCATACTTGGTGATAAGTTATAGTATTGTTTATTACCAGACATTTTCCAGGACATAATATTTAACTAAACTTGCGTATATACATAAAGTACAGTGCAACCTTAATATAAAGACTTCCTTGATTTAACAAATTCTTCATAATCCGATCTAAGGTTTTCGTGAGTATTCATTTAAATGAAACTCATATTTTTCGGATGTACTACGTGATTACTTTACAACCGTGATCACGGTTGCTGTAAAGTAACCAAAACGTAGCGTCGGGAGTACGTAGTTTTTGATGAAAACAAAAATCGCGTAATAGGTACATCCGAAAAATATTACTTTCATTCTTCGTAATCCCCTTGAAATGTCGATAAGAGTCAATATAAAATATGCCTATATAATGCGAAGAACCTTTTTATAACAAATTTTCAACTATCAAGAAAAAGTATACATACCTCCTATTAAAGATTTTTTTAACCCAAAACCTTTATACATACAAAGTTCCCACCAATATTTACATAACTCTTAATCTTATTTTGTGTTTCATGTCAAACTAACGAAAACATTTGATCTGAGTTCTGTTCGTCACTATTGTTAGATTTAGGTAAAAAAGAAAACTATTTTTTAAATCTTTATAACAAGTTTTAGACCAACCTACGTTAGGTTGGTCTAAAACTTGTTAATAACAAAACTTAATTCAACGAATTACTTGGTAAAGCGAATATTTTCCTGTTACTCTCAATTTTATATCGAGGTTGCACTGTAATAATAAATGCATGATTAAAATTTACAACCTACACCTAAGACTAACTATATAGGGTGGCAACCAGAGGTTCCAGGATAGTTACGAAACTTACTTATATGTATATTATAATAAGAACTACATATTAAAACTTATAACCTACACCTAAGACTACATGATTGACCCGATGTTAGGATAGCAATACCATTCCATAGCTTGTGTGTATCAGGAATCTTCTGGTTCACACGGCTTGGTGTTCGTTCCGCGGAGTCAGCGGCGTCAAGAGTTATATATTTTATACATACAACGATGTCGCCCCGGTGATGTTCATTTAGTTTTTAGACTAAACGACCGCCTAGATTTTAGTATATCAATGTCATCAGATAACTTGTCTGCTGCCAGGAATATTCTGGATCACACGTATACAGCATCTATACAACCTTGTTGCCCCGGTGATGTCCGTAAATAGTATATCCATAACCACATCAAAATTAACCAATAATTTACATCCATAGCTCATAATAATAAATGATAAGTATATAATTATATATAATAACATCTTTATATATATAATTCTTCTGTGAGTGTGACAATGTTTTTTTAATTAATTTTTAATTTATTAGTAGTTGTTGATACAAACGTTTTTTTACATTAGATATGACAACTAACTAATATGTCAATCATTCTGTCACACTTCAAAACACGGAGAATTATGGCTTTGATAGGTAAACTCCAAAAATATAAATAAAAAAACGTTACAGATATTTCTTGATTATAGGGCGATACGAAGTTCGCCGGGTCTACTAGTATGTATATCAAATTATAAAATGTATTTTGGAAGCTGATTTCGTAGTATCAATTCCTCCCACTGTTGTGATCGTATAACTATCTTAAAAGTTGCGCACACGCAGACAGGAGGAGCTTGGCAAACTGACAGAGGACGCTCCGCCTTATAATACATATATATTGAATTTAGGGTACAAATTATATATATACATATTGATAATTTACATTAAAATCAAAATATACTAATTGATTTAGTACATCGTAGGTACATATATAAGGAAGATAATATATTTGTAGATAAAAATACTTGTTATTTTTGCAACAATTTTTAATAAGACTAACAGACAATAATAAATATATATATATATATATATATAAGTAACTGGCTTTCCGCCCGCAGCTTCCCCGCGTGGAGTTCGGTTATATCGCGTTTCCAAGAGAACTTTTCAAAAGTCTGGGATAAAAACTATCCTATGTTCTTTCTCAAGGTCAACTCTATCTCTGTACCAAATTTCATTAAAATCAGTTCATTAGTTTAGGCGGGAAAGCATAACAGACAGACAGAGTTACTTTCGCATTTATAATATTAGTAGGGATTCTTGTAGTAGACTATCCATATTGATCTAGACTGTTGGCGACTGTTATTTATGTCTAGTCTAAAGCAGCTCTAAATCCCTCCTATGCCCGAACTTGCCAAATCCTATCCTACATCTCATTGATTTATTCGACTTATATTTGTAATGACAGTTATATAAATACAATTTTAAGTCATGTTCATTTTATTTTAAATTTATATTTATATGTTTTGTATATGTTTTCATTGTAGGATATAATTCTCTACATATCAAGTATATTTATAATGTGGGAGAAATAAAGATGATTTTTTCGTATAGGTATTGATTTTAAAATAACATTGTAATTAAAAATAAGTTCATAACTATATTTATCGTATGAAAACATGTCCCAAAATATTTTCAATTAATAGCAAGCTACGATATATTTTGTATAACTTAAATTTGCAGTTATATAAGTAAATTTTGTTTAATTTAATAACAAAACCCATCGCATTAACATTTAAGGATTTTGATCAAAGACGCCTTCCATCATCATCTAAGAGCTGTTCCTCTCACACTGCTAGACTAATATTAAATACACGTAGATAAGAACCAGCGCGAGGGAACTGGCTATCAAATGAAGAAAGTCACATCGAAATCGGCTGAGCCGTTTGAGTTAGGATGACACAAACAGACATACATGTCAAACTTATAACAACCCTAAATTAAATCGGCGTTAATTAAAACAAAAATTACGATTGAAGAACATTAACAAACCTGTAACTGGATTAAAAAAAAACTGAACTTTTGCAGATAAACGTTAACTTTGAAATTAAAATCTTCTATATATATATAAATGGATTGATGTTCCTTAGTCTCGCTAAAACTCGAGAACGACTGAACCGATTTGGCTAATTTTAGTCTTGAAATACTCCTGGAAGTCCAGAGAAGGTTTAAAAGGTGAATTGATGAATTGAATGAATTTAAAAGGTGGAATTATTGCCGGAAAAACCCTAAAAACAGCCCTTTTCTATTTCCCATACAAACGATTTTTTGACATTAGACTTGACAACTAACTAATATGTCAATCATTCTGTTCGATTGAAACAGGAGAAATTTAATAAATACCAATACCGGGTTATTGAAGACGGAATAGAGTTTGCCCGGTCAGCTATACCTATATTACGAATGACGAAATTAACGCGGACGAAGTCGCGGGCAAAAACTAGTATTAAATATAAAAGTATGGTTTATTTGTATTTTGATTTATTTATTATTTATTTAATAACTGACTTCTATGATTTTTATCAAGTTATAACTTTTTTAGAAATTTCCAATAGCAACACTCTGACCTCATTACGCTCCTTTATAACAGAAAATTTAAAAGGTATATTTAAAAAGATGTGACGTAAATGATCAAGAGGAAATGATGGAGACGATACGAGACGAAACCTCTCATCATTCAAAATATTCTGAATAACAGTGACTGGGACTTGTGACCCAGGTGTAGGTTTAAGGGACCCTATCTAACGCGTTAAACGCTCACCTCCACCGTACAAGCTCCTCTCTCTACCCAACAAAATTTGAAAAGAACCTACTAGAACTTCGAAATGAATGAATTAATGTTAGTTCTGAACAGGCCCAAGTCTTTTAGTAGGTTGTGGAGAGATTTAGCTGTTATACCTCTCGCTCCCACTTCTACCGCGTACAAATCCACGACGAACCTATTCTTATAATAGTCTAATCCGAAGCCGCTTTAAGGATGGAGTAAGGCTTGACGTTTGATTTTATAGCCCTAGTGCCCTCTCTCACAAAACCTATTTATCGTTCGTTTGTGCCTAATTCCCTTTGCGCTCTGGCTACCGAAAGACTAGCCGCTTCACGTATGATTTGTAGAACCCTATCGTGACGACGCGAGTATTGACCGCTGTCCAGGAGTACCTTACATCCCACCAGCAGATGCTTAGCAGTTCCAACTGCCTTTCCACAGATGTAGCAAGTTTTTTGGGTACCTTTACCCCATCTTACTAAAATAATATGATCGGGGAGAGTAGTTTGAAAAGCATTAAGATTAAAATTTTAACAATACTGGCTACCAAACATCAATTAAATTGAAATAAGTGAAAAATTCAATTAAATGTAAATTATAAAAAAGTTACTTTGATTATCGAATATTTGAAATAAAAACATTGTAAATAAAAAACTACAAACAATAACAAAGAAGTGTTCAAAATCTATAATTTCTTCAACTTTAATATATTTTGTTCAAACATAATAAATATGAATAACTAGCTTTCCGCCCGCAGCTCCGCCCGCGTGGAGTTCGCTTATATGGCGTTTGAAAGGGAACCTTTCAAAAGTCTGGGATAAAAACTATCCTATGTTCTTTCTCAAGATCAACTCTATCTCTGTACCAAATTTCATTGAAATCAGTTCAGTGGTTTAGTCGTGAAAGCGTAACAGACAGACAGACGGAGTTACTTTCGCATTTTTAATATTAGTAGGGATAAATAAAACGACTGACAGTTTAAAAAACAATGTAATTAAAAAAAATTAACATTTTACAAAAATATATTTACATTAGTGTTATGTATAAATGGACTTACGTGAGAATACTTGTTACACTATACAATATAAGGCCCCGGACACAACGCCGGGACTTGACGAACGAAAACAGCCCTTATATATATACAGATAAGGCGTATGTTAGCAAAAATATCACTAACGTGCTTAAGGCACGGCTGGAATGACAAAATGAGCGTCGAATACACAGAAATATCGATAATATTATATATATATAGTCGGTGATAGTGCAAATCCTCATAACTAGCATTGGATAATTCCGAGTATATATATTAGAAGCAGATTACAGTAATAAATTAGACACCAGATAATTGCTAATTGTGAAAAAATTACCTTAAAAGTCGTTAATATATAAAATATTTCAACTCAAACTTTCTTCTGATATGCTTCCAATGATAGTTACGTGAATTTGCACTATACACGACTATATTGATCTATTTGTGCTTTTTTCATAAAAATGATAATAAAATTTTTGTCATATATTTGAATAAGCCAAAGACGGAATCATATATTAACGAAGGAAGACTTGTCAATGAACATCATATATTAATGTAAATTGTAAAAAAAACTTCTACTTATATCTAGTTAAGCTAGATACAGCCTTATGATTGGACTCGTTATATATCACACGATACAAACACACACACACACACACATACACACACACACATGTATATATGTATATTCAATCAAAATTGATAATATTATACAAAACTACGTATACCTAAAGCTTCACTTCACTTATGATCCAAGGTTTCTTCACTATATAAACTGTATGTATGTATGTATATGCGTGTGTGCGTGTGTCTGTGTGTGTGTGTGCGTCGGGTCGTATCGGCCAGGCCGCGGCTCCTAACAATAATATATAACACTAATATCACTTGAAGATATCACGCGTTCCCGAGCAACTCACTGGAAATAAACAAAAACATTCGTTTAGGATCAATTTCAACAAATAGACAATATCTAGCCTTATATATACTGACTCGGTCATCATTACACCATGTTATACTGACTCTGTCATCATTATACCATGTTATGCTGATTCGGTCATCACTATATCATATTATACTGACTCTATAATAGTTTAAAGAAGTTTATTTCCAAAAAGACTCTATAAAGGTTTAAAGAAGTTTATTTCCAAAAAGAATAAAGTTCGCTTACAAAGGAAATTTTAAAAATTATAATTACAATTAAAGTTACAAATAATAAGCAGTAGTGATATTAAACAAGATCAGTGAAATCATCTAATATATGGGTTCTTAGTCGTTTTTTAAATACATATATTAAGAGATTTTGAATTGACAACACATCAGTCATCATTAAACCATGTTATACTGACTCGGTCATCACTATACCATATTATACTGACTCGGTCATCATTATTATACTTAATTATAATACTAACTTTGTCAGTTCGCGTGACGTGAGCGGTCCGGTCAAACCGGATCTTGAGCGCGATCTATTCAGTTGTGCTCTTCTTTCAGCTGTGGAAAAATATTTTTGTGTGATTAATATTATTTTTAATGAAAATAAAAATGTATATAAAAGAAATAAATTAAAACATCTACGGAACAACATCGAAAGCGACAACGAGGCAGAAAAACAAACCTAATGCTTGTACATTATATAAAACGAGTTAATGTATTGAACTTCAATATATATATAAATATGTTATGCTTAAAATATTATATATATGTTATGGATCGAGTGATAAATATATGTATTATTAAAAGTTATACCCTTTGGGTAAAATGATTATTTTCTATCTAAACTTTTTAACCTATCTTAACTTAATGATGACAATAATAGACATTATGTATAATGTCTATTCAAATTATGCATATTTATCATTTCTCATTATTCTCTCATTATAAAAAATGACAAATTTATCACTTGGTTCATAACATATATATTACTTTTATATATAGATTAGTTGTAATATAAATTTAAAATAACTATAAAATAGTGAAAGTACTCTCTGCGCGGAAGTGAAACTTCGTAGTTGTAAACAATTTTTATCCATTTTGCAAATATAACACTTCCCTATTGAATGATGTTTATATCAAATTAAACTAAAATAAATGAATAATTTCGCTGTACAGCAATAATAACATGCGCGTGCGCTTTAAATCTACCGATTCACTCTCTCTCCTATTTTCTCCATTAGTATTTCTTTCTCTCTCAACCATTTAACGCAACCTTATTAACGGTTGCATAACAAGTTTCACTTCTAAACAATTTATTGTATTATTTGGTATTATATCTGTATAAGTTAGTAACACATAAAGCTAATAGTAATCGACTTGTCTGTATGTCTCTATCGCGTGAGGAGCGTCGCGACGCCTGCGTCCCGACACGATGAATGGATACTCTGTTGTTATATAACATATATTTAACATATATACATATATTATATATCTAATATATATAATATCTACGTCACAATATTAGTTACCGTACTCCTCAGAAACGTCTTTACATATTTTTACCAAATCTTATTTACGTATTCAGTAAATCTGAGAATCGGCTACTATCTATTTTCATACACCTAAGTGTATGAGGATTTTTCACATTTTTGGACGATATTTGCATTAAAATACATACAACCCTAATTTTTAAGTTTTCATCACCAACCCCTATTTTATATTGCAAAACAATGTTTGCCGGGTCAGCTAGTATATATATATCCATATATTCCTATATATAGTGTAAATAACAGCAGTGCTATAGTAATAATAATGCAAATAAATCCATCAGCGTTCTGTCATTCTATAATATACTTTATTTACCTTCTATACGGTTCAGTATCGCCCTTACTACCTCGTGTTCATCCTCGCTATCCTCTAGGCGTGCGGAATACAATCTTATTTACTTACAATAAAGTCCAATTTACTATAACATTATGTATTTTTCATTATTTTCTATAATAATTGTTATTCTAACCTCCAGCCACTCTTGGATTAGTTTTCTTCCTCGGTCTCTCTCTACTGAATGCGGACCCGCTTTGTAATGCCTCCATTAGACTGTAATGAAAATAATGTTAATTAATATAGATTTCTTGGTTTTTCCTACGGTTCGTAGAAAAGCAGAATAATATAATATTTAATCCCAACTAATATTATAAATGCGAAAGTAAGTCTGTCTGTCTGTTACGCTTTCACGACTAAACCACTCCACTGATTTTGATGAAATTTGGTACAGACATAGAGTTGATCTTGAGAAATAACATAGGATAGTTTTTATCCCAGACTTTTAAAACGTTCTCTTGGAAACGCGACATAACCGAACTCCACGCGGGCGAAGCTGCGGGCGGAAAGCTAGTATTATAATATTTAATAATATAATAATTTGAAGTATAAAGTACATTATGAGGGAGAATATGATGTAATATTAAATCCTATAATTATTATGGGTCATTAAAAGTTACTATCATGAGAAGTCGGAGTTAGCGCGTCCCCCTCCCCCCTCTCACCTGTCCATAACTCCATCCTGCGCCCGCTCCATATCCACAAACTGTTTGTATCTCATCTGCCTATCTCTTCTGTCCCTTTCTGCCGCTGCCCGCGCGTCCCTCGCCCGTCTCGCTCTTTCCTCCGTTTCCCTAGCTATCACGTTTTCCTGATGGGCGGTCTGCGGGTAGATTGATATAATATAATTAATATATATTAGTATGAATTTCATCCATAAAATATTGAACAGATTATTTAATTGCTGATATTCTTTTATGTTACATATACTATCTAGGAAGGATCTAGTTAATTGATCATTACAATATAAGTAATACAAGTCGAGCACGGACAAAAATAACTAAAAAAGTTCAAAAATGTCCAGAAATGTTCATTAATGTCCAAGATTTTTTGGAAATGTCCGAAAATGTTGAAAATAGTCCAAAAATGTTGAAAATAGTCCAAAAATGTCCAAAAATGTTCATAAAAGTTTATAAATCTCCAAAAATGTTCAATAAAAATTAGTTATCCCTCACCGCGAATGAATCCTTGAACGTTTTAACATCAGCGAAGAATTCTTCCAGCGTGTACTTTGCGGGATCAAACACGTAGTACTCCGCTAGCTCCGCGTATAGAGACTCCATTTTCTTGAACATAGAGTGCAGCAGATCACATTGCTCACGAGCTTCCTTCGCGAAGTTCTGGGTTCGAGTCAAGGTTTGTTATAAAAGAATATACATATAGTTATATAGAAGAATTAGTGAAGTACTCCAAAACAATCAATCATTAGGAACCTGATTTTAAGTGTCGTTATTATCTTTTATATAATAAAATACTCTTATAAAGTACATATGACTCGGAACAATCACATTGGTATTTACCAGGATTCGAACCTGCGCTCTCAAGAGAGGCAGGTTTTTAACCACTAGGACATCACGAATCACGATCTTTATATATGTCCCCCATAAGTATAATTCTAATAGTCGTCGTGGCTTAGTGGTTTAATGTGATTTTTCCGAGTCATATGTACTTAAGAGTATTTAGACATCACTGATTAATGCATTCCCAAAGAGGGTTGATGTCAGACAGGCGGATCGTAAGCACAATTAGCCAAAACTATTCACAACATGTTAGGCAGAGCCTGGCTAAAGCTGGTAAATTGCCAGGTAGAAGATATATTAAAGGATACGCTCATAGTTTCGTGGAACAGGTCATCATCACACTGAGGGACCCTGGAGTTATTGAGGTCTGTCTCCAAAGACCTAATGTCATTCTCCATTTTCTTCAACGCCTTCTGGAGATTCTCCGGAGAAACCCTCGCAGCCCTGATGAAAAAAACATAAATTAATCCCTACTAATATTATAAATGCGAAAGTAACTCTGTCTGTCTGTCTGCTACGCTTTCACGTCTAAACCAATGAACTGATTTGAATGATTGGTACAGAGATAGGGTTGACCTTGAGAAAGAACATAGGATAGTTTTTATCAAAGACTTTTGAAAGGTTCTTTTGGAAACGCGATATAAGCAAACTCCACGCGGGGGAAGCTGCGGGCGGAAAGCTAGTATTATATATATGAAATTTATTTCACTATATATGTCTTCATCAAAGACATTACTGAATTGGTTGAGTATAGCTCTGATGTAATAATGGTATATGAGATACAATTTATAACTTTATTTCGTGTAATTTCTATAGAAACACATTAATAACAATTGTATGTATGTATGTAGTCACATGACACAGACGATAGATGGCACTCAATTTTAGTATATATATATTTAAAACATTTTCTCTCTGACGTTTCTTATTGATGTTATTCATATAAATTAATGACTATTTTGTATTATATATTTTACAAATTAAACATATAATATATTTAGAAATATTACCCAGCATTTCTGTAATACTTTTTCCATTAAATCTTACATTTACTTAGTTAAGGGTAACACACACACACATGTATCTTTATTATATATAATTCTTCTGTGAGTGTGTATGTCACTGAACTTCTCTCAAACGACTGGACCGATTTTGATGAAATTTTTTGTGCGTGTTCAAGGGGATCTGGGAATGTTTAGATTCACAATTTTGTCCGCTGGACAACGTTTATTTAAATTAATTTTTAATTTATTAGTAGTTGTTTATACAAACGTTTTTTTTTTTGACATTAGATTTGACAACTAACTAATATGTCAATCATTCTGTCGCACTTCAAAACACGGAGATTTATGGCTTTAATAGGTAAACTCCAAAAATATAAATAAAAAAACATAACAGATATTTCTTGTTTATATGGCGATACGAAGTTCGCCGGGTCTTCTAGTATATGTATAAAATGTATATGTGTGTGTGTGTCTGTTTGTTTACTATACCTATCAATATGAGGCATCTCCTCAGCGAAGTTAAGTACTTCTGGAAACTTAGTCTCGATCGTATTCACTAGGTAATGCAGCAGGGTTTGCTTGTTTTCCAAATCCTTTGTTGCTGTTAACTGAAAAACATAAAGTCACATATACTAATATATATATATATATATATATATAATCCCCAAATTAATGTGTGATATATCTTATATTATATAAATGTTTTATTTCCTTGGAAGTTATTAAATCAATTTTTATGTGCGTTACAAATAATTACGACCTCATTTAAGAAATCATCAACACTTGATTGTAGCAGAACTACATAAAAATGTTTTTAATCATAGTATTTTGAATTCTTTCATGATTTCATTAAATTGGAATACATTTTTTATAGTATGCAAACATTTCCAAACATAGACATATTTAAAATATATGCGTATACAGCTTTTTAATTTGGTTTTTTATTTTTGGGACTTATTTTACTTTTTTCCTGATAATATAAATTGCTTTTTATTCTTTGTCATTATAATGTAAGCTTAAATTTAATAATATATGTCATATACCTTAGTTATAAAGCTTATTTCGAAGCCATAAGCGCCTGCGTTGTTTGAGCCCGTATTCATATAGTTTCCCAGAAGTAATAGAAGTTCCAGGATACGGGCGAACTTAACGCTGGAACGAACCTCCTCGCACGCAGCTGTACCTGATACTATGTCCTGGAAAATAACATTATATATATAGAAACTTGGCCCTTATCATGATTATTTCCTTGTTCCATAGTGGCGTAGGTTGAATAGGAAAATAATTGACATTTGTCGTATAGGTTACCGACGTTATAATTCAAACTATTAATTAGCACATACTACAATTAACTACACTCAATAACCATGGTTCAATTACAATGTTAGTATTCAGTATTAATACAAATCACACGACGTTCCGCGGACAACGTTGTGTATGCTTCACACAGCGGATGAATTCGCCGATCTTAATACCATACATCCATTTCCCCGAGTTATGTCAAGCGGACTGTCACTTCCTTCCGTTGGTGACGTTCGCTTTTACTAAATAGGTACTATTATCGACCGTAAAAATAATTTAATTACTAAAATTACAAATGCGCCGTCATATATATTTATGGAGAAATTTGGTAGTGAATAATAAATACCAATTGATTCTAAATACTTCTCGTAGTATGTCACAGTCTCAAGTGAAAAACACACACTCTTAAGCACACACACAGATACACACTATTTCTCTTTCCCTCCCCTTTTCTTTTTCTTTCTCTCTCTTGCACACACTTTCTGTCTCTCTCACACACACTCACCGGTTTCAACTCGGACACAATCTCCTGGTAATGCTCTCTGAAAGCTAAACTCCTCAGTCTTGGCGCGAGTCTCTTCACATCAGAAACCACGGCAGCGAACTGCTCCGCTTCTGTTAGCTCATCGCTTGAACAGCGCAGCTCGGATAGCTTGCGAAGCTGGTCCGCTGGGGGCAAGTACTGGAATAATGAGAAGAATGTTAGGTTAGGTTTAAGTTTAGAGATCTTTATTTCCAAAAAGTGGCTAGTTTTGTATAATATATTCCGATAGATTAGTTTTGAGTACATTAAATGAGTTTACAGATTTTAAAGTACACAGCATTTTTTTATAATACTGTGCGCCCTCATATGTCAACATATTTTTTCCCAGTTTTGTTGGAATGTTAAAGAATAGTATAGAATAGTAACAATAAATAGAAGAATAGTATAGAAGTCATAACAATTATTCTCTGATTTTTGATAGGAAAAAAAAACTCAAAAGAAAGAAAATTCAAAAATAACAAAAATATATGGCAAAATTTTTAATGTTTGTTATAATGTTCGTAACTTAAGGCAAAGTTAAGCTAGTCGTTTTTTATATTCTTTTCATCAAATTAGTGCTATTACCTATTAATAAAATTTTCCTAACTTACTGAAAAGATAGGAAAAAAATAACCCCAAATAATACTTCGAACTAATGCTATCACCTTATAAAATAAATATATCCTCAAAAATAAGAGAGATAGGACAAGATAAACAAAATTTAAACCAAAAAATACTATCAATATATATATAAATATATACCTACTAATATTATAAATGCGAATGTAATACTGTCTGTCTGTCTGTTACGCTTTCACGCCTAAACCACTGAACTGATTTTTATGAAATTTGGTACAGAGATAGAGTTGACCTTGAGAAAGAACATAGGATAGTTTTTATCCCAGACTTTTGAAAGGTTCTCTTGGGAACGCGATATAACCGAACTCCACGCGGGCGAAGCTGCGGGAGGAAAGCTAGTATATACGTACCTGTATCAATAGATCCAATACGTTAGCATTAAGTACTGTAGTATCACATCTCAATATACAAGTTCTTATGTGTTCATATGAAAGGTGTTTTAGCGAGCCTCCCAGTAAGATAGATAGATTCTGGGCAGCTTTACTGTCCAATACTTTGAGATCCTTCGCCTTTTTGAGTGTATGAGCCCTGGAAAAAGACAATTATATCATCATCATTACGATCTGTGTGCATTAACTCAAAATATTGATGTTTTATCAAATTCCTTGCCGAAGTTTAAGCGAAAAATTTGTGTTTTATCAAGTTATGTTAGTAAAATTTAGCTGTAGTAGTTTATTTTGATTGTTGTGATATTCTTTCTTCTTTTGTTATCTGTATTTTTGTAATTAAAAATTCTTTTATCTATAATAATAATAATCATCATCAGCCTATCAGAGCACTGCTGAGCCTCTCCTCACATGGACAAGGTTTGATCATTAATCACCACGCTCGCCCAAGACGGGTTGGTGATTTCAAACTTATAATTTGATTTTAAGTCCATGTTTCCTCATGTTTTCCTTCATCTGTCAGTGATGTCTAAATACTCCTAAGTACATATGACTCGGAACAATCACATTGGTACTTGTCAGGTTTCGAACCTGCGCCCTCGTGCATGAGAGGAGGGCGCTTTAACCACTAGGCTACCAAGATTTTCTTATAATTGTATAATAATTTAGTATAGTTGGTATTAATTTTCATATCTGTGTTAATAATTAATTAGAGTTCCGTACCATTAGGCTAGTAATCTATAGGTATATAATATACGTCTGTCGGTGTGTGACTAGTCTATCTCATGAATAATGGTAACTAAATTCTAGTAAATATAGATTAAGTGTACGGAAACCTTCTTGCGGTAATTCCTGTCAATCTTATATATATTCTAACTTCTGCCCGCGACTTTGTCTGTGTTAGTGTCACATTTAGAAATGTATAGCTGACCAGGCTAACTGTTTTGCTTTAAAGGCAAATAAACAGATTTTGGATTTAATTACTATTTTTTTTTGTCAAGCGGGTTGAGAAGTATCTTATATCCTTTCTTTAGTTCTAATCTATCTCTCAACTAATTTTTAACCATATCAATAAAGCTGTTCTTTATAAATAGTGTAATTAACACGACTTTTTTATATATATTGTATTATTGTACCTGTCAACATTATCCTCATTCTTCTTAGCCATCGGTTTACTTGAGAACTTCTGCGCTAAACCTGACAGAATATCCGGTGATGCCAGCTTATCTTCTTGGACCTGTTATATAAAATTACTATAAAATCACATATACAATGACTAAGTAGTAGAAAATTATTTTATTATATCATCATTCCATATTTATTCGTCTAATATAATATTAGTTTGGTAGAGAGACGAGCTTGTACAGTGGAGGTGATCGTTTAACGCGTTAGATAGGGTTCCCTTAAATCTACACCTGGGTCACAAGTCCCAGTCACTATTGAAGCTCCTCTCACTACAATGACGGACCCGACACACGAACCGTCAATACATTGAATGATGAGAACATTCATCTCAAATCTTTTGATAAACTTACATGATAGACAAACACAGAATTTAACTTTTTTAAGTCGGTTAAGTGTTAAAATGTTTACACACCTTTAACCAGAAAGCTTTTTCTGACATTTTCTGTGGGACTATAGTTTTCCAATTAGCTCTCTTCAAAGGCCCTTCAACTTCCCATTTCTTTTTAGGCTTCAGACCATGAGGAAGTATATCCGGTTGAGGCTGAGAAAATATTAAATATATATATTAATAATTAATTGAAAGACAAAATTAGATACATTATTATATATTTATCTATTATATATAGATTCTTATTATATAGTCTATATTTAAATTAAAGTTTAATCAAAGATTGTACAGCTAGTGGATGTACAGCTAGTGAAAATTATAGTAAGAATGCCCAAGTTAGTGCAGTGACATATAGCTCAATATTAAAAGATACTAGAAAGAAAGTTAGTAGTCACAGGTTTGAAACTTGGTTGTGGATGAAATATTCTTTCTATATTTTTTATCAAAAATCTACAAATATACTAACGGGTTGGACATTGGGGTACTATATATATGTACCTAAAGGGACTATGTATATGAATTTCCATTAATTCAACTAATTCTATAGTCTATACAATCAATACAAGTTTTCAAGTATAAAATTAACGAAATTACATACTGTATTTTGAGTTCTATATATATATACTCACCATTCTTGGAGCGGATGGCATCCCGGGAGGCGGCGGAGGCCTGGGTCCCCCCGGCATGGGAGGGGGCGGCGGTCCTCCGGGCATGGGAGGAGGGGGAGGGGCCGCAGCACCCGGCATGGGGGGTGGAGGAGGGGCACCCCCGCCTGGAAATAGAAACATATGAATCACTTAAAAGATATATACATACGAGTATCTTCTACCTGGCAATATCCCGGCTATAGCCAGGGTCTGCCTTACATGTTGTAATAGTTTTGGCTATATGTTATTACGACCGGCCGCCTCCCTGACATCAACCCTCTTTGGGAATGCATTAATCAGTAATGTCTAAATACTCTTAGAAAGTACATATGACTCGGAAAAATCACATTGGTACTTGCCCGGGCCAGGATCGAAACCGCGCCCTTGGCAACGAGAGACGTGCCCTCTAATCATTAGGCCACCACTGACCACTAGATATACATACGAGTATCTGACTTGGTAATTAATTATACTTTATTTATTTTAAAGGAATAACTTGTGTGTATATGTATTATAAAGTAAAAGTAAAAATGAAAAAACATAACTTTTATACTGTGTACGCACACATGTATATATGTGTATATATTTTTACCTGTTGTCATCGGCGGCGGTGGAGGGGGGGGAGGTCCTCCTAAGAAAAAATATACATGCGGTTAATATGTTTGTATGTTAATAGAAATATAGAAATAAAAAGATATTTAAAATGTTACTGGATTATATATACATATAAGAACAAGAAATTAAGTCAAAATATTATAAATACATATATTTAATATATTTTTTTGTACTTCAAGTACATAGACAAGTCATATATAGTATATATGTATGTATGTATGTTTATATGTTACATGCTATCATGCTTTCTTAGCATTATTATTACTGACCTGGCATCGGCGGCGGAGGAGGGGGGGGAGGTCCACCTGGACTACCTATCACCTGGAAATATAAATAATGATATTTGTATAATATTAAATACTAATAAATCCCTACTAATATTATAAATGCGAAAGTAACTCTGTCTGTCTGTTACGCTTTCACGCCTAAACCACTGAACTGATTTTAATGAAATTTGGTATAAAGATAGAGTTGACCTTGAGAAAGAACATAGGACAGTTTTTATGCCAGACTTTTGACAGGTTCTCTTGGAAACGCGATATAAGCGAACTTCACGCGGGCGGAAAGCTAGTCTTTTATAATGGGCACAGTTACGTAAAGGTATGAAAACTGGTATAAAACTATGTTGAGAGATTTTTTTTGAAGTCATTTCTATCAATATTCGTATTAAAACATATTTATTGCACATATAAATGAAATCTACATTTTTTTAAGTTGGTTAACAGCAATATTGAAAGATTGGATGTATTTGAAGCTATATAATGTATATAACATACAATAATCTTTATATTATACATATATTAATAGTCCCAATTTTACATATCATTATAGTACACTTATGATCACTTAAATTGGACAATTTGGTTTTATTACTGATAAGCATTAGAAGTGACCAATTTTATTGAACTAAGTATATGAGCAAATTTATCCTCACTACTCTGAAACCTTGGCTAATTACATGCTTCAACTGTATGTACATATTATATCTTATGTCATTGTCATAAAGTTCGTTTTGATACACCAACAGTATAGCTATCAATCTCCACTCAAAACCTTGCTTAGCTACATGCTTTAACTGTATATATTATATTACATCGTAAGTCCTTGTCATAGAGTTCATTTTCCAATACCTTAGCTATAGCGGCTATATTCCCCTGCGTCACTCCCCCGGGTCCGCTAGGCGCTGTTTTCAGTCTCTGCTCCAAGTGCGCGACCCTAGCCTCTGCCTCCTGCCTCGCTGCTATGGCAGCTTCTAATTTACTCTTCAATTCTTCGACTTTTCTCTCTTCTTCTGCTCTTGATTTCTCTGGAATTTCATTAATATGTCTTTATATATATAATTCTTCTGTGAGTGTGTATGTCACTGAACTTCTCTCAAACGACTGGACCAATTTTGATGAAATTTTTTGTGTGTGTTCAAGGGATCTGGGAATGATTTAGATTCACAATTTTGTCCGCTGAACAATGTTTTTTTAAATAATTTTTAATTTATTAGTAGTTGTTGATACAAACGTTTTTTTTTACATTAGATTTGACAACTAACTAATATGTCAATCATTCTGTCGCACTTCAAAACAAGGAGATTTTTGGCTTTAATAGGTAAATTCCAAAAATATAAATAAAAAACGGTACAGATATTTCTTGATTATAGGGCGATACGAAGTTCGCCGGGTCTTCTAGTATGTATATAAGAAAATCGTTTTAGTTACACTGTTTATAACTCAACGGCTGTAGGGGTTTGGTTGAAAATTTGTTAAAAATTAGAACATGGAAAAAGACATAGGATACTTTTTATCTAATTGAAAGAGAGAAAAAAATAGATTGATTAAATCCATAGTTTTCTTATATACTGCCTTTAAGTAGGAACAAATTTGCCCCGATCAGCTATATATTTGTAAATCCAAAAACACAAGTAAAACAAATTTTACTATTTTTAACAGGTAGGGCCATTTTGATCGTAAGTGACTATATACGTCTTTCATATATATATGTATATATAATACTAATGTGTATGTGTGTGTGTGTGTGTGTGTTACCTATGAGTCCCTCTATCAACGGCTGCACGTCAATGTTGAACCTCTGCGTCAACCGGAAGTCGGGGTCGTATCCGTTCTTGTGTAACACTATCTGCGTCACACATTCCTCTATGAGCTTGTAGTATGCCGGCCTGGAAACATTTGTATGCAATTATATTAACTAGCTCAGCATGTGACTTTGTTTGATAATATCTTTTTTATTATTTATATTAATAAAAAGATATTTTTCTTAGATTATATAGTCAAACTGTCTGTCTATATGTATGTTACGCTTTCACGCCTAAACATAGGATAGTTTTTATCCCAGACTTTTGAAAGGTTCTCTTGGAAACGCGATAAAACCGAACTACACGCGGGCGAAGCTGCGGGCGGAAAGGGGCTAGTTAGTTATATAAATGAAATGACATAATATATATTATTATATGATTTTCATTAAATGTCACTTATTTATAGAATGAGACTAGATAATATATAAATACTATGTATATTTATTTATCAATAAGTCAATTATTAGAAAGTAATTTGTGTTGGTAATACGTAGTACATATTGGCACTACTATATATTCTCTCTGTTACTATCAGTCTACATTGTCTGTGGTACTATGGTGCAATAATGATGTTTTTTTTCTGATTGAGCTTTGTAATAGATCATTTCCTAAATAAAACTAAATATGAACAACACGACAAGTATTATTCGTCGTATTAAGAATTTGTATGGAAAAATATTTAATATGAAGTAATAATTATAAAGACTATATAAAATGGTTTGAGTTTTTAAAATAATTGTATGATGTTTTAGGTCACCAATTCGATTCCTGATCATGTCACTATTTTTACTGTATATTAATATTAATTTAATTAATTGTATCGCCTATATTTATTTAATATTAATAAGTAATAATTATTGACATTATACATGGTGTTTTTTTACTATACAGTATGTTTAATGTCTTATTTACATGCTCTATATAGAATATCTCATACATGATGAAATCATAGTCTTTAATGAAAAGAAGGATATTTATTTAATGTTTATAGGTAATAATTATTATGGCAGTCATCATCATCATCCTATCAAAGCCCACTGCTGAGCCTCTTCTCACATGGAGAAGGTTAGAGCATTAATCACCACACTCGCTCAAGACGGGTTGGTGATATCAAACTTATAATTTGATATAAGTCCATGTTTCCTCACGATGTTTTCCTTCACATATACATGGTGTATTTATTTTTCATTTTATGGTATGTTTTTTTTCTTGTTTACATACTGTATATGAAAAATATAGTATACATGATGTATATAAAATATCTCTTACCTTATGAGCTCATCGTCCCTGATGAAAAGTAGATGTTGCAGAATGGACAGAAGGTAAGGCTCAGCGGGCGTTTCCACAACAAGATTCTTCACCAATTCAAAGCATTCATTGACATCGTGGAAATCTACCCTGGAATTATAAAATATATGGAATCAATTATAATATTAATATATATTAACAATTATTTAGATGCGAAAATTTTTATGCTACTTTCGATAAAGTTGTATTAAACGTATGAGCGAGAGATATATATAAATGTAGATTTTAGGAAAGAGAGAGAGTTAGTCGATAGATTCCAAGCGCATGCGCATAATATTCATTCTATGCACTTAAAAACCGTGTGAGTGACGTGATATTAGATGAAATATATACTTGTTCTATATTCATTTATATATAATACTCATTGTGTTTTTAGTTTGATTTGATACACATATAATTCATTTTCATTTCCACATTACCAAGTTTCAAGTAAAACAACTCTTTATGTAATAATATCTTAAGAACGACATTTTATATTACTTGTATTTTTTGTTTCCATGTAAGTGATTTTGTGTCTTTTTTGGAAAATAAAGATCTCTTAACCCAAACCCAAGTTTCAATTTTGCAAAGGAATTACACGGAATATTTTTTTTATTGTTTAATTTCTATGGTTAGGGACTACTAAAGTATACAACTATCTCTTTCTAACTCTCTTTCTCTCTCTCCGTTGCCTCCGTACCTCACATCATCAAACTTGGCGAGGAATTCCTCCTGATCGGCTGCGGCGTGTGTGTCGAATACATTCATCTGTATTAGACGCCCGCCGTCCTCCGCGCCCGCTTGGAGGGAATCTGGAGGAATACGGAGGAAAATGAATTACTTTAGTATGGTCTAGACTGGATTGAGGAATATATATACATATATATAATGGAGGAGGAATACGGAGAAAAACAAAATTTAGTTTAGAATAGGTTATAAAACTGTCACAAATTTTCATACAAGGACATGGAATTAATGAATAAATCATATCATTCATCATTCTGATATCTAAACAACATTATTAATAAGTTTCATCAAAATCAATTCAGTATATTTTATACTAGCTTTCCGCCCGCAACTTCGCCCGCGTGGAGTGCGGTTAAATCGCTTTTACAAGAGAACCTTTCAAAAGTCTTTGATAAAAACTATCCAGTTCTTTCTCAAGGTCAACTCTGTCTGTACCAAATTTCATTAAAATCAGTTCAGTGGTTTAGGCGTGAAAGCGTAACAGACAGACAGAGTTACTTTCGCATTTATAATATTAGTAGGGATGTGAGAATAACAAACATTAGTTATGTTATACATTCAATAATAGACCTTACCCATTAGGTCATAAAGACCAGTTCTCATGAACTCGCTTCTCAAGTGCATCCTGAACTCAAGCTCTTCTGGTTCAGTTATGATGGCGTTCATGAGTTGCATGCAGCCATTCTGTGGATAAATATCATATATATATACTAGTTTTTACCGCGACTTCGTCTGCGTTAATTTCGGTATTAGTAATATATGTATAGCTGACCGGGCGAAATATATTCCGCCGTAAATAACCAGATATTGGAGTTTATTAAGTTTCTTTTTCTTTTTGGAAAAAAACTAAACAGTATTAAATATCCTATGTCCGTCTTCTTGTTCTAATCTATCTCTCCACTAATTTTCATCCATATCGCTACAGTCGTTCTTGAGTTATAAATAGTGTTACTAACACGGCTTTTCTTTATTTATAACACTACATATACTTTTTAGTAGCTCTACATAAGTTTTCATTTTCAGACAAAATAAGCAAAGATAATTTATCTCATTCATAAATCTTATATCATAAATTGTACTAACATACATATAATTACTTAAAATTTTCTATATTTATTGCAAACATTTATTAACACTATTGTATTATATAAAAAATACTAATTATAATAATCAAAAATTATATTTTTGCTACATAATAAGTAGTATGTAGTGTTATATTCATTTAAATCTTATTTTCTATACCTTGAGACTCTCAGGTGCCTTCGGAGACAGGCCTTCAATGATTGGCAGCAATCTAGGTCTTCGGCTTGACTCACCAGCCATAGTGATAGCTTCAAGAACTTTCTCATGGCCATTAGGTATCAGACATATTGCTGCTAACACCTGGAATGTAATAATATTAACATCATTATATATATTCAGTAAAATTATATTAAATTCTTCATATATGTATTGTGCTAATTAACAAACTGAGTAGCACCTAATATAATAATCTACCTACATTAAACTTGACATTATATTATTATAACATTACTGTGAAAACATAACTAATACATAACAATATATATACAGCATAACAATATTGTATATCTGGTTTGAAATACCAATATTATTCTTAATTATATGAATCTTATAAGACAGGAATAAGTTAGATTTGTTTTTATATGTGCTGATTTTAAAATATTTGTGTTCATTATGTACGATACATATTAAAAACTAAATGAACATCGCCGGGGCGACATCGTTGTATGTATAATATATAACGAGTGACGCCGCTGACTCCGCGGAACGAACACCAAGCCGTGTGAACCAGAAGATTCCTGATACACACAAGCTATGGAATGGTATTGCTATCCTAACATCGGGGCAATAATGTAGTCTTAGGTGTAGGTTATAAGTTTTAATATGTAGTTCTTATTATAATATACATATACGTAAGTTTCGTAGTTTTCCTTGAACCTCTAGTTGCTATCCTATATAATTTGTGTGTCTTTGTCTCTGTCTTACTAACTATCTAAATCTCTCTCTCCTTACCTTAGCAGCCTCCAGAGCGCAGTGAGGTTTCCTAGCATCCAGACTCCTGGCTAATACTGGCAGAGCCTCTCTGCAGTCGAACACCGCCCTTATTCCGACCGTGTTGTTTAGAATAGCGGAGAGACATCGGATACACTCGTACTGAACACGATCGTAACGGGAATCGCTGGGAATAGAGAGGAATATATAGAAATATGTAGGAATATAAAGGAATACTAGTTTTTGCCCGCGACTTCACCCGCGTTAATTTCGTCATTAGTAATATATGTATAGCTGACCGGGCTAACTCTGTTCCGTCTTAAATAACTAGGTATTGGTATTTATTAAATTTCTCCTGTTTCAAACGAACAGAGTGATTGACATATTAGTTAGTTGTCAAATCTAATGTCAAAAAAAACGTTTCTATGGGAAATAGAAAAGGGCTGTTTTTAGAGTTTTCCCGGAAATGAACCAATTCTTTTCAGCTTTTAAATTAAGATAAGATAAATCCGTTCAGCTATTCTCGAGTTTTAGTGAGACTAACGAACAGCAATTCATTTATATATATATAGATAACATGTTTGTATAGTAACATTTATATCAATGCTTATGAAAATGTTAAATATTAAATTAATGAGCTTTTACTTCTTACATTATCTATTATGGGCGAGGATTTTTTATAATATAAATATATATTTCTGTACTGGAACTATCACAATTAATTTTATGTCACTATATTACTCATTTCTGTACTTATAAGATATATAAATAAAAACATTACCGATAAAATCCGCTTCCACTGGTAGCATGTAATTAAATCGACCATCCATTACACAAAAATAGGAAAAACACCAAGAAAATTAACAAAAACTCAGTAAATACCTAAATTATTAAGAAAAATACCAATAACTCACTTAGTATAGCATACATTGAGTGTAGTCAGTAAACTCTCTATACCCTTTGTCCCGAATTCTTCTATCCACGACAATGGGTTATTCGTTAGGGATATCCTCAAATTCTCCAGACAACTGTGCAATTTACCCACTGATAGCTCTGGCTGGTTCAAATAGGATACATAATCAGCTGGCTTCTCGAATTTCGATCTACCCTCCTGGAATTAGCATTAATTTGTGTTTAATTTGGATACTTATCGATAGATGGCGTTGATAATAAAGATAGATTTCAATGTTTATATATGACTATTTAATATAATTATTGCAGTCATTTTCTACATATGTATATATAAAATATCTTGGGTAAAATGTTTTTAAATATCGGAACAAAATTTTATGCAATTTAAGTATAAAATGTTTGATAAAATATGAAAGTAATATTTCTAGACAAATATATATATTACTATATACATACATATTTGTATATGTATACATAATAAAAAATATCCTTTCATCATCAAAGTTACAAAAGCGACGATATCTTCAAAGTAACTATAGATATTAATACTATTTGACTAAATAAGAATATTCACAAATACCTAATTTATTATATACATATAATTTCAATATCTTTAATAGTAATATTATAATTCTTCTTTATAATCTTCTATCATACCTGTGCGTTAACAAACTTGTAAGCGACCAACATCTTCTTCTTTTGATCTCTGGAGTATTTTCTCAGCGGCTCCTTCTTTTTCTCTCCTATGTTCATGTCAGTCTGAAATGTTTAAGTTATATCAAAATCGGTGCAGTCATACCTAATTTCGATTTATTAAATATAATTTTTAATTTAAAATCATATGTTAAATGCCAATTAATTTAATTATATGCATTATAAAACCGACCATAGTTATATATTTCATGCAAATTTTATTTTTTTAGATATTTTCGAGCATGTCATCTTAATGGCTGGTCTGATTTTGATGTAATTCTGACCAATTTGACAGATATGATTGAAGATTTACATTTTAAAAATACGCTATTAATTTTATGTATATTTAATTCTTTCATGTTTACGACCGAAAAAATAGTTTTTTAATTGCCTTTATAAGGTTAATATATAATAATAACTAATATACATTGAAGAGAGACTATAATATATTTCTCATTAATTTATTAATTTTTTTTCTTAATTTTGATGTTTCTTTTAGGTGTTATTTTCTTCGCTGTCTTAACATATAATAGCATCTTTCTAACATATAAAAGGTGATAGAACAAATCCTCGTAACTAGCATTGGATAATTCCGAGTATCTGCTTTCGAAGCAGTTATACACATGAAGTTAAAAACTAGATTATTTTCTGAACAATAACGTTTAAAGAATATTTTTTTATTAAATATAATTTAGTGTTTAATTTATAACTAGATGTGAAAATAATTATTAAAAGTATATCTAGAAAATATTTCAGCTCAAACTTTCTTCTGATAATCTGCTTCTAATGTATATACTATACAATGCTAGTTGCGCGGTTTTGCTCTATCCCCGACTACAATTTCGATAATGCACAATAAATAGAGCCTATATCCCTCATTTCTTCGCATTTTCGATGTTAACTAACTAACAAAACTATACAATTTAAGGGAGCGCTAATGTACAATAATCTACCGAAAGAAATATTAAACGAAAAATCTTTTTTGAAATTTAAGGCTAAAAAAAACATACTGTCAAACTTTATAATATTTGAATGTTTGTATAAATAAGATCAGCATTAACTTCATAAATGTTTATTATTATGTTACTAGTTTAAGTTTCCTATGTAAGTGAATTTTGTTCTTAATAGGAAATTAATCATCTCTCTAAAGTCTAAACCTAACTATACAGGGTGACTGGTGAATTACTATCGATATTTGAGGACGTGATATTTGACGATCATATATGACAAAATAAAAATTAATATAACATAAATATTAATAAAATTCTAAGTAAAGTTAACCAAAAGTTATGTAATTAATTACGCATCGTATGAACACCCTACAGATTAGGTATACTACACACACTCACACTCGCGCGCGGCGGCGTGTTGTTGTATCAGCACGCCGCCGCACGCGTCCACACTTGGAACACTTGGAACGTGTCCACACTTTATTTATTTATACGGAAATTTGGTCAAAAATTAAGTACCTATTTTTTATACATAATTCGAATGAGAATCATGTACCGAGTATGCTCCTTAAATATTGATAGTAATTCACCAGTCACCCTGTATTTGGTGGTACTCACCAGCATTTCTTCGAACCGTCTCTCCAGCTGGTCGTCGTCCAGAGCATCAATCTTCGCTGTGTATTCGGTCGCAGGTTCTTCATCATCAGGTCTGAGTTCAGTTCTTGGAACAGTATCGTATCCACGATCGATTCCACCACCAGCCTTCTTCGGCCTCCCGAACCATGTGTCCAGCTGTTGAATATAATCTTTATATATATAATTCGTCTGTGAGTGTGTATGTCACTGAACTTCTCTCAAACGACCGGACCGATTTTGATGAAATTTTTTGTGTGTGTTCAACGGGATCTGGGAATGGTTTAGATTCACGATTTTGTCCGCTGGACAAGGTTTTTTTAATTAATTTTTAATTTATTACTAGTTGTTGACACAAACGTTTTTTTTTTACATTAGATCTGACAACTAACTAATATGTCAATCATTCTGTCGCACTTCAAAACACGGAGATTTATGGCTATAATAGGTAAACTCCAAAAATATAAATAATAAAACGTAACAGATATTTCTTGATTATAGGGCGATACGAAGTTCGCCGGGTCTTCTAGTATACTGTATTACTTTAAAAGATTTTTTATCACGCTAAATATAGTAAAACTTTTAAAGTAAAGTCGCGTGTCGCAACTAGCTAACAATGGATTTGATCCAATATATATAATAGTATTTCTTTTGTGCTAAATTTGGAAGTGACATTCATTGTAATGTATTTTGTTACCGACGTTCAAAAAGGAGGTATTTATTTATTCTTTATTGCACAACATACTAAAACTAAAGAAGTTACATTTTCGTTATATGTATATTACATGCATGAGGTGCAACAGGCGGCCTTATCGCTAAGCAGCGATTTCTTCCAGGCAATCTTTGGGTAGAGGATCATAAAGTGGAAGGGTACACAAATAACAATAAATATATATAATATAAATATACATATATACTATATTAAAAACATACATACATAAATATATACATAGAATATATATAATAAAATAGGAGATATTAAGTAAACAAGAAATTAACAACAACAACGACTGCTTATAACTAATGAGATGTGTAAAAGTCCTTAACCATTTTTTTAAAAACGGTTAAAGACTGTGCGCGCCTTACAGCTAAGGGTAAAGTATTCCAAAGTCGAGAAGCTTCTACAGTGAAGGACTTAGAATAGTAAGAAGAAGAATGGGAAGGAATGGAGAGAATTAAATTTTCACTCGAGCGAAGAGCACGCTCATGAGTCTCCCTAAGGAGAGTGAAACGCTCTTTAAGATAGAAGGGTGTCGCTGGATTAAAAAGAATAGAATAAAGAAGAGATAAAATGTGAGGTATTGTGTTAGTGACGTTGAAGAAGTAGATTCTCAGATACTATGTTTATATATACAGGGTGACTGGTGAATTACTATCGATACTTGAGGACGTGATATTTGACGATCATATATGATAAAATAAAAATTAATATGTATAACATAAATATTAATAAACTTCTGAGTAAAGTTAACCAAAAGTTATGTAATTAATTACGCATTGTGTGGACACCCTACAGATTAGGTATACATACACACACACGCGACCGTCGGCGTGGTGTTGTATCAGCACGCCGACGGTCGCGTCCACACTTGGAACACTTGGAACGTGTCCACACTTTATTTATTTATACGGAAATTTGGTCAAAAATTAAGTACCTTTTTTTTACATAATTCGAATGAGAATCATGTACCGAGTACTCTCCTTAAATATTGATAGTAATACACCAGTCACCCTGTATATAGACCGCTTAGTTATATATAACTTATATTTTTTAGTACATATATGTAAATATACTACAAAGTTGAAAGAATAGGGGTGGCCTAGTGGTTAAAAGGCCCGCCTCTCATGCACGAAGGCGCGGGTTCGATCCTGGCAAGTACCAATGTGATTTTTCCTTGTCATATTTACTTTCCAAGAGTATTTAGACATCACTGAATAATGCATTCCCAAAAGAGGGTTGATGTCAGGCGGCCAAAACTATTCACAACATGTAAGGCAGACCCTGGCTGAAGCTGGGGAAGTGCCAGGTTGAAGAAGATATTATATACTATACATATTATCCTCCCACTAATTTCAAGCACGTAACGAGTCTTTTAAATGATGTCGTAGAGATATTTTTGAGTGTGATCTTATTTTTTGGCAACGTCTTGTATTTTTGGACATTACACATACTAGACAAATAACCCGACTTCGCACAGAATAGTTGATTGAAGAAAATAATAGTAAGCGATCGAGATCTGTGAAGATTTCAAAATTAAATATCGAAATCTATAAAGATTTCTTTATTATAACGTCTTTCAGGTATAAAATATTTGGATAATTTCATGAATTTAGGTAAAAAACTTTGTTTCTTAATTTATACGATTACGTCACACAAAATTTTAATATACACGAAATATATAAAAATATTTTTTTGGAGGTTAAAGTTTAAGATGGTTTTTTTAATTTTCTTTAAACATGAATAAATAAATTAATTTTTTTTGACGTAAATCCTAAATAAAAGTATTAATACATACTAAAAAGTATTTTTAATAATATAGGCAAAGAAAATATTTAAACATTTTTTCAAATATACATCGTGATAAAAATATTATTTGGGTTGGCTACTGTAATAACATCGTTTGTGTACAGACATACATACATATATGTATATGTATGTATTATACATAGATAGATTCTTCTAAATATATATTTTTTCAATATATGTAGTAATTTATTTTAAAATCTTAGTATAGTGTATATGAATATCAATTCAATGAGCTCATATTGAGTCACTCACGTAAATAAACTATTATATCATCACAAACATACATACATATACACATATATGTATGTATATATATATCTTATTTACCACTATACACCAAAAACATATGAAATTATAAACGATACATAAAGAAAAAATCTAATTTTCTTATTTTTTATATGTCTGTTTGTTTGTTATAGATAATCTCTGGAACGGCGGGTCCTATTTCGATGAGAATTTCACTCGCAGATAGGTTATATGAGGAGACTTACGCTAATTTTCAACCGTCTTCAAAAATTGTGAGTTCTCAATTCGACGATCTGTTTGTGACGCTATACCTAGCCTTTAGGGACGATTTTCATATACATATATATATATAACTAGCTTTCCGCCCGCAGCTTCGCCCGCGTAGAGTTCGGTTATATCGCGTTTCCAAGAGAACCTTTCAAAAGTCTGGGATAAAAACTATCCTGTGTTCTTTCTCAAGGTCAATTCTATCTCCCATTACAATCAGTTCATTAGTTTAGTCGTGAAAGCGTAACAGACAGACAGACAGAGTTACTTTCGAATTTATAATATTAGTAGGGATATATATTTGAACGTTTGAAGCTACATTAACCTGAAGTAGTTCCATCTTCACCAATTTATGATCTGATGAAGAGGTTCCGGAGACACTGATGAAATCTCTTCAAGATAGTGACTCGTATTTCAAAGGTTTGATATGCGAGCGAAGACACAGGCAATAGCTTGTATATAATTTAATAAAATTATCATTTGAGGACGTGCAGTTAAATTTAACTCGTTTCAAGGTGACAATTATCAGTTGTTTTAACCAAAATTTGGTGAAACGAAATAATTAACCCAAATATTGTATACTTTAATTTAAATTTCTTTTTATTCATTAAAAACTGAACATATATAGAAATATATCGCGTTTCCAAGAGAACCTTTCAAAAGTCTGAGATAAAAACTATCCTATGTTCTTACTCAAAGTCAACTCTATATCTGTACCAAATTTCATTAAAATCAGTTCAGTGGTTTAGGTGTGAAAGCGTAACAAGCAGACAGAGTTACTTTCACATTTATTATATTAGTAGAGATAAAATTGTATTTCGGAAATAAATTACTGACCTTTTATTCCCCGGTCATTTTTCATATGACATATAAAATCTTTAATTAATCAAATGAGCCAACTAGTACGAGTTAACTAAAGACTAAAAACTGACAGTACGAACGTAATACATTAAAATCATTTACATACAAAAATCTTGGAAACACCATGGTTTACTCACAGAGAACATATCCCATACTGTATCCATTATCGATGATTCCCATGAACAACACTATCACAAATCATCGACACATATATCGATATATCGATAGTACGTCCGTATGTTAAGAAAGTCCCAAGTCTAGTGATGAATATTACTTCGTACGCGAGACTGATGCGACCTTTATTCATAGTGCAATCCTAAATGTGGACTGCATCGTTAAATATAAATATATATACTAGCTTTTTTCCGCGACTTCGTCCGTGTTAATTTCGTCATTAGTAATATATGTATAGCTGACCGGGCGAACTCTATTCCGACCTAGAGGACATAAATAACCAGATATTGGAGTTTATTAAGTTTTGTTTTCTGTTTCGATCGAACAGAATTAAATATCCCATGTCCGTCTCCTTGTTCTAATCTATCTCTCCACCAATGTTCAACCATATCTGAACAGTCGTTCTTGAGTTATAAATAGTGTAACTAACACGACTTTCTTTAATATACATATATATAGATATATACTGGTTGTTGCCCATGACTTTGTCTGTGAACATCAGAGTTGCGTTTAAAGAGAAATGTATGTTAAAACATTACATATTATAACCTAAATTTCAAGCTTTTCATTTTAAATAACCTAAATATTGTCCGAGCATTTCATTTTAAATAATCTATCGGAATGGTTTGTGAATCTAAATCATATGCCACACAAATGCTTATAAAAACATCATTCAAATCGTTCCAGCCGTTTGTTAGTTCAGTGACATACATACGTACAGTAGAATTTTATATATAAAGATATTATATTTATAGATTTTAATACAACCGTTCTCAGTCTATAGATATAGCAATGTCAACTTTTAGAATCCACACACAATACCTAATAATGAAACAGCTGATACTCTCCGTCCCGTTCCATCCTACTAAAATATGACGTCACTTTTAACCCAAATATGACCCGGCATAATCTTTAACCCATATTAGACCCATTATGAACACAGCGATAGCCCGCATGCGCTAAAATAACAATAAAATTGTTATGCACATGTTATGAATCATTATAGCATCATTTTAAATTAAATTTATGTCAAAGAAAAATTATATTTAGTAGTTTTTTTAGCCTATCAGAGCCCACTGCTGAGCAAAGACCTCTTTCTCTCATGGATGAGGTTTGAGCATTAATCACCACGCTTGCTCAAGACGGGTTGGTGATTTCAAACTTATAATTTATAAGTCCATGTTTCCTCACGATGTTTTCCTTCATCTGTCAGTGGCGTCTAAATACTCTTAAGTACA